GTTTGAAAGGAGAACTGGCACTGAACCCAAACAAACAAGTTTATAGCAGATAAAACTTTCGAACATTCCAAATGTACAAATCTATTTTTGGATATTTGATTTCAGGCATTGTAATGAAATCAATATTTTAAGGTTTTGGTTATAGCTCCCTAACCCTTATAACTGGCTGAATTTGTGAAATGGATTTGCCCAGCTTTGAATTCAGAACAGTCCATTCATTTAATCTTAGACATTTTATGTTTAATTACAATTTTTACCAGCTAAGGATGTTGGATATAGCACCTTGATAAATGACATTAAAAATCATAAAAATTCAATTGCCTATGCATCTAGGCAGTATACAGCCAGTTTGAACAGTCTTTTCATAATTATTGAGTGTTTAATTTTTAGCTCTCTAGGACCAAATTCAAAACAGGGCAAGGCCATTACACAAATTTGATAGGCATGTTTAAAGTTGAACATCATAAATACCTGGTCTAGCCATATTCAATGTTTTGATCAGTCTGGCATAGATGAAAGTACTTTATACATTACTACAAAACAATCTGTAAAAGGAACATGTTCCCAATTGTTTGATATTCATATTTTTGCAAAAATTATGTCTGAACTACTAAAAAATTCTCAATTTGGCAGTTAACTATTTTTTTTCAATTTAAAAATTTTATATTGGTATAAACATGGACTGATATACACTTTAATTAATAAAGTATCATTTTAAAGTTTGACTTGAGACCTGCCAATTTTTCCAAACAAATTGAAAAATAATTCTGCCAGTCTGTATTCAGCATTGAAGTTATGCACTGTATTGAACTTACATGACATTTCATTGATAACATGATGTCATACAGTTTATATTGGGAATTGACTTGGGATATGAATTACATTGTAATGTATTGGAAATTTAAAAATTAGTTTGAATATTGTATAATTATTTCTAATCATTGGCTTGTGTTTTTTTAATTGTTTCACTAAATTAACTTAAGATAACATTATATGAGAATCATGTGGAATTGTTTTTCTCTCGCGCTTTTCTGTAATACTAGTGCTTTTAGTGTTTGTATGGAGTCTATATTGAAAATTATCAAATTGTTTCGAAACAGAAATTTAAAGAGGAGAGAATATTTAATGATTGAAAATTTTTGAATTTTGTTATTATTGAAATATTGAATGATTAGGGGCATACTTAATTGATTGAAATCCTGATTTTTTAATGTTGAATAAGGGGCATACTTGGCCATGTGGTTGTTAAATGCAGATCACTTGCCATTCACAACTATCTCTATAAATTCTCATAGGGACTAACTTTTCATGTGAAGAATCTATTAGTTTAGCTTTTGGGAGATGGGTGTTTGTTTCTAGCATGTCCAAAGATCAACACCATTAATAATGCTACAAAGACACTTGATGATGCATGGTTTTATTAATAAATCATTTGTTTAATTGATAACACAAACTATTTTTATGCTAATCAAATTTCACGCAAAAAAACCATACTAATGTAAAGGTTCTTTTAAAACCTGATTTCTTATGTTGGAAAGGCAACAAAAGTTGAAGAAGATTCAAAGTTAATTACAGCAGATGATTTTTAGCAAAAGATAAATTTTCATTTATATTTCTGTCTCAGTTTTGAAGGGGAAACAATCTTTCTACTTTTAAATTTTTTACATCCACATAAGATGTATTATCTCCCTTACACATTTATCATCACTATCAGAGATGAACTTTAACCCCTTTGAATAGTTGTTAAAATATTATTGACTTGTTTGTGCCACCCATTTTGTCCCTGCAGGCCAATATGCACATTCATGCAGTCTTGGTAGGGCCAATAATGTTGGCTTCTTGGATCTAAGTATACAGTCCAGCCTTGAATATTCTAATTGCCTGGGACTGAAAATTTACTACGAATAATTGATGGGTTCGAATAAACAGTGATAGACTAATAATATCTCGGCAAGCCTCGTTACCGCCCAATGGGCGGGTCCCCTCGGGACGGATATTCCGGTCCGAACCGCAAACATATGTCAGATATTTTTTCTTGCATATTATGTCATATTATTTCATATTTAAAATGGTTAACCTCAATATGATATATGTTCATGGAAATTAAAGTCATTTCATCCCTAACTATTTTCTTAAAATAGCGTATGAACTTACAACTTTAATAACAACGGCGAAATGACGTCATCCTAAGCACATATTTCCCTTCTAAAACGACATCATTTTACCGCGGTTCATTCATAAACTGCGCTAAAATGACGATGTTGTTTGGCACGCGACTCATCTGGCACCCCCCATGCCAGATGAAATTTCCGGCATGGGTAAAACTCACGGAAACGCCTGTCTGCTATGCAAGAAAACAATTTCTCACATTTGATCTACTTCAGATAATGCCAGGTATTCAAATTAAGGGTTGTCCAATAACCAGGGTTGGAGGTTTATTTCAACCTCCCTCACTTTAACAGTCTATTCCAAATTCAAAACAGGATAAATTCATTATAAACATTGGATAGGACATAGGTTAAGAAAGCTAAGAGGTACCAACTTAAACCAAACAGCAAACAAAATGCTTATGATTTAAATTTATATTGCATCACGTCAGTGTTAAGTTGTTGTTATTGAATACTGTATAGCAAGAAGCCGATACTGTAGTCTTGATCTCAGATCTTTTTTAAACGTCATTTTAATCTCTAAAATATACAACATATACAATGAAAAATGGCTCCAAATTTCACCTCAAAAGAATCAAGTATTTTTATAAGACCATAATGGGACTTGTTGGCAATTTTACATTGTTTATTTTCTTTTTTCCATTCTTTAAGATCTGTCCTTGGTAAATGGACATAAATCATACAGACAAAGTATTAATAAAGTTTAGGCCAGGGCTATTTTTATCTGTGCTTAGTGTTGAAATATTTTATCAGCTTTAGTGCATATGTATAAATAATGTATTAAATACATAATCAGAAAAATGCTGTCAGTAAACTCCATGTGAAACAAAGACCCACAAGATCAATAAATAAATAAATGACCAATTAGATCTAAATATGTCTTCTTTAATATAAACGTACAACATGTATTCACTTCGAGACTATTTATCTTGTACAATATTCCGACTTAAAGAATAACATGATTTGATTGGAAATTCATATTTATCTTAAGGTATACCTTATCTTTTAATTTCTATAAATTAATAAAAATGATACTAAGATTTCTTTTATTTTAATTGTTTCATAATAATATATACATGTATTTGTATCTATAGTAAGTATCTAACTTTTATGAAACTAGTCACAAGTGGAGGTGTGCATTTCATTTGCATATTTTGTTTCATAATATTTCCGTTTTTTGTTTGAAACAATAACATTGAATAATATTGTATCAATTTTCCAAGGCAAAAGGGGAATTCAATAAATTTTGGAGGGGGAAAAGTTGGTGAATAGTGGCTGAAAAGCTATATTAAATGTAAGGTCTATTTTTATTTTGGTTATGCTAATTAAGAAAAATGCCATGCTCCTGTGAAACAAAGGTAAAGAAACTTGGCCTTAAACAAATATTAGCATGATAACTCCCATGAAGAATGTCACCTTTATAAATTTTTCGTTTTCGGGTGTTAGTGAAGGAGGGGAATTTAAAGTGTTTAAACTTAATGAAATATTTTATTTGGTAGTAAAGTGGGTTGTTTTTACTGATGCCAAACTTGGAATATGAAAGGAAAGATTGTGCTCACAGGGTGATGTCATTTCATAAAGATCTTGGAAAAAATGATGTTGTTCAATTTAGATAATGGGATGTATTGAAAATGCAAAGGAAAGTTGTTTATAAATGGTGTATATGTTTATGCAACAGAGAAATTGATTGATAAAGGATAGGGAAAGTTTATGAATATTGTGCAATAGGATATTGATTGATTGATAAATGATAGAAGTTCATGAATACTGCAGAGACTTGTGAAAGGAAATCGAGATGTTTTGTATAACATCAACAAGCCTAGTTATATTAAATTGCATTTGCTAGATAAGAAATCTCGAAACCATTGATTAGTTTAAAAGCATTTCTGAATCATTATAGTTTTTCGTGTGTGTGACACTCCTACATATATCACTGAAAGCTTGACTGAACTTTCTGTTTATCTGAAGGACGATTAAAAATACTGTGAATAATATATGAAATATGGAATTTTACATAGATTACTAGTGTTTATAAAGTGCATATTGTTAGTAACAGCTGATTCAACAGAAAAGGAAATTCAATAAACTTTGCTTGCATGAAAAGATTTAAATCTCAATGTTCAATTGAAACATATACTCTCATATAGATAATAGCAAACATTTTTTCCAGTTTTGTTTATTTTGTAAATTTTTTGATAAGAATAAACAAATTTAGACTTTTACATGCTTCGGTACAATCAATTGTTAAAATCACACTATCTTATGCAATCAATTATACAGTTGATTAACAAGCCAGAATTAAGTTACTGTTTTTGATTGACATGATTTTAGTGAGGTTAAATCTGGCACTGTAATTAAGTGATTAGATTAATTGACAATACAGGATTTGATTAGGGCTAAATAAATAAATTAATCAAAAGTTTATTCTATATTAAGGGAATACAAGCTGTGTACAGTTATTTTCGTTATTTTCGTCAATGTCGTTTTAGCATAAAGAATAGGATAACAAGCGTTTTTTTTCTCTCTTTATAAATACAGAAAGGTTTCAAATAACTCTCTGCATAGGAAAAGTTAATACCAATATGGACAATTAAATGGCTGTGACAGTACCCATTGTTGATAGGGATTCTAGAATTTATTGAGACATTTTAATGTGGTGCATATAGTAACTGAAAAATTTCTATAGTTATTATTACTATCATTTTATTGGATGACTTAAAAAGGAAATGAATTATCGTGTTTTGATAATTATGTGGTAAAAAGTTGCTATAGTTCATATATGTCCAGAGGTGTTCAGAGTGGAGAATTGAAAATAAAACATCTATCACAAGACATTAATATTATAGACATGTGTCGCAAAATGATACACAAAATATCTGTCATTACAAAAATGCTTACGAACAATCTAGACATTAATGCAAAATATGCACGAATATTGCATATTGTGCGTATAAATAGAAATAATAGTTTCTTACAAGGGGGATAGGATTATTTGACAGAAATGAAGCAACAACACTTGTTTTTATTGGGCATCACTGCAGTAGGTGTCTGTGCTGTCTTGTTATACTACCATCACAGACGTATGAAATGTAAAGGTAAAGATGTCCGAAATTTAAAATAATTCATGTCTAAAAATGGAAATAAAAAAAAAACAATATATTTAAACAGAGATATACCGATAGATACTATGCTTGGTAGAAAGTACAAAACACTTTATATCTGAAATAAAAAAAAAGATATGTTTTTTGTATAAAGTACAAAATTATTTATGACAAAAGACGTGCATGCTTGTATATATGCATGCAAATGTAAATTCCTTATATAAGTTTAAATTGAGATCAATGTGATACTTGGAAATATCTGTGCCATTGATATTTATTGTGTCGCCTTGAAAAGGTGACATATAGGGGTTACTTTTGTCGGCGGTGTCGGCGGCGTCTGTGTCGGCGTCGTTGTCGGCGTCCGCTAAAGCTTGTCCGGAGCATAACTCAGTCACTATAAGTCTGATTGACCTCAAACTTGGTATGCATGCTTCTTTCAATAACCCGAAGTGCAGTGCACAAGGACCGGTACTCTGCAGTTCTTATTTTTTGAGTTATTGCCCTTTGTTAATTTTCATACTTTAATTTTGTCCGGGCCATTTCTCTTCAACTAAAAAAGCTATAGACTTGAAACTTCATAGGATGATAGATCTCATTAAGAAGAAATGCAGTGCACAAGAACCAGTACTCTGCACTTCCTAATTTTTGAGTTATTGCCCTTTGTTTATTTTAATACTTTATTTTTGTCCGGGCTATTTCTCCTAATGTATAAAAGCCATGGACTTGAAACTTCATAGGATGATAGGTCTCATTAAGAAGAAGTGCAGTGCACAAGAACTGGTACTCTGCATTTCTTATTTTTTGAGTTATTGCCCTTTTTTAATTTTCATACTTTATTTTTGTCCGGGCCATTTCTCCTAATGTATAAAAGCCATGGACTTGAAACTTCATAGGATGATAGGTCTCATTAAGAAGAAGTGCAGTGCACAAGAACTGGTACTCTGCATTTCTTATTTTTTGAGTTATTGCCCTTTGTTTATTTTCATTTTTTAATTTTGTCCGGGCCATTTCTCCTTAAGTATAAAAGCTATGGACTTGAAACTTCATAGGATGATAGATCTCATTATTAAGAAGTGCAGTGCACAAGAATCGGTACTTTGTATTTCTTAATTTTTGAGTTATGGCCCTTTGTTAATTTTCATACTTAATTTTTGTCCAGGCCATTTCTCCGAAAGTATAAAAGTTATGGACTTGAAACTTCATAGGATGATAGATCTCATTAAAAAGAAGTGCAGTGCATAAGAACTGATACTCTGCATTTCTTATTTTTGAGTAATTGCCCTTTGTTGATTTTCTTACTTTATTTTTGTCCTGGTCATTTCTCCTCAAGTATGAAAGCTATGGACTTGAAACATTATAGAATGATAGATCTTATTGATAAGAAGTGCAGTATACAGAAATGCTGCTCTGCACATATTATTTTTTTAGTTATTGCCCTTTGTTATTTTTCATATTTCATTTTTGTCCTGGCCATTTACCCTAAACTACATTGTTCACAAGGCGACACATCCGACTCGCGGAGTTCTAGTTGTACATAAGTTATAACTCATAATTCTATATTTGTCTTTCTTTCAGATACAGCTGTTTGGAAATTAAATTTTGTTTTAACTATATATTTTCAGGAACACAAACAAAAAATTCCAATCGCCCAAGTTCTGGATCTCGTAGACGAAAACGTCCATCAAATAAATCTGTAGACAAGACAAGCAAGCACTTTAAGGACCAGTCATCAGATGATTATGATAGTTCAGAAAATGATAGTTTATATTCTGAGGATTCAGTGGATGCTTTTAAACCAGTGAACAATCAAAACGGAGATGCTCATGATGAAAGTGATCTAACCTATGATTCTAATGATGGCCTAGATTTTGCAGGAAGAAGTGATAGAGCAAACATGCCTACAGGATCAAAACACAAACGTAGACGCCATCTTTCACCTGGCCCTTCACATCAACAGCCAGATTATACAGAGATTATAGATGGTCCAGATGGGAGAAGGACCATTGGAATTCAGACCCATGTCCCTTGTCAGAGGAACAGGTCCTCTAGTAGCACTAGAACTGACTACTCTGATTATGATGGTAGTTTTACAAGTGAAGGAAGAGGTATGGTAATGTCTCCTCTAAGTCTCTGGAATTCTAATGAGCGGTCAGATAGAGAATCTCATAGTGATTGCCATTCAATATCATCAGCTGGTTATGTTAAAAATCTAAATGATTGTGAAAGGGATATGACACCTAGATTAAGCACAAATGCTAGTTTGTCTTCAGAAAGAAGTAATCTTACACAAGGACTTACTGAGGTATGGTCATCAAGTTCTTCAGAGTTACGACCCCTAGCAAGTTTTCGAGATGATCTTTCATATACATTTGAAACAGAAGCAATGCATCCTGGAACTTTACCATTAGATTATGCAGATGATTCCAAAAGTCATCATTCCTCAGTATATATAAGATCACCTAGAGAAGGTGGACGGCTGATTCCAAGACCAGACTGTAGTACACCAACCAACTCTGGAAGGGTAGTAAATATTTCTTTCCCAGAATCTCAGCTGCAGCAAGCAGCTAATCTTGACACTGAAACACCTGTAAAGTTTGAAGTGACTGTTCATGAAAATACTACCAATATTGAGTATAATGTTGAAAAGACTGAGTATAAAACATATACACTAAGAAATCAAAATGAGCCAAATATTATTCCAGATAGGATACTTATAAATATGACTGAAAATGTAAATTCTCAAACTGAAGAAAATCAAACCATTCAACATAGAGAAGAAATTACAATGCATCAGCCAGATAATATACAACCACAAGAAGATAGTTTAGTTTTAGGTAAATCTTACCGCACATCCACTTCTTCAGAGAAAGAAACTGAAATAGAGGATGGTGCAGTGAAAAGAGAGGAATCAAAAGAAATTAAAAAAGAAACAACTGAAAACTCATATTATCGCTTGCCTTCAAAAGTTGTGGCTAGTAAGAAAAAGATGAAACTTCAAAATTCAGAAATAGAAAACACGAATTATCCAAGTACTTCTCTAGGGGAAGATATTGTGAGTGCCCCAGAATATTCAAAAGAAGGAACCAGTTTGAATGAATCTGATTATACATCAGACTATGGAACTATAACTTCAGTAGATGGCAGGTATGGATATTTAACTTCAACATCTGATTCAGAGGGTAGTGATTCTGCTCCTGTTTCACCAAGGCCTTCAGAGACAAAGTCAGCTTCTTATAGTCAGGGCAAACCTCAGCATTTATCTCTACAAAATGAGGTGACAGAAACAGATCCGAGTGCTATGATTATTCCAGATATGAGCCAGAATTTGTGTACATCCTCTGTTCAAAGTCCTACATTAAATATTGCTGGAACACAGGTTGTTCAATGTGGTTCTGCTGAAAATCAGCCAGAAGATGGAGATGCTATTGACAATAAATTAGATAACTCTGACTTTTTACATGAAGATGGACCAGTTACTGATCTAGGTTATGAAAGTATGAGACCAGAAAGTTCAGATGAACACAAAGAAGATCAAAACGAAGATTATACCATGGAAACCGATAGTGGTAGTATGGAAACGGTGAGGCCAGCAAGAGCTTGTGAAAATGACAATTTAACTTCTCAAGAAACATTAGCAAATCTCACAGGCAGCAATGAAAATGTTGAAAAAGATAACTCAGAAAGATCTGAACGTCTTGATGCTGAAGTTCCAAAACTAAATTTATCACAGTCCTCAGTGAGTTCTCCACAAAGGCAACATAGGCTATCTATTAGTTCAGCAGATGAACCATTTCTATCTCTAGAACAATCCGAAAGCAATACTTCTACTTGTTCCTCGGATTACAAAACTCCTATGCAATCTCCAAGAGAAAACGTTGGAATAGAATTAAATAGTGAAATAGTACCTGCAGAAGTTGATGATGTAATAATTCCAGACTATTATGATGAAAAGCAATCTACTCCAAGGCAAAGCCCACATGACTTTTCTCTGGATCAAGCTCCAATTTTAACATCGTCTCCAAAACAATCAAATGATGTAAGGACTGCTTCTGTAAACACAGAATCAGTGCCAACTGCATTACAATCTACTTCTCCTGCAATCTCAACAATAAGACTTCTTGCAGACTCAAAGGATCCTGTTCATACAGAAGCTTTGAGAAAAAATATAGAACAGAAAATTGCTAAATTGACACGTCATGTTAGAAGCTTAAGTGACTCTGCCATAAGTTCAGATTTCACTGATGGGGATTCTTCCTCAATGTCCCCACGTGGTAGTCGTGTGTATGATGACAAATCATTCCTGGGAGAGAAAAAGCTTCTACAAGCACTCCGACTTACACAGTCGCCTATAAGAGTTAGAGGAACTCTGAATTTTGAGGGATCACATCCAACAAAGGTACCATTTAAGGACTCAGGGAATGTGTTTGATGATGACAGCCCTGCTCAAGTTGAGAGACCTAAAAACCACAGAGCATTTGATACCAGTCCTTCTCGGGAACATTTTCTCCCTTTGGCTACACCTGTTGGTACATTTCCCGAAAGGCTAATTCATTCTTTGCTTGCCATAAGACCTCAGCATTTACATAGATCTCATTCTCTGGACAGCTTGTCATCAATTATTAATCTTAAACCACATTTAGCAAGAGCTGTTCGGCAAGTTCAATCCATTGAAAATATCCCTGGAGCAATATCACCATCTGACAACACTGTCAGTGATAGTAATTGGAAAGGTAATAATGCTTTGATGTCCACAGATGGTGCTAGATCACTGTCACCTGGCGAAATTGATATTGATCAGGATATGTTGGATGATATTAACGACATTGAAAATATGATTCAAGTTGATGCTAGTCAGAATAGAAAAATATGTGAGAAGTCTACTTCTATGTCAATTTTAGAAGATAATGCTCCACAAAGAGAATATCATCGATCTCTTTCAGAAGGGAATATAGATGACTTTGAGGATGAAATGGATAATTCTAATACATCAAATGATAGTATTACATTTGTTTTTATCAAAGATGACCGTGCCAAGCCAGGTGATTCTGAAAAAGGTAAAAGCGAACAGACAGAGAATACCAGTGTGTCCGATCCTTTTGGAAGTCGTGAACTCTGTGATTCAGAAAATGAGCTTTTTGATAGTATACAGTTGTCAAATCATGGTGAACATTCTAATGAATTAGCAAATATTAGTGGTAGAGGGCCTATAGATTCAAAAAGTGAGGATAGAATATCTGATGTACTCAGTATTAGTGGGTCTGAAGATTCTGTAATTGAGTATAATCAGAGCATGGGAGATGCTGAAGAAGACAGGATATCAACCCATTCTGCCAGTGAAGAAATAGAAGAAATAATAGACAGTGTTGAAAACCAAGAACAGATGCATGGAAGAAGAGAAATGGACATTGTTTTTCAGAATGATTCCCCACCTACATATACTGATACATCTGAAAGTTTTGTTCAAAGCAGAGGAAAGTATTATGAAGAAGATTCAGAGCCGCTGAGGCATAAATTTGGCATTGATGAATCTGTGTTACCTATTCCAGAACGGTCAATGTCTGCTGACAATATTCCAAAACATTTAAAGCCACAGAATGATTTAATGAGGTCAAGATCAACAGGAATGCTTGATGTTGGCGTAATTGATGAACCGGAATCAGAAAGTGGAATTTTCCCACCTGCATTAAGAACTGATACTGATCAAACAGAACCTTCTATTTCGCTTCATACCATGTCAGAAGGGGGACTTGATCACACTTCCCAAAGAACTTTTTCAGATATAGATGCTTCACTTTCAAATAGGACATCAGGTGATGTGGACTCTGAGAATTGTAATAGTGGTGAGAATTCTTCAGCAATAGTAAGATCAATTTGTAGTAAATCCTCCTCGGTATCAAGTTTGGAAGAAGAATTTATCATAGACTATAAAACTAACTGGGGTAAGCATAAACATAAGCATGGGCAAGAAACAAATCACTCTGGTGATTCTGAAGATGATGATAGGGTTATTGATGAAGAGCAACAAATAAGAAGGGTATTAGAAACTGTTCAAAGACTTATTTGTCCTAAGCCACGTTCAGTTGATAGAGGCATGACTACTGAAAATGAGAAAGATCTAAACAGTGTTTCCATTGGTGTTCAGACCAATAATTCAGAAACAAGCCCTGAGGCTACTAGTAATTTGCCAACTTTAGTTAATGCTGACCAGATAATACTGCCTGCTCTTGCAGCTCCATTTAGAGCACAATCAATGGACAGTTTTGGATTAGGTGCTACTGGCCAAGGACTTGAATTATCTGAAGAGTCAAGAAATTGGTGTACTCTTGGTGAACTTATGGTTGAAACAACACATTTACTGAGAAGAATAAATGACAGATTACCAGAACAAACTAGAAAAGGATCTATCAGCTCTTCAGAAGATAGTCAAGTCAGTCAAGTTATTTTAAAGAAATGGCAAGAAATCAGCATCCAGACTGGTCGCTCATTGGAAGATCTAACCACTGTAGGCTCACAAACTGATGGAGATTATATGTTAGTTGAAAAGGAAGGTAAGACTAATCGAACAGATTCTACTCGTGATAAACAAAGTCTGAAACATTTAGACATGGCAGATACAATAACACATGATATATTACAAGTACCTTCTGAGTCATGCCTTTGTGAGATGTCTGTTCAAACTGATGAGAGTTTTGATGAGTTTTCAGTCATTGAAACAAGGGTCAGTACTGATCTTACAGATGCCATTCATAATGCCAATATGCCATCACAACACGATATAGACACATCTTTTGATGAAATATTTACCAATGAGACTAACAGTAATACAGAGCAAATATGTGCCCAGGCTGCGCTCCTGTTTCGTTTTCACCGAAGGAGCAACAGCAGAATAATGAATCATTTGAAAAGAAAGATGCTAAGCAGTTGCATAAAGCTAAATATATCCCACAGTTAAAAGCTGAACTGGGGCTTGATCAAGTAAAGAGTGATGAAGAATCTCCAGTGATGAAAACTGAATCTCCTAGAAGACAAGAAGTTGTTAAGTCACCAAACAAAATGTTACCAGGATTTACTTTACCTGATACACCTGAAATAGTTGAATTGCGAAAGGAACATGCTAAACTAATGGAAAATTTAAGGAAGGCATCAGATGAAAGAAGAAATAGAAAAGAAAAACTTCAAGCACGAAAAATGCCATTAGATGCAGATGAAATTTCAAAACAAATCTCTTCATCAGAGGCTAAAGACAAAAACAAAGCAGATTCAAGGAACAGTTCTCAAATTAAAAGTGACTCTAAAATCTTTAAATTTAACAAGAATGACCCTGAAACAGAAACTTCATCTTCTAATTCTAGTATGGTTGAAAACAACGTTATATCTGATGATGAAGATAGGGAAAACAAATACGAGGAAAATGAAGTGAAAGATGTTGTAAGATCAGATGGGGAAGACAAAGTTACTTCTAAAGAATTTATAGAGGATATAGTAAGATCTGATGGTGATGATCAAGAATGTGTAGATAATGTGAGATCAGATATTGATGATAAAGAGTCTTTGGAAAATGTTAGATCAGATGATGAAGATGCAAAACAAATAAGTGAAATTGATGCAAGTTTGGAATCACTGAGTCCAATGAGCACTCAGGAATTTGTACAGATAAATATCCAGGTAGATCCAAGTTCAGGGGTGACTGTAAAGAACAAAACAGTCAGGGAACCCAGTCCAAAAAGGAAGGCTTTGACTCATGAGACAGATAAAAAGGGAAACATTAAAGAAGAACATAAGTGGGAAATTGCTGGAGATGAGTTTAGAACAGTTTGGGAAAGAAGAACTGAATCAAGATCTAGATCAGAAAGTAATGCATCGGAGGATACTGTAGGTAATACTTTCATTATTGAAGAATTTCCAGCTGATCCTGCAGTTGTTGAAGCTATGAAATTAGATGAGCTCTATCCTATGAACAAGAGTGATGAAAACTTAAGTCGTGAAATAATTGAGGATGTCCTTGAAAATAATCCTACCTCAAGTAAAAAGGACATGACAAGTGATATGATTCCAGGCACAAAAGAATTAAATAAAGAGGTTTCAGATAGTGATGGTAGAGATTCACCAGCATCTATTATTGAAGATATTGTTCAGCCAGAGTCTTGCAAGAGAGAGCAGCATGTACCAAATTTTATTGAACAAATGACACAAAACAAGAAAAATGATGGAAATTTAGAGACACAACACACAGCATCTCAAGAACCAAGTCTGTTGGAAGAAACAATTATTCCACAGGTGTACAAACGAGACCACAGTCTTCCACCATCATTTAGATCTAGATTTGGTGAATCTTCACCAAAATTAGTACAGGAGTCTGAGCCTGAAGAAGATTCAAGAAAACATGGTAAAAAGGTTCCACAGCAGATATTTAAAAGTGAGACAAGTCCAAAGTACAGAGCTCAGATCCTCAGAGATCAGCAAAGACAGGGAACTAGCCCTGACTTTATGGAGTCTACTACAATACTTCCAGAAAGTATGTTTCCACATCAGCATTCTACTAATACACTACCTCAAGAGACTAAGGGACCAAAGGAAAATGAAATTCCTTTGGTGAATAATGTTAACAAAGCTGTATCAAAACCACCTAGGTTTGCTGATGATTCCACTCAAATGAGTCTTGCATTTTCTGATGACTGTACACAAACAGACCCAGATATACTGCCTGAAAACACTCAATCTCTAGATTATGTTGATCAAATAAGTCCTAAATATGAAAATGCTACCCATACCCAAACAAGAGTTAAAGGTCAAAAACCAGGTAATGTTAAAGCAAAAACTCAGGAAGCAAAGACATCTGAAGAATTCAGGGAAGAATTGGAAAGTTTACAGCATGAGAGACAACATATAATGGATCTCCTTGGTTTATCCTACTTACCAAACAGTCTAACAGTAGAGCTTCTTGAAGCTAAATTGAACTATTGTATTGGACAGACAGATCTTCTCTTAGATAGTCTTGAAGACACTACTGAAGCTGAACATTTTACACCAAAAGTTTTGACAGACCAAAGGCATACAAAAGATTTTATATCAAAATACAGAGCAGATTTGAAAAAGTCAAAAAATGATATCAAGGAATGCAGAGAACAGCTAAATAAAGGAAGAGGCAGAGGAAGACCAGCTGTTAGGGGCAGACCACGCTTTAGAAGGGGTGATATCATAAATCAACAGAGACAAGCAGAAATAGATGCATTTAAGTTAGAAAGATTGAGAGAGCAACAGGATTATTCAAGGGCATCCAGACATGGCACACCATTGAAAGGTAACACCCCACTTAGAGGGAATACTCCTCTCCATGGAAACAGTCCTGTGGTAACACCAAGATCTGAACATTCCAGAAGTGCTAGTCCAAGCTATTCTCCAGGTTACATGAATCCACGTGAACACAAAGCTCATTTGGTGGATTTGAGGCGACAGCTGATAAAGGATGTAGTTGAGGAGGAGATACGGCACAGTCGGTCTTGTTCTCCCTCATTTCATACCAGTCCACCACCACTTCACTTTCATACCAGCCCACCACCATTACATAAACAAAGGAATGCAAGCGAACATTCTCTTGGTTTTTCTCCAAAGGTGTCAGTATCTTTATCAGATATTCCAGGTAGCCCATTATCATCACCTCCATCATCAGGTGGTAGTAAAACATACATAGTGGCTCCAGGATCAACTTCGCTCAGCCCGGTAAGAAAGCAACCTTCATATGAATCTGTAAACCCATATGGAAGCTACCAGAGTTCTCCTGACAGGGCTTATCAGAGGAGACGTACCTCACCTTTGTCCTTAGATCTAGAGACGACTGCTGAAAGCATCTTTTCTCCTCAAGAATCAGAGCAGATACTCAAGGAGATTGAAGAGCTGAAAAAACGTGCCCAAATATCTGCACCAATTGAAGAGATGCTTAGAAGATCTTCATATTCTTCCTCAAGTAGTCAGAGGTAAGCAATATTTATATAATTCCCTTGATAGACAAAAGTAGTCAAACTTTAAATATAACTTCATAATGTAAAAATTGTGTATTTGTTAAAAACTATTTTCCAAGAAGCAAGTAAGAATGTTCAGAAATAAGCATTTTTTTAGATGCTTAATGGATTTTACTAACAAGATGTTATTTGTGGCTGTAGAATTTTATCTTCTGAAATATGTACATTTAAAAATAATAAGATGCATGACAATTTGAATATGAAAAATGATATTGTAATGTTAACATGGAATATAGGACGGCTAGATAGAATATTTCAGTTTGAGAATTATGTAGTGAGGAATTAAAGTTTATTTTGCATGACATTATTTCAGGACTTTGTTGCGATATATGACATTATTCAGTTCAACTTTTAGAAAGAGGTATCAATATACACAAAATGAATGTTGCTTTAAACTCTATCATATGCAGTATCATATATACAATATGTATCATGGCTTTTTTGCAGCAGCAAACATACACTGCCTTCCAAAAATATTGTTGGTAGTTGACAAGCTTTTACCATATCATTTTTAGTGGATTATAGTAATTGCTTAAATTTGAAATTCAACTCTTAAATTAGATTCTAGCATTTAAAATGTACACACTGAGTTGAATTTAGTTGGTTTAAGAGCTATAGATTGCTGGAATTAGAATTTGGAAATTATAATAACCTATAGCTATACAAAAAATAATTAGATTTTATTATAAACTTAAATGTTTTCTGGTGAAAATACAGTTTTTTAGACTGAAGAAATAAAAAAATCTGTTTTCAATTTTTTGTATTCATCAACTAGCCTGTGTCAAACATACATATTTCTGAGAATACAACTTTACATAATCAACTTAAGTGATACTTTTTTGGTTACTAATTTTTCGACATTTTTGAGTGATTCAGGAAAATTCAAACATTTGTTATGAAGGAGAGATATGTAATGGACAACTTGACCTCTGTTTACAAGATTTTAGAATTTTATTACTTGTCAGTGAGCACACCAATAGATTTAGCTCATTATCTATAAGGTACTAATAAATAAAAATTTACTCATTCACATTACATTTCACTACCTTAGTCTGTATAGAAAATCACAATTTAAGACTTAAATGTAGGCCACAATGCAATATTTTGGAATGCAGTGTTGTAGTTAATGTTATTTATTTATCTTAAGCAATGTTTTCTTGTTACATTTGCTTTTAATGACTTGATGAATCATAGAAGAAAACAAGACCATAACAGAAATATGTAATCTTGAAAAAAAGGTCATTTTACACCCATATATTCTAGTTTTGTGCTAAATTTATCGTAGAATTACAAAATTTTCTCATTCTGTAAAAATGTGTAGTAATACATGTACATGTATGTACTAGAATTTTAGATGAAATTAGACATGTATTCACTTTTATTTTCCTCCATTTTAAAATATATTGCTTATTTTGATAGTTGTACCGATATATTATTTATATAGTAATGTTGTCCGAAATTTTTTTGAACATTAATGGAAGTACTCCCCTGCCACTGAATCCGGAAAGTTGCCTTATAAAGACAATATAAAGACTAAATACAGTGTTTACATGACTAAAAACCCATAAAAATTCAGTTCCTTATTACACATATGAGAATTATATATCACAGCACATCATTCTGTGACAGGGCATTAGTAATGTGTTTGAATCAAGACTTTTTTGTAGTTAAAGAATTTCTTTTGTTTGATGTTTGTTCTGTCAGCTGAAGGGGTTTTGGACCACTAAAATCTTTATTACTCTTTGTGTTTATTTTTGCATGAATACAATTTAAAGTGTTGTTGTGTGTATGTGTTTGATTTTTGTTGGTTGCACGAAATAAATGAACTGTTAATCAGACTATAGGATAGATATTTAATTTAGTCTTTTATTTAATGAAAGCAATAAATTTTTTGTAACCTGCAATACTGATTGATGTTTTATAGGAGCAGTTCATCCAGACCAGATGTTCCAGGGATATCTCCAAGGTCACATTCTGACCCTAGGTTACCACGGAGAACCAGTCCTTCACCTGTTTCTAGGCAATTTGACAATGTAAGTACGGGCATATATATGCTGATTTTAATGAGGTTACAAAAATGACAGAAAAAATGGTTTAAGGCAATGTAACAGCAAAATTCATTCGAAGAAGATGTAATTTTTTTTTAAGTTGAAATTAATTTTTTGATTTTATATTTTGTTTGAGTTCTGCAATGGCTGATACTGGTAAATAAATACATTTGTAAATGATTGATTTTATGCAAATAAATGAAATACATGAATGACCTGATCGGTTAAGTACATGCTGTATTCATATTACTCAAAAGTAATAGATTTTTATAAGAATTGCTTAAAACAGAATTATGTAGTTGTGATTTAAAAGTTACTGTCAACTGGTTGAACCCAAACTGCATGGTTATGAAACCAATGGATCAAGCTGAAAATCAAATCTGCATTTACATGTGACTGTTTGTTCCTAATAAAAACATAAACTTATGACTACAAGAATATGTTTAAATGAACATCATATTGGGAATGTTTTATATAAATTGATTTTTCACAATATTTCAGCCTCTATCTTTAAACCTGGACTGTCTGCAGGATGATGAGACTGGACCGTACAGTCCGTACTCCGCGTATGCCCGTGAACATATAATTCCTAATCAACGATCGCCACCAGGGGGCTTATTACGAGGAACCTATGAACTGTATCATGATAGGTCAGACACGTCTTCTGTGTTGTCATATGACTCAGACACTTTCGTTGATCATGGTCATACGCCGAGACATAATACACTAGACGAGGATACGATTAAAAGACTTCGGCCGATACGGGCAGAAGATATCAAAGCAAGGATTAATCGTCATAAACGATGACAGAGTTTAAAAGTGCTTAATGGGATCATAACTTAATATTGTGTTCATTATATATACAAAAAAGGTTCATATATGGCTGCTGTGTGGTGTTTTATTGACGTCTGGGTGATTATGTCAGTTTTGAATTTACTGATAAAGATGTTGATAAACAAATATGTTTACATAGACAACAAGGCTGAAAGTTTCAGCATGACCAAAATGACAGAGAAAAAATCACCAAAAAGAAAAGAAAAAATAATGACAGTAAATATCCATGATTTACCCATAAAAAAAATCATGTAAACCGACAGATTATGTACATGTACATGAAGGATTCCAATTGTCATAAATCATGTAAAGTTACATTAGTTGTATTATGACACAAATAGACTTGACAAAAGGTGTTATCCATGCACCTTAAGTAGATTAACTATAGGTAATAGATGACCTGGAAACTAATTATTTCGTCCTGAGATCGTGATGACTAATCTGAATTATTCAGCAGAGGTAAACTATTGTCGTCTGCAAATAATGACTGTGATAATTGTTGGTGCCAAATTATATAAAACATTGTGATATTAGATATAGATTTTAGTTTTTAGATGATATATTGCACTAGATGACCTTGGGTTTTGCCAGTGGATGACCTTATTTCGTTATTTAAGGAGACTCAAGTACGTGATGACCTAATTCATCAGACGCTCGGCCTCGTTCTGCAGAGTGGAGAGATGGCTGCAGAAATCTCATGTAACTACATTATTGAAGTTAAACTGGTTGAAATAATTTAATTTATTAAGATTCAACAGTTTTGTTAATATGTTATTGGTTGATTTAAAACGTCTTAACAAATGTACTTAAAAGCTTAATGCTTTGCTAATAAATTTAGCGATATAGATAATCCTGTAATGTAAAAGTCTTATTTTCATAAAAGGAAAAATAATCCAGCGTAAAGTATTAAGGATGGTTTAAATCAACATAATTTAAAGTCAATTTTCATAATTTACAACAAAGTTATTTATTTTGTATACATTGTATTACATTGTACTTTTAACAAAACTGTGTTCAGCAAAACATTGTATCAACTAGAATGATGTTTGTACATTTCAGGTCTCGACAAGGTTCTACAACATTCTGCCATTGACATCTGTGATATGATTGGTTATTCCTGATGACATCATTTGAAAAAGGACCAATAGCAGACTTTCTTTCTTAGTCCAAGTCTATAACACTTAATGTGATTTAAATTGTAATGTATTTTGAAATTGACCAATAGAGGTTTTTCCTTCGGGTCGTCACAAATTTTTTTAGTCTATCGAAAGGGACTTCCCTGTAATTTTCAATTTTTTTTTATCCGCAAGTTAAAAATCATGTATTAATCAGATTCCTTTATGTACTTTATTTGCAACTTTACTAAACATAAACAGAATGAGTTTTGTTCAGGAATTATTGTGAGTAAATTAATATAACATTCAGTATTCAATAACAAAATATGCAATATTATACTTCATGAAATTGCTGCACAATTCTTTGTGAAGTGTTAAAAAAAATAGTAGTTTATGCAGGGGTTGTATTTTTGCAAATATTTAAACAGTATTTAAGTTATTGTTGTTACATTTAGAAGACTTTGTGTTGATTATCTTATCTGACACAATATTTAGTTGTCTTATTACTACTGTTAGCTGGTTTTCTATACTTCTTTGTTTTTGTTTTTTTGTTAAAGACACTACCAAGTCCCATTTTGTTTGTTTGTGTCATGGCTTATATTTTATTTTATTTATTGCATGCATTGAAGTCATATATGCTCACAGGAGTAATCTCCCTTCATAGTTCAAAAAATGTATAGGGATCTTTTTTTTAAGATTTGTTTATTTTGTTATTCCGTCCATTATTCACTAAATTATGTTGACTTTCTGCAAAATGGTTTCATCTCTTTTCTTGTATTATTTGAGTTACAACCATTTTGTACCAAGTCATAAGGATGATACAAGCTTCAGGTGCAGTTATTCCTAATTTTCAGGAGTTTTATTATTATTATTTTACCATAAATCCAGTCATTGACATGCATTTTTTGTGTTTATAATTCTATTTTCCAGTGAATTCCATAGTATAATAAAATATTCTGTATGATATATTTATGTAATGAAATCTGAATAAATTAGTACAAAATTAGTACATAAAGAATATTAGGCATTATGACTGTGTATAATCAAATACTGAATAAATTTTGTGTGTAATAAATTATACATATATATGTGTATATAATGTTCCTCACAGAATTATTATATAAAACCTATCAAGTGTTAGTTATTTTGAGTTTTGTTTGCTCATCCATTTTTAATGTGAGTGTAATACAAAAATAGCTGTTATACTTTTAAAGTCCAAGTACATGTACCATGATTCTTGGGCAGCCATTTTATATTTATTTATTTATTTTTGTTAACACTGCTTTGACAATTTATATAACGCATGTAAATTAATTTGTAAATATTATTTGGGATGTATTTTTGATGAATTGCTAATATTGTTTTTGAATTTGTTAAGGAAGCTTAACTTGATATTTTGTTGCACGATTTCATTTTCTTACGATTTTTTTTAGCATGCTAATTAAGTTCTGTTATGTGTTTTATTTAAAATTGATGATATTTTATATAATTTATGTATTAATTTTATAATAAAATCTTAAAAGATGTTTGTATACCTTCCTTTATATTTATTTCACTACAATTACGGGTTTGAATCTTGCTCAAGAATTTGGAGACTTTGCCCCCTTAGCTCAATTAGGGAGAGCAAAGGATTTGTAATTCCAGGAGGCACTGGTTAGATGCTCGGGCAACGTTAAGTTTCTCCATGACAATTTATGTTTGACATTGAGAATAATGGTCATTTGTCTCTAACTGCTTATTCATAAATCATGTTTAACATGGATAAGTAGTTCATCACTTGTAGAGAGATAGGTAATTACTGGTTAAGTTATCCAGGAAAGTTAATCAGGTGGACTGACTGCCGAGATATGACCAGAGATTGTGTAAAAATTGGCGTTAAAACTAACAAACAATCCAGTATTTGCTATATCTCCACCTAGTTTGGATAAATTCAGAGTTTGTATGTTTGAGTCTGAATTGATGCATGCAGGGGTCTTCATTACGGCTGTTTTTATAAAAGTGAGTGTTGTGCTAGTATTCCACACTAGTCAGAAATCAGCAAGTGTTTAGGTGTAATAACTAAAATTTGCTTTCATGCAATACTGTTTATTGAAATCATTCATTACAAGTCTCTGGTAGAGAAGTTGAAAGTTTCATGTGTAGATGAAGTTAGTATTGATTCAAATTTACCAATCACTTTACTTGTAATACATCAAGTAAAATTAAATGTACATCAATGATGGTTGATGTGAACTTAAGAGAGAAACCAAACAGAAATCTAAATTGACTGGGTTCAAGCTGACTGGAGTTAACCTTGATGCAAATGTGTAATGTACAAAGTACTTGACCTGTTTTTGAATTGTTTTGAAAGTGTCCATTGTGACCTTAAGAAATTTTGGTATCAAAATATGAAAACTTTTTAATATAGGGATTGGTAATGTTAAGCTCATCAGATACTGTACAAGTGGCATGAACGGTTGCACTCTATAGGATTCAGAAGTTTCATACTTCTTAAAGGAACTCCACTGATGTCCAAAGGCTTTAAATCTTAGAAATATTAAGTAAAACACTTCAAATGGAAAAATCTGCAAAGGATAGCAAAGAATTATACTCCGAGTTAAACTAAAAATCAATTTTTTATCCTACTCTTGGCTGGATTTGATGCAACGCTTTTAATTTTTGGGTCATTTTGTACAGTAAAAAAGGTGCAAACACTGTAAAACAAGGTGAGGGAATGACCTGAACATTTGCACAGAAGTTACTGGTTCAGACCTAGATCAATTGGTTTTCAATTCTCAGGACAAATTTCCAGTGCCGTCGCTTAAAAAATTACCTCGGTGGTGTCCTTTTAAGAGGTTACAAAAATAATAGAAAAATACTGAGTATTTAACTTTTTCCTTTATTCTGTGATTCTATGACATATAATGGACATGCTAAAAACTTTTTGAATGTCTGCCATTCTTAACAATGTGATTAACATTAACAATTATAACAATCAAAATTATTGAAATATAAATACTATAAATTAAATTATTGCCGAGGTGAATAAAAGACAAATAGTCATATAAATATAAGGAGTATATAAATTTAATAATTATAGCAAGTAAAAATTTCAGCAGAACTTAAAATTGAGATAATATAAATTATAATGATAAAAAGCGTTCAGATCTGGAAAACATTTCTGTATTGTGACATTGGCCTAAAAATATTCCATTATTAAAGAAAAATCCTCATATCTAACACTTCAAAGCCATCTCAATTGATGAAAATAGCAAAACACATTTCTTGAATAATATGAGACTGTACTGGTGTGCGAGCAGTTCCCGTACAGAAGCTGTATCCATATTTTTCCGATTAAACGCTTGGTTATTACTTGCATTCATCAAAAATTGATATCAAATCAAGCAGATGTATTAACAAGACAAAATCTAAGTGTCAGTTCCCCAGTACATATAAAAGGTTTTCATTTTAAATCACTTTCACCTGTTCTTTGTCAAAAAGTTACCTTGTAAATGTTGGGGGATTCCATCCTTGCGCAAAAATACTTACATATGAGGCCTGTTAAAGAGTTTTCCACTAATACCACCTGTGTACAGATAAGTGGGTAATGTGATGAAAACCTGTTTAATTATAAGAATTTTTACCTATATTACTATATTTAGTAAGAGAGCGTAATAAAAAATAATTTTTAAGTAACTACGATTTTTGTACAGGAACTGCTCGCATGCCAGTATACATTGAACATTACCACTTACCAATTAAAAGCAAGCATCAAATTGGATGTAAAATTACGCATCTCAAATTTCACATTCCTCTACCATCTAACAATTAATAAGCAACCCTTTCCACATTATATCAGTAACTTTTCTTCTCAATGGATGTTGATGAAGTACAATACAAAACATGAGAGGAAAAAATCATATGCTCTTTAAAAATAGAAGCATTAGAAAACAGTAAACTTTTGATTAACAATCTCTAGGTAACAAAGAATAAAAAATTTGGAAAAATTGCAATTAATCTTAGTAGACACAACAAAAACAGACATTGAAAATAACATTATTCTCAGACAAGAATTTTAAGAAACCATTTAAATACAAAAAGCTGTTTAAAGCACCAAAACTGGTCTTTACCCCATCCTGATTTTTAATTAACGTGGGATTTAAATTTTGAACTATCCATTAATTAATTAATTTCAAAAAATTTAAACATCAAAATTCTACTATTCACTACTTATGACATAGTGAGATCATTGTAGCTGTCATTTACCAGAATATAGAAAATCAGATTCTAATATGCTTCACACTATTCCCCTATCAAACATAAAGGACAATCTAGTGCATTAAAAAGGAATGCTTACACGTCCTGTGACATCAGATATGACATCAATAAACCAAATGACATCTGGGAAAATTACTTCTACGCTCCATGTAGTTCAGCATATTTTTTGTCAATTCTCTTTTTTATTAGAATGTTAGAATGGAAATAGATATTTATTTTTCTTGCATTATAGTGTAATAATGCATGGTTTATCTTTCAAATGCTTTGTAATTAATCACTCAAACTCATTTGAACTCAAACCGTGCATTATTCTACAACAATGCACTCAAAATTAATATAAAATACAAGAAAATTTGTATGATGTGTGTTGTTGTTTTTTTTTATACATAATATTCACATATTATTGGAAATAAAAGCAAAACAATGCAGCTTAATTTATGATCTAATGATCAAATTCAAAATAAGGAAATAACAATAAACAGATAGTAAATATAACATTATAACATTTTACAATGATCAAATAAGATACATGTAGATAGAGGTATGTAATGAAACAATAATAGGCATCATACATTTTGTAATTTATAGATAATAACAATTATATATTATATCTTATATTTAATCATCTTATTACATGCATTACACAAACATAGCTTTTTGTCTATGATAGAATTATATTGAATCAACTTTACTACATACATTATATAAACATAGTTAGTGAAGACAATAAAAGCATAATTTTAAAATGGAAGTTAACATAAAGGCAAGAAGAGGTATAAAAATTATGTAAATGCACTGTATATTTTAACTATTTTGATAAAAACAGGTAAACAGGAACATGTTCTACAAACATTAAAGCAATAGTTAGCATGGACTTTGCTGTTTGCATAAATTCATGTAGATGAAACAAAATAGGAATGTAAGAAAAAAGTACAACAAAGCAGGGTATAAGCAGTGCTGGTGTAAACAGTTATATTTTACAGTATTTTAATTTTAAATACATTTTCAAAATGTTCATGAAAATTAGCATGAATCTGAAGGCATGCTGCTTTAAAATGTTTTAAAAGGGGACATTGATTTATCAACACCACTTAAACAACCCATGATATGGATATTGACCCATGACCTACTGAATTTCTTTCATGGATTTCCTCGAAATTTGGAACAGTCTATTTGAAGTTTAGGTGTTATCAATATCAAAAGCTACTGCCAGTACAGAACCTGGTTAGACTGCAAGGATATGTGACAAACTGGCCTATGTGCTGGTGGTAAAAGGCTAATCACTTTCTGTCCCAGCAGGGTCAGGGGTTAAAGCCTCACACTTCTTAATTATTCTTAACTGCCTTGTTGTTATGTAACAATTTATTACATACATGATTTTGAACATTGAAATTTAGATATTTTAACAAATTTCCAACACAATTCTCTAGTCTGAACATTGAAATTTAGATAATTTACAAACTTCCAACACAAATTTCTAGTCTGAACATTGAAATTTAGATATTTTACAAACTTCCAACACAATTTTCTAGTCTGAACATTGAAATTTAGATATTTTACAAACTTCCAACACAATTTTCTAGTCTGAACATTGAAATTTAGATATTTTACAAACTTCCAACACAATTCTCTAGTCTGAACATTGAAATTTAGATATTTTACAAACTTCCAACACAATTCTCTAGTCTGAACATTGAAATTTAGATATTTTACAAACTTCCAACACAATTCTCTAGTTTGAACATTGAAATTTAGATATTTTACAAACTTCCAACACAATTCTCTAGTTTGAACATTGAAATTTAGATAATTCTATAATAATATGTATAGAAAAAACCCTGAATGAAATAAGACATGAAATTTAAAGCAATAAAATCATAAACAAAGTTTGAGATAGAAGCATATAGCATATGATATGTGATACACATGAGGTATGATAAGGTATATATTATATAAGGTTATATATGATGATATATAAAACATTAAGATATATCAGGACATGATATATCAGGTTTAATATTATAATTGATGAAAGCATATATGAATTATCATGGTATAAATTATGATATATCAGGGAAAATATATTGACAAAATCATCACCTTAGTACAGAAACAGAAACAACTCCTATTAAATTGAATAGGTTGTTATACCTTGTTAACCTGTTACTGTACTCAGTTGATAAAATCAGGATATACTGCAATATATAAGGCAATATACCGCAATAAATCAGGGGATATATCACAATATATCAGTGGATATATCACAATATAGTGCAATATATCAGTGGATATATTACAATATATCAGTGGATATATCATGATATACTGCATTATATCACTGGATATATCATGATATACTGTAATATATCAGTGGATATATAGAGGATATTTGTTTGTTTGTGTGTAAGATGAAATTTTATTTCATCGAGTGGGCTTTAAAAACAGTATTCTCACAAGCGGCGTAGCCACGAGTGAGAATACTGTTCTTAAAGTTCACAAGATGAAATAAAATTACATCTTACACAACAAACAAACAAATTTTCTTTTTATTTTATGCTAAAAAACAAGTAAAAACGAAATTTCCATAATATTAACGTAAATATTAAAATCTGTTTTCCCCATTGAGAGCCCCATTTAGTCGGAATTTCTCATTAAAAACAAGAAGTCTTGAGCTGAAAAATAAGTCCGACAATCAACGTTAAATGACAGTGATATTATTTATTTTGTTCAAAAAATATGAATGATTGCTTGTTTTAATAATAAAAATAAACAATTCTTGTAGGAGAAAATTCCAGCCATCCATCCATATTTCTGTTACTTACTGCGAATTTATATTAGACCTGGCTTTGTTAAATGTAAGCGGCAGCCATTTTTTTAAAGTTGTGTATTTCACGGGAGGAAAATAATTGTGTTTGATTCAGAGGGGTATCATTTGGATTTATTAGTCATACACCTTTTAAAAAGAAAGAAAACATATTTGAGGATTGAAACAGACATAAAATAAGTGTTGACAGATGTGAAAACATGAAAAAAGCAGCTATGAAAATGGAAAACTTGGAACTTGCTTGGAACGCTGGGCGGTTTACTTGTTCTACGAGCTGATAGCTGTCTATGCTTTTCAATTTTTCATGAAGCATACGGCAGTTATTGCTCGTAGGATACTTTAATATGCCCAAATGTCATCAAGAGCAGTTTGCATGTGGAAGGAATGTATTTTTCAGACTGTAAAAATGAAACAAAAAATTAGAGACGAAATTTGGTTAATAGAAGTAAGTTTTCTTCTTTTTATTACTTTTGACATTTAAGTTATTTATCAATTTCAGCTTTGCATTTCCTTTAAACAGCCTGACATTGTCAGAATTGTTAGCAAAAATAAAATTGAGGTACCACATGGGAAAAATCTTAAAAAAGTAGTTTCGTCATTGAAAAGTGTGAAATTATATTTTGATAATTTTCACAGTGAAATTATCAAATATAATTTTCACGGATAAATCAGTAATCCACTGAAAAGCATAAAATAAATCATGATATACTGTAATATATCAGTGGATATATCATGATATACTACATTAATCAGTGGATATATACCATGATATTCTGCATTATATCAGTGGATATATACCATGATATTCTGCATTATATCAGTGGATATATACCATGATATACTGCAATATATCAGCAAATATATCAGGATATAGAGTAATATATCAGTGGATATATATCATGATATATCATAAACATAATATCATCACTAGCATCATGAGATTCATTTAAGTATAGAAGAGACAAGAGTGAAATGGGAGCTTTGGTGTAATTTGTATTAATAAATAAGAATAACAAATATTTACTGTAGTTAGATGGGACATACTATTATGCATGGTTTAAAAATTTTAAAATATGTTTATGATTAAAAATTTGATTCTTGGGTAAAAACCAATTTGATTCTTATGTAAAAGCTATTTGAACAGATTTCCTTTAGCTCTTACCATAATAAATATTATAAAGGGACTTGTTCATCTTTCAATCTGGACAAAAACCATTCATTATTTTAAGGGAATACTTCAAAATATGTACTGACTAAATACCGTATAGTGCAGACCATGATCAGAAGGCAAGGCTGGTTGATCCCGGTCCGCACTGGTTGCATGAGTAGAACATGCTGCCACCAGCAGGCTTAGAGTTAATAAGCTGATATAGATACATTTTAACTGAACATGGTTCTATGTACGTTTAACAATGTAATAATAAATTCATAATAAGTTATAAGTTACATACAAAATTGAATTACATATTAATAGAAATCAAACTGAATAAAAAAGGTTGGCATATATCTTACAAAATGGCATAAAAAATGTAAAATAATAATTTAGATAAAAAAAAAATACTTTAAGTAAAAAAGAAAATAAATTGTAGTTTAATACAAATTTATGACCTTGAAAATATCAAGTCATGTAGGGGCCAAGGCCATATTTTATTATCTTTAAATAGAGCTCACATTTAGATGTATGTTATGTCCAAGTATTAAAAATTTTGTAAATATAGTTAAAATGTTACAGCCTCTGATAATATTGTCAGCAAAGAAACAGACTGAGTGACATGACATAAAAAACAATTTAACCGCTACATATATTTATGTGGTAGGCATAAAAACTTACAGGTTAAAAATTCTAAACTATAAAATTATAAAATACAATTATATAAAACGTTACAAAATAATGCTTCAAAAAATGGTAAAGAAAGCTCTTTCAAAGAGAAAAAATAATAATAATACATGTAAAATATTAAAAAAATCTTGTTACTACATCTAAAAGTATATAAATGATTCCATGCCCCTTGGAAGGGCATTTCCTTTGATGAATAAAAAATTAAATGAAAACAACTAAAGCTTAATCAATAATTCTTTAAAACAAGATATAAAAACAGGGTAAACAATATAAAAGCACTTTGTGTTCTAAATATCTATGACCAAATGTCTAAACATAAAAGGTTAACAAAGACAAGTCTAACTTCTTGTGTCAATTAATCTATTGCAAACAAACTCTCACACTAAAAATACACGAATTTAAATTAATATTTAAACCCCCTTCCACCCCTATTCCCAAGCAATTCAATATTATTTATCTTTTTATCTACATACATGTATTAAGAATAAGGACCATAAAGACACTTGTGACATGGAATGTATAGGTAAAGATAAAAGTAAGAAATCTTTGTTAAGACCATACAACTATTCCAACTATTGTGTTTATCAGGCTATGATAAGTAATACAAAGGAAAGATCTTATTTAAAAAATTATACAATTTAAGTCCAAAATCAAGAAAAATATAGATCAACCTACCATTAGCACTCAACAATGATATCTATGTATTTTAGTTGCTCTTTCAACCCTTGACCTTTCAGAAGAATAAATATTCTGTGTCAATGTCATAGTGGGTTAACCTTAACCTATTTAAAACATATAAATGTTTGTCTTTTCACTGACTGTATGGTCCACTTTAAGAAGTAAAATGGTAAACAATAAAGTAATTGTCTACTGTCAGCACCATGACCATTACATGTTAACAATAGGACCTTTATGAAAAAGATTTGATTTACTGAAACGAGGACCTATGAGGTATAATGACTTATGATTTAAAGTTCAAAAGGTCAAACCATTCTAGGTTAAAGACCAAACCTATGTTCCTTCCAATGATAAAATGTTTTAAAGTATTTGTTTTCTGTTTTGTTACCATACATACAGGCCTATATATATTACCCAGTCAGAAGTCTAAGTATCCACCAACTGACTAGAATAAAATCAAATTTCCATCAAAAGAAATGACACTTATGAGTTTTAACATGCAACTCAAAGATCGTTCAAGAAGAATATATCCAATATAAGACTTTGGTGAATTTAGGAAATCAATTTTCATAATATCAGAATCAAGGCTTACAGCTTTAACACTTGAATTTATAAAAACCTCTTTAAAAACTTAAATGAATGCTCTGACTAGGGGCATTTAATATTTAACAATCAAAATGCAGTCATAACTCTACATTCAACCTGGTCAATATTAACAGATAACTACAGTATAAGAGCTGGAGCAAATCAGAGTTACACCCATTTTACATCAAGCCTTCAATATCAGACAAGGCTAATATCTCAAGTATTTATATGGATGAAATTGCGCTGTTTTCTCTTGAGTATATATTGACAATAAATGCCGTCGTTTGAGACTGGTTTCCAAGGAAGTCTTGTTTGTCCAAGCTAGTGGTTTCCCTAGATACCTCACGCCCCTAGGTGCAGAATAATGGATCCTTCCGGCACATTCCAATATACCAGGTAAACATAGTTCTCGTTTTATCATTATATTCGTTTAGTTTAAATTTATCTGTTTTTGGCGTCCATTTTAATGCATCTTCTCTTTTCTGAAAATCAATATAAAATTATTAATAAAGATAAGATTTATGTTTACCGTGAATAATATTTACACAATGCACTTGCTTCAAGTTCAATCAGACCAGACTAAAAATTGATTTTTTGTTTATTTTGCAGAAACTTTTTGCTTACTTTCAAAGAATATTAAATTCTTATTTACCAGTACTGTATGAAAATATGATCCTATGCTTACTACAATTATATTTGTTTGTTTGTCTTTTTCATGTCAATTTAAACTTATTTTTGTTCATATTTCAGCAGTTAGTCCACTAAACCGGTCATCCTGGTTAACTAACCCGTAATTACCATTTAATCTGCAAGTTACAGACTACTAATCCCAATGATTTCTGAATCAGCCATAAGAGACAAATCACCATATGATTCAACATGTGAGATTAATAGCTACTTAGAAATTTCGCCTCTAATAAGGATCAACCTAGCATCCCTAGGATTACAAATCTGATACTCTCCCTATTGTGCTATTTGGGTGGACATACAATTATGCAGTTTTAATTGTTGTCTTATCATAGCGCAAAATTTTTTTCAGTGAAACACAGAAATTACTTATTAGCTATCCCTATTGTACACAATCTCACCCAAGTAGAATCATCAACCTTCCAAGAAAAACATACTCTATGCTGAAAATCAAACTTGAAGTTGTGAAATGGAAATGATTTAAAGTCTGTTAAATAAATCAACCGAAGGCACTCCCTGTGATTTACAGGATTTTCCTTATTAACAGATTAAGGATCAATATCAATGGTTAAAATGCTGAACAATTTTTTTTGTTTTTTAAGTCTGAAGATCAGAATATCCCCCTTGATCTCTAGGCTAAATAAGTTGTTTTAGTTAGCACATCTGTTGCCTCAGATTAAAATGAAAACCCTTGATTACAGATGCTAGATTTTTAGGTTTATTCATTGGATATCAAATCTTTGGTGGAGAAAACATTTTTTTTCAATATAAGAAACAAATATGAGTCAGGGGCAAGTCATTATTGTCTTGAGCAAGTAACTTTACACTCATTGCTCAATACTGGCGTTGGTCCCATGAAACAGATTTCCAAAACTGTTGTCTAAAGCTTAAGCTAGCACAGAGCTTTCTCACCCTCCTCCTTTTCTTCCTATCACCCAATCAAACTAAAACAAATTCTGTATAAACCAAAAATGAGGAACAATGTTTAATTAAAGTCAGCTAGGAATAGATAAGAGCAGGACAACATACTATCTCTGGAGGGAACATTCGTCTACAACCACCTCTGTTTATATGCTCCAGGTAGGCACTTTTAAAATCATTCCTCTGTGCTGATGATAAACAATGATTGCATAAAGAACATTTCTGTAATAAACAGAAAAGAAAAATGCTGAAAAGTATAAAATTCTTAATACAAATACCTTTCCAATATATATAAACATGATAACCATGTTAAATCAATAATAAACAAGATTGCATTTGAGGAAAATGCTATGCCACCGCATTAATACAACAATAAATAGTAGTGTAGGAACATATTTTTTTGTTTCTATACAATAAAGATTGTCATAATGCATAGATCCCTGACCTATCTAATTCTTATTATCAGATTAGTGGTTAAATCTATTGTTAATCAAATAAAAGATCAGAGTAGAAATATATCAATGCACTTGAGTCTAGTGAATTTGGTGGTTAAGATCATATTTCACACAGCCTAAATTTCATGACTACATCAAAGGACAACACAGTAAGACACTTTGTCAAAATCTAGGTCAGCTGATTCAAAGTTCACTAAATACATCTTAATCGGTGCACATGTTCAAATTTTCATAGCTGTAGATCAAAGCACAAGAAAGTAGGTCACATCATCAAAATCTAGGTCACCTGATATCAAAGTTCAATTTTACAACTAAAACTGTGCACATGGTCAAAAAATTTCATTGCTGTACATCAAGGACAAGAAAGTAGGTCACTATCCCCTTGGACAAGGCAAAATTTTTGACCCAAGGGTTTAATTCAAAACAATCTTGATACAGGTCCACCAAACAACATTTCAAGTCAAATATCTAAGCTGAAGCTTCTCCCATTCAGAAAACATTTTTTTATTTTCTGTTTTTTACTATGTGTAAATAATGAGAATCATGCACCACGGGCAGGGCCAGTTTTGACACCAGGGGAAAAATTTGAAATAACTTTGGTAGAGGACCTATAGTATGATATTACATGTATATTGCAAACATCAAAGCTCTATGCCTTGTACCTTCAGACAAAAATATTTTTTTATTTTTTTACTAGATGTACATAATGAAAATCAATGACCCCGGGGCGAACTAATTTTGACCCCAGGGCTATATAATTTGAACAATCTTGGTAGAGGTTCACTTTGCAAAGTCTCATGCCATATATTTAAACTCTAGCCTTTGTCAATTCAGAGAAGAAGATTTTTCAATTTTTTTACTTTATACATATAAGGAAAACTAGTGCCTCTGGGGGTAGGGCAATTTCAACACTAGGGCATAATTAAAACAACTTTAGTAGAGGACCCATAGATGATATTATATACCAAATATCAAAGCTCTAAGCCTTGTACCTTCAGACAAGAAGATTTTTTAATTTTATTACTATATGTTCATAGTGAAAATCAATGACCCCTAGGGGTGGGGGCCAATTTTGACCCCAGGACTATAGATTTTGTACAATCTTGCTAGAGGTTCACTACACAATGTTTTCATGCAAAATAATCTTAAATCTAGCCTTTGTCAATTTAGAGAAGATGTTTTTTTAAGTTTTTATTATATACATATAAGGAAAACCTATGGCCCCCGGGGTGGGGCTAATTTTGACACTAAGAGCAAAATTTGAACAACTTTTGGTAGAGAGTACCTATAGATGATTATCAATTTAATACACAATATTTAAAGCTCTAACCTTGTAGGTACCTTCAGACAATAAAGATTTTTTTTGATTTTTTACTATATGTAATATTTGAAAATCAATGACCAACAAAGCGGGGGCAATTTTGGGACCCCAGGGCTATAAATCTGAACAATCTTGCTAGAGGTTCACTACACAATGTTTCAAGCAAAATATCTTACCTCTAGCATTTGTCAATTACTAGAAGATTTTTTTTTAAAGTTTTTACTGTAAGTTTTTACTATATACATATAAGGAAAACCAATGACCCCCGGGGCGGGTCGATTTTGACCCCAGGGCTATAATTTAACAATTTGGTAGAGGTCTACCAGACAATGCCTTATGGCAAAATATCTAAGCTCTAGCCTTTTGGGTCTTTACAAGAGTATTTTAAGTTTTTTACTATATGTACATATAGTGAAATCAATGACCCCGGTGCGGGGCTGATTTTGACCCAGGGCTATAATTTGAACAACCTTTTGGTAAGGTCTACAAGACAATGCCTTGTGCAAAATATCTAAGCTCTAAGCCTTTTGGGTCTTTACAAGAAGATATTTTTAGTTTTTACTATATGTACATATAAGCGAAAATCAATGACCCCCGGGGGGCCGATTTTTGACCCCAGGGCTATAATTTGAAAATCTTGGTAGAACTGTCTTCCAGAATGCCTTATGCAAAATATCTAAGCTCTAGGCCTTTTTGGCGTCTTTTACAAGAAGATATTTTTAGTTTTTACTATTTTGAAACATATAGTGAAAATCAATGACCCCCGGGCGGGGCTGATTTTGACCCCAGGGCTATAATTTGAACAATCTTGGTAGAGGTCTCTACCAGACAATGCCCCTTATGCAAAATATCTAAGCTCTAGGCCTTTTGGGTCTTTACAAGAAGATTTTTTAATTTTATTCTTATAATTCCTTTTGGGTTGCCATGGCAACCAGATTTCTGCATGGAATGAAATTCTTTGAACAACGTTTGGAAGCCCTTCACCCAAGGATCAATCCTGCCAAGTTTTGGTTGAAATTGGACTAGTGGTTTTTCACAGAGAAGATTTTTTAAGTTCACTATATAATCTATATAACACACACACACACAAACAAACAAACAAACGCACACACACACACACACACACACAGGTGAATCGCTATATGCCACCGCATCGCAGATGCTGCGGTGGCATAAAAACCTTTAAATACAAAAATAAATACAAAAAGTTAATATAGACTTTGGAATTTCAAGATAACTTTGTTGTTTAATTTGGAAATTACAATATTACAATATAAGAATTTGATTACGAAACAGTCTATAATAACCTTATTATGTACTTATAAAACCTTATTCTGAAATTATAGACATACTCTATCATAATATTATTAACAAGGGCTGTCAGTGAGACAGCGTGCTCGGCAATTCTCAGTACAGTCTACTTGATAATAAAACAATGGCCTTGATAATGCTGACTTTTCCAAGTTCAAAAAGGACCTTAACTCTGTCAAGAGTTATATGCTTTGGATAGTGATCTCCTATAATGGTTTAAGGTGTGTGAAGTTTCAACCTATACCCTTCAGTCATTTTGGAGAAAACAACTTGCATGCAAAAACTTACGGTAACCAAAGTGTGATGCCTTCTCCTGGCTGAGTACAATAGCTCTCCCTATTCTTTGAATAGTCGGGCAAAAATGTATTCTAGGTTTTACAATGATATTTTTACCTTGGATTAATATATAAAACATATCAAATACAGATATAATTTTCTTAAGAAATAGCTCAAAATTCAGTTCAAAATAACTGAAAGATATCTTAACAATGAATACTTACCTAAGTATTAACTTCAAAAAATATTTTTGTATAAAATTTTAACAAATTAAACTGCTTAATTAAAAGTTGATATACCGCCTAATGGGCGGGTCCCCCCCCCCGGACAGATATTTCAATTTGAACCTCAAACATATGTCAGATATTTTTCTTGCATATTCTACCATATTCCATCATATTTTAAATGCTTTACCTAAATAAAAACAATTTTCCATGGAATTTTATTTCATTACACCCATAACTATTTCCTTTCAACACCATTTGAAGTTACAACTTCATTCATAACGGCGAAATTACTTTATCCTAAGCGTGCCGTTGTTTACTCCCCATGCTAGATGAAATTTCAGGCATGGGTAAAACTTACAGAAACACCAGTCTGATATGCAAGAATATATTTCATAAGAAAGTGCTAGTACATGACTATATACCTGATTATCACAGTGACCTATACATTCTTGCTGGGTACACCAGTCTGAAAACACCGCTATATCCCTGTCTGATACCAACATTTCATCTAGATGTTTATCACTAAAAATATAAACATACATTTATTACTGCTAGCTTTTTATATTTAACTATCATAGATTTTTATATGAAATCCATTTCAATATTGTTGATTCTTGTTTATAATATAGAAATATAGACTTATTTTGTTCAATTTATTTCTGGTATGTGAAATTCCTGACACATTTCATTTAAATTACCATGTAAAACATATGTAAAAACACTTTATATATAGCTTAATTCTCAAACTGAAAAAGGTTTGTTTGCTGGGTCTTTAGTATGGTGGATTCAAAATATCAAGGACACAGAAATCTGTAATTCATCTTTCCATAACCACTATATTATTTTTTATGTCATCTGCCACATTTCAATTTTACCTTTATCAAAGTCAGTTTTTCATTTTTATGTAAAAATAACAGAAAATCAATGAATACAAAATACATATTGACAATAAGTACATGTAAACAAGGATCAAAGGTAGAAAGAAGAAGCTACCTACCTAGTATGAAACTGGTTCTCTATCATAGAAGCTACACCCGACACCCTCAGTACATTATATATAACATGTTCATACAGTCTTCTGTTACCAATGAAATGTCCTGTTGCTAGGTTAGGTGACATGTTCACCTGAAAAATAATTCATTCTATTATGTACATACCATAATCAGTAATGATATATGAAAGGGTTACACATTCTTACTAAGTAGGAAAACTAACACTCTAAAAATCACCCAGGGAAATTCCCACAGATGATACTGCTTCTAAATTATCACATCTTAGTTATTGCAAGCAAAAAGATTTGAAAAACCAATTTGGACCAAAACATATTGCATAAAATAAAATTGAGCCGCGCCATGACAAAACCAACATAATGCGCATCTGTGCAGTCTGATCAGGATCCATGCTGTTCACTTACAAACCCTATAACAAGTAGAGAAACTGACAGCAAACAGCATGGATCCTGATCAGACTACTAGCGCAGGCTGGTCTGGATTCATGCTGGTCGCAAATGCACTATCTTGGTTTTGTCATGGCTCGGCTCATTAATATTCATTGATGACTTCATCACCAGTATTTTCAAAAGTTCTTACCTCCATTAAGTATACTTTCAGTTTTTCATCCAACACAAAATCAAACCTCACTAGCTCGAAGAAATTCCTGCAATTAGATGAAATTTCCAGTTTACATACAGAAATATACTATATGTAGTTAAAGCGGGAATGTCAAAACTTAACACAGAGTATGGATGCATAGCTTGTTTGCAAATGTTTATCAATTACTAAATAATTGTATTCTATCCACAACACACTGCCTTAAATTATGAAAACATAATTAAATATATTTAAAATTAAAATATGATCATTCACGATTCACTAAGTTTCCATTTTGATAATAAAAAAAACAAAAAACAAAAAAACAATGCAAATTGCATCAAGCAAAACCAGAAAACATTTTTTTTTTAATAATTACATTCAAAGAACAATTCCTCACCTCTTTATACAATGATTTTGATAATAATAGATTGACATACCTAGTAGTTTTATATTTAGCTCCTGCTGACATTAAAGTACTTTGTTTCTGTAAGTATACTGCTCTAATTGTTTCATGTATATCCCTCCAAACCTTTGTTATATTCTTCCCTGAAACAAAATTGTAGTATTCATAATCAGTTTCTGTTGTTTCCACACAAACCAGTTCTCAACAATTGGTCATTTTTATAGAGCTACCAATGAATTATGTAACCATTCTTTAAATAAACTTTCAGAGTTTATTAAAAGTCATTAACATTTTAACAAAAATGAGTTTCTGAGAATTAAGGACAGGCCACTTAGCAGTACCAAACATCAGTGCCTTAAGTGCTTTGATTTGAAAATTCAAATACAAACGTAATAAAGTTAATCTTAAACTGACATGTCCATCTTTTAATCTGGACTAAGACATTTGAAGGAAAAATTTCAAAATAAGTACTGACATAAAAAATGAACAGTGCACACAGTTTAAACAGCAAGAGTTTACAGGCTGATCTTGATGGTTGCTGCCATCTGGCAAAGAGTTAACATGTCAAAGCAAATAAGGATTGAAAATAAAATGAAATCAGTGTGTGACCTGCCATATTTAAAATGGCTTCATGCACTGATTTTACACTCCAATGATGACTTCCTCAAATTAAATATGACAGGTGTGTAATATGGAGAAATTAGAATGGTTATATTACATTTAAAACAATCAACATCATGGGATACATGTATATGTATATCTTACCTTTGCTTATCATATGTCTGTTAAAAGATTCCATAAAAGTATATTTCTGGTTTGTATACAGATCTTTTAGTGATGGCATCTGAAATCACAAATTTACAGAAGTTATGTTTTAACTTGTATAAAAAATAAATTACTGCATTATATCAGAAAGATCAGTGACAGAAAATTCCCTTTTTTGCAACAATATTGGGGGGGGGGGGAAATTTGTTGATATGGCAATCATAAATTACTAAATGCACAATTTTCACATTGCAACATAAGAACAAATTTGGAGGAACAACTTTTATCTCACAAGTATAACTTTTCACTACTAATAATAGACTCGCATTGCTTTTAAATAGTGTCTGTCAATTGTTAATATGAGAACTTTGATATCAAAATGTTGAAATTAGGCAGTCAATAGTATAGACCCAGATAGGAATGCACAGATATCCAGTTGGGGCTAGCTCTTTACTAATGATTGATGTAGTCATTGTGGTGTCCAAGATTTAATATTACCTCCCACATTGGTGTGTAAGCATCATGTACAACATATTTGTCGACATCAGCGGCATCAAATGGGTAGTAACTCTTTGAACAAAACCTTAAATAACATAATACATAAAATATATTACATTAGCACATAAATATTCTTACATTATACAGTGAAATTTGAGAAAACCGGACGCTGAGAAAATCGGAACTCTCTAAATACCGGACGAATAATTCAGTCCCAAATTTTCCCTTCTTTAAACTATTGTATTAAACATTGACAATACCGGAATCTGTAAAAACCAAATATCGGACGGTTGATTGGGGACTACAAAGTCAATTATATAGACAATTACCCTGACAATACCGGACGCCGAATGTGTGAATAACCTTGTGTACTATCAGTTGGTTGTGTCTAATACGCTAACTGGTCGGTAACGGAACAATTATTGTCTTATTGGTTGATAATGTCTCTTTTCACAGTTTGATTTATTGTAAGGTATAGATATTACCATTTTATATAAATGCCAAAATGCACGAGGAATTGATCAGTTAAAATCAGTATGAATAAAAAATTGAGTATTTTTCTACTGTGTTGCTTTTTGTATATTCATTTCCTAAAATGACAACGCAACGGAAATTATCGGCGCTAAGTTCTATTCCATGACCGAAAGGAATTCGACGAGAGCTGTCTACAAGTGACAAAGTTAAATAAATTAAAGACAGTGAAACTTTGCCGAGACCTACATTAAAAATCTGACCAATATGTTATTATTATCAACAAACAAAGTAAACTATGTTCGTTAAATCATTATCCATTACCCAAATGTAAACATATGTGAATGTACTCGGACTTGATCGTTATGAGGTAATTGCTGTTCATTTAAATCCAAACCTTTATTGTATTTATATGCAATAATGGGACAAAAACAATTAAAACCTATTTTCTTGTATTTTAATCATTTCTTTATTTAGCAATATATGTACACATGATCATGAAAATGCAAATATACAGCATCCTTTGTAAGTCATTGCTCGGTTATAATATAAGATCCTGAACAGCTGAAGGGCACATTGAGAATACCGGACATCTGAGAAAACCGGACAAAACCCTCAGTCCGAAAGCCGTCCGGTTTTCTCAACTTTCACTGTATTCATTTATGAATGATAAAAAAAAAAAAACAAGTGAATATTCAGGTATTTTAGAATTTAAGACTGACAATACATCATGCATTAGAATACAAACATGGTTACATTTTAATGGCAGGCAAACTACTGTAACTGATTTGTATAATGATACATTGAAATATTTTTCTTCAAATCAAGCAATACTAAGACACAAATAGCCTTCTTATAATCAGAATAAAACATATTTTCTTTGCTGATACTTTAAATTAAAAGAACTGCACCGCTTTGGGTACAAATTCAGGCAGAGACTTTCAATTCTTTCATGTCTGAAAGCTAGCTTATGGAAGGTTGGTGGTTCTACACAGGTGCCAACTGGTGCCGGAAATAATGCACAACAGGGCACCTGAGGTTTGTCTCCCCCAGTAAAGCTTGAAAGTAACCATATATCCTTTACTTTGTGAGTGTGACATAAAGCCTTTAAACTTTTATTTCTAAAGCTGGTCCTACCTGGAATTTGAAACTTATTCATTTCAAGGAATGTTTTTTCTAGTATATTACCGGTATTAAATGTAAAGACAACAATATACAGTCTGGTCCGACTGTGTGGTATTGCAGATTGATCTAAAATGTAGCTTTGACACAACATTAGTATTGCAAAAACGTCATTGAACTAATCAAACTAACCTGATAAGAGCTTCATCGTTGATAATATACACTCTTAGAGGGTTCAATGATGCTAAAATGGCATATACTCCAATATCAAATTTCCTGAAAGAAAAATATAAAGGAGAAGTTTTGTTTATTTGAATGTAAATGTAATATAGTTTAATAACATGCTGTTCATGTACAAGTAAATTTGTTTAAATAAATGTGAGCTATAATATGTAAGTTATGTGTATCACAAAACCAATTGCTTGTTCAGTAGAATGTCAAGGGAGGTAACTAGAGTCAAAATTTATCACATATGCAATGAACTCAATTGTAGAAAATGCAATAAAATTAAAAGAATTCTAATTTTGCCTCAAATTTCAATCTCAAATCAACATTCAAATCTAATATCTTCCACATCCTTTGGCAGAGATACATTTAAAGATTTTATATTCATCTGCAGCATTGAGCAAACAAAAAAAACAAAAACAATATCAATATTTTCACAGGTTTTCCTTCAATAAATGTACAGAAACATTATGAACAAAACAAAATATTCTATAGTAACCTACCTGTCATCAATTAGGAATGGTTTGTCGACAAACTGTTGTACAAATGACCCATTTGAATCAAAGTCAATCTCTGGAAATATAAACACACATTATGATAATTTCATCTTAAAGACACATATCCAAACAGGCAACAATTATACTACTAAGTCGTTAGATACACTAATTGTTGTCTATCTAAATTTACCTGGTACATATGAGCTAATTCTTAAGCATATTTGACAGGATTATCTACTGTTTACAATGGTGCTTAAAAAAACCTGTCTTACACTTGGCAGAGCCTCTTTATCCCCTTTAACAGTTACCTTGAGCTAGATATTCCAGTCTGTACCGACAACCAGTGTAACATCTCTATACTCTGGTTTTCAGCATTCAAAATAGGGGATATAAACATTATTATGGTAATGCAGAATAATTATACTTCTTATTATATCTTTTATGGTACTATAACTTAAATGCCTTATATGAAGATCTAAGCTTGATATGGAAGGCTTATTCATTCAATACTGGAGCATGTCAAATATCTTACCTCCAATTTGTTTGATTTTTATTCCTCTATGGTTATTATTCTTTTGTACCCACATTGTCTGTGGATTTTCTTTAGCCTGTAAGCATTACAAATATTGAAATTTTATCAAAATCTAGTTTTGTACATAAGAAAATGTTCTTGGGATAAGTCTTAAATTGAAATAATGTACTTCAATATTTAATTGGCCAAGTAATTATGTCCTTTCAATTTACAGGTACAAAATATATACATGTAATAAAATTGTTTTGATGTCTTGCATAGAACAGCTGCTGTTCTGTAGAAAATTATGTTGAAAAGAGAATATGAAATGAAATAGTAGTGGCACACTTGAATATTGATTGAAGTTCTGAACATGTCTATAAAATATGGATGTATGTCTCTTTATAAGAACTGTATGAATCAGGTAAGATTTGTGGCAGGAAATAGTGACTGGTTTAACTCATACAGACTTTGTTTAAGTCATACATGTATATTAATTGTACAGCTACATTGTATTATAGGATAAATTCTTTGTTTCCTGAGGTTTTCGAAAAAATATTTACATATACATTCAACTAAGTTAATTCAAACATAGCAAACATATTACTATAAGCAAAAAACACAATTCATTATTTACAAGAGCTGTCGGTAGGACAGCAACGCTCGACAATTCTTAGTGCTTGATAGTAAAAAAAATGATTGATACAGTTACCTCCTCCTGTTTACAGATTGGGGTCATGATGGTGAACAAGTGTGCAAAGTTTCAAAGCCATATGCCAATGGACTTTGAAAATATTTGAACTATTACAAAAACTTTAACGTAAATTCTAAGTCGAAAAAGGGGCATAATTCTGTCAAAATGCTTGATAGAGTTACCTCCTCCTGTTTACAGGTTGGGGTCATGATGTTGAACAAGTGTGCAAAGTTTCAAAGCCATATGTCAATGGACTTTGAAAATATTTGAACTATTACAAAAACTTTAACGTAAATTCTAAGTCGAAAAAGGGGCATAATTCTGTCAAAATGCTTGATAGAGTTTCCTCCTCCTGTTTACAGGTTGGGGTCATGATGTTGAACAAGTGTGCAAAGTTTCAAAGCCATATGTCTATGGACTTTGAAAATATTTGAACTATTACAAAAACTTTAACGTAAATTCTAAGTCGAAAAAGGGGCATAATTCTGTCAAAATGCTTGATAGAGTTACCTCCTCCTGTCTACAGGTTGGGGTCATGATGGTGAACAAGTGTGCAAAGTTTCAAAGCCATATGTCAATGGACTTTGAAAATATTTGAACTATTACAAAAACTTTAACATAAGTGGTTACGCCGACGCCGACGCTCGGGTGACTGCAATAGCTCTACTTATTCTTATCGAATAGTCGAGCTAAAAATCAATAATATGTCTTAAGAAAGTATATAACTTTTATACAGCTGGAGAATAAATATCAAATACTTTTGAAATCTTACATATCTAAGAAGCTTCTCCTTGTCCTTTGGTACTCTGAAAGCTCTAGGAAAGGCATCTAGTTGTAATGTTGCTAAACTGCCCTTGTTGGTGATGTAACCTGAACCTGGGAAATGATTCACCTAAAATAACAACAAACACCTATATACAGTAAAAACTTCCAAAAAGTCAATAAAAAAATCTAAATTTATTCATCACACATGAAGAGTACATTACAAACTTCATGGTCATACAGTTAACCTAGCTTTAACAACCAATCATAATAAATTGGAGAAAAATATCTTTAATTGGAAAATAATGTTCTCTGAAATCATGTAATTTTTAGGTAAAGTTTAGACTAGAAAAATAAAAATGCTTGTCTTAAGTGTTAGGTATTCTTATAAACTAAGGAGGTCTTTAGAACAGGTTTAACTGTTACTGATAACAAAACACTGACGTAATTTGAAGTGGTTTACTTATACATGTTCTGTCAATAAGGAAAACTTACCATATTTATATATGTACATCTACTTTGGTTACAAAACAACACGTTATGATTATAAATAATGCAGAAACTTCTTCCCTGAATAATTATCATGTTTTCAAGGAAGCATATAAATGTCAGGAACTTCAATAAGGGATAATTATTATATATCTAATTGAATGCAATTTAGAAAAGCTATTATATAAGCTGATGATATTTGGTGCATTTTTTCCCACATACACAACAACTATATAATTGAACCATGTCATGACAAAACCAACGTAATGGGTTTGAGACCAGCATGGATCCAGACCAGCCTGCGCATCCACGCAGTCTAATCAGGATCCATGCTGTTCACTTTCAGTTTCTCTACTTGTTATAGGGTTTGTAAACGAACAGCATGGATCCTGATCAGACTGCGCGGATGCGCAGGCTGGTCTGGATCCATGCTGGTCTCAAACCCATTATGTTGGTTTTGTCATGGCGCGGCTCATATAATGCCTATTAAAAATTTAACACTTGGTATTCTAGCAACTAGAAATATTTAACATTCACCTTGACCCAAATAAAGAACAGGAAGTCTAAGAAATGTTCCTTAAGCTTCGACTAGCCTTATAGTTCAGGAGATTTTCTTAATTTCTGTATTTGTCTTATCTTGAATCTAGAAATAATCCATGTTAATTTGAGAGATTACAATATATAAATGCTAAAAGTCAATTTAATCTAGTCATACAGCACACAAATACTGATTGACATAGCTCTTTACTGGTGACATAGGTAATTAGTTAATCAAATCTTTGTAAAAAAGACGATGTACATATGTATAAGTCTGTAAATAAAATTCTGTTCTGTTCATTAATGTAAAATTGAAATGAATTGTCACAGCTTGAGAAAGATGTTATTATTATATACAAATGCCAAAGGCACTTAAGGCTTACAACTCATAAATAACCTAATGATAAAAATTTATACATACCCTCTGGTAAGGCTTCAGTTTTGTCATATGTTTTGCCATGTTGATAAAAGGGTAATCATGTACCCATAAAACATCCCAGTCATCTTCGCCATTGGTCACAAAAAATCCTAGCCTCTCAAACACGGCCTTCACATGATCTAAATAGCCTGTCTCCAACTGTAAATAATTATAGAAATATTTCCTTTCAATGATTCACATATCATGTTCATTTTGTAAGATTTCACAAGAAGTTGATTTATTTCACACAAGCTTTATAATCAATATAAAACAAATCCTATATGAACGTTTAATGTCCTTAGATAAATATATAATATGATTGGTATATTTTTTGTTGTGTTTTTAACTGGGCACCAACACAGTATAGGTCATATGGCGACTTTTCAGCTTTACTGGTGGAGAAAGACCTCAGGTGCCCTTTGGTGCATTGTCTAAAGGATTGGTACATGTACCTCAACAAAACAAGAGCCACCATATTTTTTTGTTGGGTTTTTACCTTGCACCAACACAGTATAGGTCATATGGCGACTTTCAGCTTTACTGGTGGAGAAAGACCTCAGGTGCCCATCCGTGCATTATATAAAGGATCGGTATAGGTACCTCAACTTAACAAACACATGGTTAAAGATAAATAAATAAAGTCTTTAATTACAAAACTGTGGCCTTGTGGTTGAGGTGACTGACGCTAAACCAAAGGATCACAGGTTCGAGTTGTACTGGTTAATTAAAAGAACTTGTTTCACATAGCTACACTGTAGCATAAACCATTTGTCAAAAAGGCTCAATTTAACTAGTCCTGCAACAATTTCAATTAAGGCTGTATTTAACAACCTTGAAGGCCTACACATTTTACGCTTTTAAGCAATTAACCCTCTTACATGTTTTCCAGAGATCCACACTACAGGTGATGTTTTGGTAGCCTTTCCAGCACTGCCCTCAGCCATAGAACTAATGTGCCCCCTGGTATGATAGGAATGTTCCTCCTTTAACTGATGAAGCTGGTATATATTCAACACTGTAATCAGTAATCCTACCCCTATCACAGTTCCAACCAGAATATTCATCTTGGTTGCACGGACACCTTTCGTTTTAGGCTTGAACATCATATCCCCAGGATAGTTCTTAAAAAATAAAAATTATGACATTATACATAAAGGATAGTCATGAATAATAAAATTGATATTATATCTAAAGGATGGTTCTTCAAAATGAAATAAATATCATAGCTCCAGGATTGTTCTCAAAAAAATAAAAGAGATGAGCATTTAACCAAATAAAGCATGACTATCACTAAAGCAGTTCAAAAGTTAGAAAGGAAAAGAAATTACAGACTTGAACCTTTCACCTGTAACTGTGACCTTGACCTAAAAGCTGGGTGCCTGAAATGTGGATATTTTTTGTCATTTCTATTAGAAAAAAGCCATTTTAAAAGTAATATACACATCCTTCAGGCATTTAAAAATACATGTATATGAAGTGGACAGTCAAACCTATCACCTTGAACAATTACCTTGACCTTGGAGTAAGGCACCTGACATATGTCAGCTGCACACTGTCTCTATTGGAAAAACATTTGACCTAAGTATCATGAATTTGTTTCAAGAGATTAACAAGAAAAGCATTGATGCAAAGCATCAAAGGGCGTCCAAGCAAGACATGCAGAAAGTGAAGATGAACTAGTAGACATATGATGTCAAGATATTCTTATAAACTTTTCAATGATTAGTTGGTTTTTACCAGAATGAACGGACGGAAGACATTGTTCATTATGAACTTTGATTGGCATGCTAGAGATTAGAATATTACTTGTTATTTCTTTATGATCGTGATTATTAATAGCAACGGATATACATGTATACAATCATTTATAATCCATATGTGTAACGCATGATCAACACCACACTTGTGGAATTGTCCCTTATTATGTAATCGATATTAGCGAAGACACCCTCTTAAGGTATCTGTTCACACTTAGTAAAAATATGACACTGGTTATATTACCATGTCATGTTGAGCATTATTGTTTATTATACAATAATTGTAATATCTATTTTAATAATACAATAATACAAAAATACAGATTTTATGAATATTGTTTTCCTCTCTTTTTTGTGTTTTTATGTGCTATTTTAATACTGAGTTTTTTACGTTTACTACTATTTTTTTCATTAAAATTGTAAAATAAATTTTAAGAATTCAATTGTCATATTGACCGACTATTATAAGTCAAAACTTATAACTGGAAATAGTCAGTAAATTATGGTTAATCTTTCAATATATAATATTGTTTATTCTTAAACCCTATACATGTACATTTGTATTTTTCTTTATCATTTTCTAAATTATCAATCAATTAGATAATTAATAAAATCTAATTTGTAACTTTGAATAAATCCTCGGCATCTTTACTAAACACATATAACAAATTAAATAAAATGTTTCAAAGTTGATAGTGTCATATTAAAACCATAAAAATGCACCTTTTTTCCCTATTATTGTACATATTTATTGTTTTTTTATCTCATATAGATAAAATGAAACATGCTATTGTTGTTGTTGTTTTTTTTTTCGAATTGTATGTTTATGTATAATAATAATCAATAAATTTGAGAGTTGATCTATGTTTATTAATTATTGTAACCAAACTAAGTGACAAACATTCATTTTGGAAAAAGGCTTATTTATCTGTAAAATATTTGTTCTGTTCTGTAACGATATCAAACATCTACTCCAAAACCGGGAGAGACCGGACAATAAACGTGTGGTCACTAGTATCCCGGTCAAAATAGACCGGGAGAGACCGGAATTACCGATAGGAGTACATCCCTCTATAAATAGATTTTCGGAATATTTAGGTCATCAACTCATCATTCTATTTTAACATACCATGATAACCCACTGTGTACTACAAAATGATAAATAAAAAAACCGAAGAGACGGAAAAGGTTATTGCATTTGAAAATGTTTGCATTGCGAAATCCTCCAGTTCGCTATTCATTGTACATATCGCGACATTTCATTTTTAATTAATAATAATCAAGCACCCTCATACCGATCGGAATGACCGGCTTTTATTATGACCGACTAAAAGGCTCGAGAAGTTGCTGTCGCCCTTTCACAAAATCTGATTTCATTCCATAAAGGGGCGCCGCGCTTCGGCGCGGACGCCAAATACACATAGAGCATTCAATATTGCTGAACTGAACCTCTGACCTTCAAGTGTGACCTTGACCTTACAGTATGGCATATAAAATGTGGATTCTGCATGTCAAAAGTATATATTATAATATAAAGGATAGATCCTATCAATATAATATATACTATATCAGATCACAAGGATAGTTCATCAACATGAAAAAAAATATACGTCATTTCAATTATTTTGTCACACAGCCACTGAGTATGTTTAAGATAGATTTAAAATCAGATCAAAAACACATTTTCCTTCCCATTTGATTTTTCTTGCTGCATACAACTTTACTTGGCTTGGCTAATACAGAGGGTAACCTCTGTTACCTAGAATTTGTGACTTTAAATCTTACACAATTGTTTTTCTTTACTTTTTTTAAGGTAAAAACATCTCAAGGCCTGTTTCAGACGATTAACAAGGTAAATATTTGTGAAGAACATGTCAATAAAATACTGTACAAATGTAACAGTAACAAAATCAAAGAGCACTGATTTTGTTATTTGCTTCAATACATGACCAAAATGATGTCACATATTGTCATTAAATTAATCAAACAGATTTTACATCGCTCAAATCTTTGTCAATTTGTGACAACACGCTTGATGTTTATTAATGAAGGTTACTGAATAAAATTAAGCTTGATGAATTACTTTAATGATAATGTACAGGATTTATGTCAATATTAAGACAATATCATGAATAAACTGTGTAGATAGGTACTGCTTCATAACTGATTTGGCCCATTTTATTCATACATAACACTCAATGTATTCAGTTCAGAAATACCAATTCACTCCAATTTACAAATAACCTTTAAAACATAACTCGGCTAATGACATATTAATGTAGCACGACACATATTTTATATAAATATAATGCCTTAAAACTGTAAGAATGTAAATGATAGTCTAACCAGGCATTACATTAAGCAGGAAGTTAAAAAAATGCATATCGGTGATTGGATCATTATAATGTATTTAAATCATGAATATTTCATGACAATATAACAGGTTTAAGAGTACTTACAACAAATTTGGAGTAAGGTGCGGTATTCATACTTCAACCAGTTTCAACACTGTAAAACAAAATAGAATACCATTACAAAAAGACAAGCAGTAGAGCAACTCAATCCCATATACATATATAATAAGATTAAGATAAGTTTCTGATTAAATTTGCTATTTTCCTATGTCTATTTATTTTCTTGTGTCAGGTACAATGCATTTTCCTATGTCTTGCGAATTTTCCTATGTCAGCATATTTTCCTATGTCTACATACTATGTAATTTCCTATGGCTATCTATTTTCCTATGTCTAGGTATTTTTCTTTGTCTGCCTATATTCCTATGTCTAGATATTTTTCTATGTCTAGGTACAATATATTTTCCTATGTCTATCCATATTCCTATGTCTAGCTATTTTCCTATGTCTAGAATAAACTAAATGACTTAAGAGGACATAATTTTTTTTTCTCTTTCTCTTCATTGGGAAGAGGCCTTTGCCTCTTGATTTTGGGAAGATATATTGCTAAAATTCCTAATTTAGGAAAGAAAAATTTTAATGATTTTTGGTAAAACACTAAAACTGCATTTTTAAAGAAAGTTTCAGTTGGGCTAATGCCTCTTATTGTAAGGGCCGTGTTATATAATGTAAACTAGAACTATCACTAAATGTGATTAATACCCCCACAAGTCTGCTTAGGAAATGAGGATGTTACTAGTAACAGAATACCTTGTAATAGAATTGAAACATAGAGTTATGGTTGTGGGCAATTAAAGATAATTGTGGTTCATGTATGTTGCATTTCCTTTCAATGTGGTTGGCCATTGATGAAGTTTAATTGAATTACTCTGTAATAAGTCCAGAAAGACAAAAAAAGAACAAAGGGCAATAACTCTATAAATACTGAAGATAGAGTTATAGTTCTTGTGCACTGCACTTCCTCTTATTGTGCTTGACCATTGTATGAAGTTGTTTTGAATTCCAACCAGTACGTTTTAAGTTATGCTCCGGACAAGGAAAAGTATCAAAGGGCAGTAACTCTGTATTTTGTCAAAATGGAGTTATGGCTCTTGTGCACTGCACTTCCTTTTAATGTCCTTGACAACTGTATGAAGTTGTTCTGAATTCCAAACAGTAGTTTTCAAGTTATGCTCTGGACAAGGAAAAGTAAGAAAGGGCAATAACTCTGTAATTAGTCAAGATGGAGTTATAGTTCTTGTGCACTGCACTTCCCCTTCTTGTGCTTGACCATTGTATGAAGTTGTTTTGAATTCCAACCAGTAGTTTTCAAGTCATGCTCTGGACAAGGAAAAGTAACAAAGGGCAGTAACTCTGTAATTAGTCAATATGGAGTTATGGTTCTTATGCACTGCACTTCCTCTCAATGTACTGGACCATTGTATAAAGTTATAATGAATTCCAATAATAAGTCTTCAAGTTATGGTCCAGACAAAAGAAAGCAATGGAAAAGTAACAAAGGGCAATAACTCTGTAATTAGTCAAGATGGAGTTATGGTTCTTGTGCACTGCACTTCCCCTTATTGTGCTTGGCCATTGTATGAAGTTGTTTTGAATTCCAACCAGTAGTTTTAAAGTCATGCTCTGGACAAGGAAAAGAAACAAAGGGCAGTAACTCTGTAATAAGTCAAAATGGAGTTATGGTTCCTGTGCACTGCACTTCCTCTCAATGTGCTGGACCATTGTATGAAGTTATAATGAATTGCAACAATTAGTCTTCAAGTTGTGGTCCGGACAAAAGAAAGCAATGGAAAAGTAATAAAGGGCAATAACTCTGTAATTACTTTAGATAGAGTTATGGTTCTTATGCACTGCACTTCCTCTCAATGTGCTTGACCATTGTAGGTAGTTATATTGAATTCCAACCATTAGTCTTCAAGTTATGGTCTGGACAAAAAAAGAAGGCAATGGAAAAGCAACAAAGGGCAATAACTCTGTAATTACTTTAGACAGAGTTATGGTTCTTGTGCAATGCACTTCCCCTTATTGTGTTTGACAATTGTATGAAGTTGTTTTGAATTCCAACCAGTAGTTTTCAAGTTATGCCCCGGACAAGGAAAAGTAACAAAGGGCAATAACTCTGTAATTAGTCAAGATAGAGTTATGTTTCTTACGCACTGCACTTCCTCTCAATGTGCTTGACCATTGTATGTAGTTATATTGAATTCCAACCATTAGTCTTCAAGTTATGCTCCGGACAAGGAAAATGCAACGGACAAAAAAAAAAGCAATGGAAAAGCAACAAAGGGCAATAACTCTGTAATTACTTTAGATAGAGTTATGGTTCTTGTGCACTGCACTTCCCCTTATTGTGTTTGACAATTGTATGAAGTTGTTTTGAATTCCAACCAGTAGTTTTCAAGTTATGCCCCAGACAAGGAAAAGTAACAAAGGGCAATAACTCTGTAATTAGTCAAGATAGAGTTATGATTCTTGTGCACTGCACTTCCTCTCAATGTGCTTGACCATTGTATGTAGTTATATTGAATTCCAACCATTAGTTTTCAAGTTATGCTCCGGACAAGGAAAATGCAACGGACGTCTGGACCGACCGACCGACCGACCGCCCGACCGACCAACCGACCGACCGACCACCGGGTGACTCCTATATACCCCCCCAAACTTCGTTTTTGGGGGTATAAAAAAAAGTTCCATAAAGAAGATGATCTTGGATGAATTCACACAGTTTGACCATACCCTGGTCATATGAAGTGAAAATAAACATGAACATGAAATTCCTAAAGTAAAAGTTTTACTCAAATAACAAAAAATCTATTTATTTTAGGCTTACAATGCCCTTAATAAAAACAATGAAGGTAAAAAAAATCCCCTTAACACTTACACATTTATACATTCTATTGCTTGGGTTTTATCAGTATGAAAACCAATTACATATTCATGAAATGAAATATAAAAAGGTTAAAATAAGTCATTTGCATAATTTTATTCTGAGATAACAACTCAAGGGATGTATGAATCAACTTATCTAGTTGTACGAGTATCAATTGATTTTATCTTGTCAGTCGTGCTGAAAATACAACTGTACTAAACAATTTCAGTAGCTCATTAGCAATTTTTACACTTTCATGAAAACTAAATAACAAGAATGCTGCATAGGTAGAGCGACATACATGTACATGTTACAATGTACAGTCAAATACATGTGTATCATGAAAATCAGTCAACCTGATAAAAAGTTTGAGAGAGGACAAGAAATTACAGGCTCAAACCTTTGACCTTTAACTGTGACACTGACCCACTAACCTTTAAACAGGGTGCATGAAATGTGGATACAATGTAGTACTTTTAATTATATTATCTCAATGACATATATATTTTCATACCTTGAAGGTGGTTTTAGATAAACATATGGAAAGTACTTTTTATGCAACATGCCTCCAGATTTATGCTTATTTTCATGAAAACTTTGAACATGTATTTAAATGTAAAATATTGTGAAGTGAACAAAGAAGGTAATTTAAACATTGCAAAAGGCACTTACAATCTATGTAAAGTACCAACAAGAGGACTATGATGGCCTTAAATCGCTCACCCAAGTCAGAATACTTGGTAGACACTTACTAGAAGATGTTTTATGCTTAATATCTAACCTCTAGCTATTTGAGTTTTTTTTAAAAGAAGATTTTTTGAGTTTTACTAATTTATACACATAAGGAAAATCAAATACCCCCTGGGACAGGGCCAATTTTGACCTCAGGGCTTTTATTTGAATATAATTGGTATACACTCACTGGAACAAAGATGTGTCATGCTCTAGCTCTTTTACATGGAGCTAAATATACATTGAGAAGAAACTGTGACGTCACACAGTTAAATTCAGTATCGGCGGAATTGTATATGAAGCAATAGTTATTTATCATAAAATGTACAATACACACTTTTCAATACAAATATTTCTCCTATGAGGATCCATGTTGGTTATGTAAACAATAATTCACAGATATCGCAAAAGTTTAACAAGAGCGTGAAAATCAGAGACTAGCGGAAAAACCTGATTATCACCGAAGCGCGCAAAGGATTGTGGGTCTGAATCTGACTATTGTCTATTTTCAGAGCTTCCTATCCATTGTATATATATCTGTGATGTTTCTCTAAACATTTACTGTAAATGAAGTTATTCAGTAAAAAAAATCAAACAGCAAACGCCATTTCAATCGTAATACTGTCCACTGAAAACTGGAAACTGACCTTATGTAATACTGTCGACCAAAAACCGGAAATTGACCTATGTACTAATCTATAATTGACTAATTATAAAACTTTACCAAATGGGTGTGATGAAATAATTCCGTAAAGACAGCAATGTTTTATACATTCGCATTCAGTAATGTTTTGTACTTAGCCATGAGGTCGATATTTTAGCCGAGTGTGTTAAAATTTGAATGGAATAAGTATTCAGGCTATGTTGAAGAATACATGTATATAATAAAAGAATAAAAGTATTATAAACATTATTGAAGAATATGTAATTGAATAAAGCCAATTATACCGATATAGACCGGTAATAAGTAAATTTGAGTTTTGTCTTTGATTTTTACAAATTTTGTATCACATCAAAATGCAGGGCCACTGCATTTTATGAAGGGTGAGTAAAAAAAATGATTGTTGAGGCCTGTTGGGGGAATAATCACTACATTATCTGGAAAAGAGTCAACTCGGCCCTATACCAACTCGGCACGGGTCAACTTGGCCCACTTTACAAAAAATATATATAATGTATTAATTTTGCTTTGCATGTTGTTAAGGTAAATGAATAATAAGAAATACCTTATTTTTATATAATTATCTGATTATACATTGTACTTCTTCTGAAATAAAGTATATTTAGAAAAAAATGTTATTTATCTGTCTTGCAGATTCGATAAAATTAATAAAGATCTAGATTCTAATAAAATGTGTTTGTAAAGTAATATTAAAAAAAAATATGAAACAAAAACGTGTTTTCTTAATATCATATAAGCTTCTAATTAAATCTTCCGTATAAGCGCATTGATTGCTGCTGAAATTCATTTGCACGTGTCATACGTTTTTTTGTCTTCTATCAAATAGAAAGACCTTGTCTGTGCATTATCTAGTTAAAGTAATAAAGAACAGAACAGAAGTTAAATATGTAGAAATACAGTGAGATACGCAATCGTTTATCTTTACTCGCAATTCTGCTGACAAGAAAAGCTTGTCTACTGCTAGTTCGAAACTGTCAATCCGTGTATTATAAATACAGGGCTCTCAGTAGGGTCAGAATTTCACGAGTCAAAGACTCTTTGGCCAAAATTTTCATGAGTCAAATCATTTTTTCTAGTGTCATTTGACTACATGAATCATTTTTATGTTACAAAAATGACTGTATTGAAGGTCATTTTTGGAGATTCCAAAGTCTAAATTGACAGAAAAAATGCCTACTTATGAATGTCTATACCCCCCCCCCCCTCCACCTAAAAAAATTAAAACCAAAAAAACACAAATAAAAGAAAAAATGAATTGCTGTGAAAGAATAAAATAAGCAGCAGCTTTTCTGATTAACTGTACTGTATCAAATATAGAAAAATATCTTTACTGGTATGCTATATCATATTAATTTTAAATACCAAAATGTACCAGGAATATTTAATGGAAAAAGAAATAACAAATACACAGGTACTCCAAGTAAATTAAAGACATATTATAAACCTTTAAAAGCAATCAATAATTGACACCTCAAGTAATTCTTATCAGTTGTGTATAGTCCTAATTATAAGACCTATACGTAACCTTTTTCATATTTATCATTCATTGATCTGATATTTTACATTTTTCATTTTCCATGTTACGTTAGGTCTTAACAGATCTTTGCAAAATCGTGTAGCAAAAAAATTGACATTAGACATCGATTTAGATCTAATGCATTTTAACAATTAAAACAGCGTGTATTTACATAAATTTTGAACTATTTATGAACAAAACTAAAAATTAAATACCTTTCAACAAAATAATTGAACTGTCACACCCGAAAAGTCATGATTTAATCCTCTCATTTAATTAAATTCCATGTACAGCAGATATACAAATGGCCGCCATACAGTGCGCGAAATCTGATTGGCTAATTCAAATGCAAGCGTTTAAATGACTCCAGAAGTTTCTAACGGAATATTTTTTCAACGAAATAATTGCCCATGCACCGTCAGTGTGTTCGAAAATATTTTTCCGTTCAAAAAATGGAATCAATCTGTAAAACGCTTTACTTAACCAGTATGGCTGATGAGCGAAATAGATTGATATTTATATTTTATTTTTAATTAATAAGTACATTGTTTGAAACTTTTTGTTAATGATAGACCATGCAATTGAAAGAACAGAAGATAAGCTTTTGAATAAAGCTTGAAAGGCAAGTCAACAGACATTTTTTTAATTTTTCAAAATGCTACGCGTTTTTGACCAATAACTATTAGACGTCAGGCTTGACCAAAATAAAACTATAACAAGCCTGTAACGTCTAATCTATTGGACTAAGTTGTGTAGAGCTATTTTTAGCGCTGTCAAATTGCAGTCACTGAATCGTCGCGCTTCAGTGCACAGGCTATAAACAATTGCTGTGTGTAAAGCATTTTATACACGGCTTATACTGCCTGTTGACATTTTTAATGAGTGTGATTTGAACATATGTAGGATTTGATAGGTAATTAGGGGTGGATTTAAGGTAATTAGTATTGCATAGCTGAAAATCCCGTGTGGCAAATTGACTCTTGAGCAGATTTTATCACGTGTCAAATTTCCCGATTTTCACGAGTCAAAACCCGGATCCCCGTGTCAATCGAGAGCCCTGTAAATAATTACAATAATTACAATAAATAGTGTTAACACAAACCTTAATATTAATAATTGAAAAGTGGGCCGAGTTGACCCGTGCCGAGTTGGAATAGGGCCGAGTCCGTTTTAGGGCCGAGCTGACCCGGATTCCATTATCTAGTTTAAACATATTTATTTTAACTCAATCACTAAAAAAGTTCTTGCAACTCATTTCATTTATCAAGTCTGTCTCCTGGAACTAGCCAGTACTGGTGCCATATATGAGGAAACATGGTTGAGACCCCTCTCAGGCTAAAACCCATATGTATTATGATCCCAGCCTGGGACCCAGGGTTAAAAGTTAGACACATAAGCCACTAGGCCAGCGCTGCCCTTTATCTGTTTACATTTTATACCTAAAACCAATAAACAAAATTAAATAGTAAACAATTATTTATCAAACTTCTCTAGTAACTTACTAGATTGGAAGTTCATTGAAGTTATCTAAAATATATCCGAAATCAATCTGTCAATTATCCGCTTATTATCGTTTAAAGCAGTGCTTCAAAGGCAATAAAGTTGTCAGATCGTTTGTCAGGACCAATCCCAAAATAACTTTGAACATTTACTATTAAAATATCCGTTTCCGTTTAAAATCGTACTTAATTTTGACATTGAAACTGCGAAGATATTTTTCCGTGTAGAGTTGTTGTTGTTGTGTTGTTGTTGTTGTTGTAAGTGAACTTTTCAGGTTAAACACCTCTAAATAACTTCAAATAAGCATAGGCGGAGTTGTCGTTCGTACATAATAGCATTAGTGCAAGTTTTACACGTTATAGATGTTTCAGTTATAATGATAAGTCATTCTTATATATATATAATAATATTAATATATATTAACCAAATGGCGATTAGGAAAAAGAATGAAAACAATGCGTGTTTTTTCTTTTCCTTTTATGATATTAGATCTAGTAGGACCTAACCAGACCAGATGTTTCCTCAGTTATCGTATTACCTTTGTTGTTGAAAGTAAATTTTAAGCAAAAATAGACCTTAAATTTCTGTTTGAAATACCCAAATTCAAACAATTCACTGATATGAATAGCCTAAAGTTTATGAATAATTTACGTTTTCCTTTACCTACTGCAATGGTGGGATACTACGTCATCGCGCACCTGCTAAATGCTCCCACTTGGACCATTTTTTCGTCGACTCAAAGGTAAAATACAATTTTATTATAAGAAAACGTAAGAGTATTAAAAAATCATGTAGCGCACCAAAGAATGGCTATAGTACTTGAGATAATTGTAAAAAAAAGTTTATAGATTTATTGTCTGGTTTAGGCCTGAAAACGGGATAAGTGTTTTTCTCTGAATGCTCCCACTCGGACTTCTCCCGAAACATATATGAAATAAGGTTGAAAACCTTCTTTAAAATTATTTTTAACGTACCGGAACATAAACCGAGTCATGTATACCCATTATTCTATATTAGTTTCAAATATTTCTATTCAAAAGTCAGTTTTTCTTAATTCTTTTTATAAAAATGGAAAATGCTCCCACTCGGACTCAACTTCAGAGATGCTCCCACTCGGACCTAAATATATACAAATTTTGAAAGCACATTGCTGTCTTAAGATATTATTATTTTTTTCAAAATATCTTTATATTAACGTTCATATATTCATATAATCAGTAAGAATTCAATGAAACAGCATTTTTAAAATACGATACTAATATCTAAATTACTAAACAGTCTCGTAAATATGTCTTCTTAGAGGATTAGTATAAGGGAAAAAAGTTGTGTTGAAACAATTCCTCGTTTAAAAGAGTCGCTTAAATAAGAAACAAATTGTTTATACATTTTAAAAATATAATAACTGGAGCAAATATTTTAGATACCAACTGTGGATATATCTCATTGAGGAGGAATACTCTAGAAAACACAAGAATAATAGTTCTTTGAAGTAATTGTCTTTTGTTCAGTTTTTTTGCGTTAATTTTTGGACAATGTGTCATAAAGGATCAATTCATCTGAAATTTCACTGGAGGATAGATTTCAATAAAGTAAAATACCGCAAACAAGAATGACAACATTCCAGTTTTGGAGTTATTGCTCTTTGTATTCACTATCATTAGTTTGCAAGGACCATACCTCTAAAGGTATTTGAGATATAAACTTAAAACTTTATATTTCATGTTTAATAGAAGTGAATAGCAGAGCATAAGGACCAGAAGTGTTGCTTCTTTGTTGTTTTTCTTTGTTTTTTTCATGGGAGTGTTATTTTTGTCATGATTTATTATGTCTAGGCTATTACTTTTCATTAATTTTCACGAGTATCATTACTTGGAATTTTTACACGTATGTAAGGGTTACTTCCGCTCTGAAATGTACTTCCTCCTTATGGCGGGGGATTTTGCTGTCTGTGATTCCTTGTTGTATTATTGTTATTATTTTAACGTCATTCAAATATCCTGAAATCATTTTTCTATGATTTTATTCATAAATATAATGCTCAAATGAAGATTTATCAATATTGTATGTTCCGAAAAGCATTATTTGTAAAGATAATACCGAATTTACATTTCATAAAGGGAGGTAATTAGAAATATATTTTCTATTAATTGTAAGTTGAATCTTTCAAAAAGAAATGAATGCATTATGCATACATGTATATTTTAATGATTACATATAATGTGGACAAGCATTTGCAGTACAGTATTTTACATATTCCTTTATGATTGAAAATTGTTTTAGTACCATAAATATTAATACATTTTATTTATAGACAATTTCAATTGGTAACAGCCTGAAATATAACTTACATGATCTTTAATTACCAAAATATGGTAAAGACTGTGATAAAGAAATAACTATGATCTTTGTTTTCTTATTTTTTTATATTTTTTATTTAGGTAAAAATACGTACACATGATAACTTTCATACTTAAAATTGTCAAAGTTGTTAATAATTGTGACGCCGTAGTATGGCAGTACATTGACTTTTAACCAGTTCATGACAAAAATGATTTACATGTTGTTCTTTAATAAACTATTCAAATCAACCGATAGATATTGACTTCTTTATGATTATGCTGTTTTAAAACCTAAATCACAAGTTTAACAAACACGGAAACCATTGGGTTTTAAATTATTAACAAGATATTAAAGTCAGCAATTATTGAATAAATGATGGCCTCTAATATATGCACGAGTCCAACAGAATCTTAATCCGGTATGGTACTAAACAATGTATAATGACTTCTTTGTAAAACACCACAATTTTTTAACATCTAAACAAAACTTTATTCTTGAGATCCAAACTGCCCATTTAAGGTCTTATAGTCCTAGCTTGTTGTTGGCAATAATTTTGAATTATCCTTTCGGATGCAACACAAGCCAAGTGCACCTTTTTGTATAGTGATCCTGTCAGTTGAAACTTTGCCATGGCACCTTGTTCCTGCCCAACGACGTCATTCTACAGAATCAAAGAAGTGATCTCTGTAAAAAGAATGAAAAGTTAATGTTGCCAAACACAGTAGTTATTGACAAAATGGTGTTAAAATTGTGAGAATAATCCATAAAAGCTAACACAGCAATGTGCTTTCAAAATGTGTAAATTTGGGTCCGAGTGGGAGCATCTCTGAAATCGAGTCCGAGTGGGGGCATTTTCCATTTTCATAAAAAAACCTTTAAAAGACTGACTTTTGAATAGAAATATTTGAAACTAATAAAGAATAATGGGTATACATGACTCGGTTTATGTTCCGATACGTTAAAAATAATTTTAAAGAAGGTTTTCAACCTTATTTCATATATGTTTCGGGAGAAGTCCGAGTGGGAGCATTCAAAGAAAAACACTTATCCCGTTTTCAGGCCTAAACCAGGCAATAAATCTATAAACTTTTTCTACAATTATCTCAAGTACTATAGCCATTCTTTGGTGCGCTACATGATTTTTTAATACTCTTACGTTTTCTTATAATAAAATTGTATTTTACCTTTGAGTCGACGAAAAAATGGTCCAAGTGGGAGCATTTAGCAGGTGCGCGATGACGTAGTATCCTACCATTGTACTGTATCTGTGATAAAAACTATATGTGGAAGATTTGTCACCAGTCACCATATAGAAAAACACTGTTTTAAGTATGAATCACCTGGGACAGATAGAATCACCAACAATCAAAATTTTAAACAATTTGAAATCAATTTAATATCAAAAATGGATAGGTAAACTTTTGTTCTATACTCGATCAGCGAAATTCTAGATCTCACAGATCTATCTATAGATCACGCCGTCTCTATGTATTTACAACCTTTGATGTACAATGAATTATATGATTCATTGCTTTTTCATATATATTCATAGCTCCCGTTAATGGGGCGTGAAGGGGAAAGAGTAAGGTTTTTGATATCTGTAGATTATTGTTGTTTTGCACAATTCCAAACCACAACTGTAAATTGAACTTCTCACGCTAGTTTTGTGTTGCAGCTGCGAAAACAATATTGTGTGTGTGTTGTTTTGTTTTGTTTCTTGTACACGTACTTTACTAAGAAGTTTCTGAAAGTAAGTAGCTTCGCCATGATAGGATGTTGAGATCGTATGCAATATTTAATAATTAAGAATAACAGTACGTTATAATAATTACAGTATTTAAAAAGTAATTAAAAAAATCTTTATTAGATATGTTCAGCTACCCTTCTTATAAGAATTATACGCCTTGTCGTGTAGACATTAAAAAGAGTGAAAACAATGTCTTACTTCCAACGATAAAATTCAGTCTATAACATGATGGCCTTGTCCACTAGCGTCAAATCAAAATTAGTCTAGTTTGAAAGGGGGACAAGTTTGGTGATGTATATCACTGAAACTTCAATTATCTTTATGTCCCAGTATAGATGTTATCTGTTTTTTTCCTTTTTAAATATATGATAATATATGAATAATGTAAGGAGTTAGCATCGACGTGTTGCTAAACACATGCAGTCATTGATAAAAAGATCCAATGTGTTCTCTAAATAACTTTGTCATACATGAGCAGCTAAAATTAATAGCACGACATGCACTAATTATTTAGGGAATTATATAGTGACAATATAGAGACGGGAGACATTTAATAGCATTTAACTATAAACAATTAATAAACTTTGAAATATACAAGTAGAAAGTGTTTAAGTATTAAAACTGAAACTACCATTCAGTAAAGGCGTTGCAGACGTTGGTGAACTATAGTAAGCTCTATATATCAAATTAATATTCGGTTTTATATTCAGTCACGCTAGCTAATAGAAATAAGTTCTTTCATTCATATGTGTGCAAACCTTTGAAAAGATAACGTGCAAATTAAAACAAAATGGAGAAAATACAAATTGAAACAATCGAAATGCATACAGGAGGGGGGCCTTTGAGAATAGTGAAGACTGGGCTACCCTCTATTCAGGGTAAGACTATTTTGGATAAAATTAAATATTTAAGGAACAATTTGGAATACGTGAGAAAATTAATTATCCACGAACCACGTGGACACTATGACATGTTTGGCGTGTATCTAGTGGACATAGAAGGTGCAGATATAGGATGTATATTTATCCACAATGAGGGATACAGTACTATGTGTGGCCACGCTATTATTGCCCTCGGGAGATACGTTATTGACCATGGTATTGTACAGAAGCCAGTATCTGCAGAGACCGGGATCATAATGCAGTGCCCGTGTGGTCCTGTTGAAGTTTTTGTACAAAATGATAACGGGAAAACTGGAGATGTTCGATTTAACAGTGTGCCTTCATTTTTGTTCAAGAAAGGTGAGCGCCACATGCTTTTAAAGGCTACTTTTATTTTGCAAAAGAAAAATGCCGCATGTAATTTCTGTCTTAATTAAGTGTTACACAGCCTTATGTAAATGTGTCTGGTTAAGACACAATGAAATACAACAAACGGTATTTGAGATCCAATGTTTTTGAAGTTATGAAAACGAGTAATTCAGTATTTATTTGCTAAAACTTCCTTTGTGTGCCAGGTTGAATCTTTGACTATGGAGAGATTTAAGGCTGAATGGATTCGTTCGATTAATTGTTCAGTGGGCCCGTCAGGTAGGGGTCTAAATAAACTTGAGAACCTATAGAACTTTTAAGCAGGAACATTTTTCAGAAGAGTACTGTAAAATGATCATACCCCCTAGGCATAGGTGAGCGTTTTGTAAATTTAGGTGTGGGGTAGCCCCTATTCGTATCGAAACGGGTAGGTACGAGAATCTGAGATTAGATGAACGCCACTGTCCCTTTTGTAATGTACTTGAAGATGAACAGCATGTTATATTAGACTGCCCAGTATATGATGATTTTAGATCAGAATTTCTCTCTAAAAATTGCACGAACCTTCTTTTATGAATTTTAGCAAAGACAACCAACTTGCATTTTTGTTCTCTAGTCAACCATTAGTCAGAAAATGTGCCAAAACCTGTTTTATTTAATATTCTTCAACGTCGTCAATCTTACTTATGTAAATAATATATTTTATATAGAACACGCTACTGTATATATTTTTTTTTATATTTTTAATCTTAGATGCTATTTCTTTTTTAATCTTAGATGCTAATTTAAGGGAAATCAGGTTGTTTTTCTAATTGTCCTTTATTTGTATAGTATTGTTTGGTTTTCATTTTTTTATGTTTTGATGTATGTTTTTCTTTTTTTATTTGAAATTTGAAAGTCAATTTAATAAAAAATAGCAACTGTTTTTTTAATCATTTAAATAGATAAATGTATATTTCTTTCCAAAATAGTATCTGTACTGTGTAGTTAGCTATTATTCATAATTGGATATAATTTATGATTAGTATGATATTTTATCGTGTTATTTTAAATGTTTTACTAGTCTCTTATAATTCAATGATTGAATGGTCATGTACTAGCTATTCTGGGTTTTATGTTTGCTTATGAATTTTATTTGTGTATGTACATGAATGAGACTTAAATAAATAAATAAATAAATAAATAATATTTACAGAATTATAAAAATGCACAATTTTAATTGATATAGCCTAAGTTTGAATTTTACGTTAAATAATTAAGGTATTATATAGATGTATGATCAAATTATTTGATAGTCAATTCTATTTGAAGAAAGTGTAAAGTTGCAGATTGTTTCCTGATTATAGAAATTGAAAAATTGAAAACCACTCAAATAAAATATTCGCCTATGTTTTTTTTCTTATAGATTTTGATGTTGAGGTACCAGGTTATGGTAAAGTAACTGTAGATATAAGTTACGGTGGCGCTTTCTTTGCTTATATGCCGGTAAAGCAGTTAGGGCTTGACTTATCAACTACCCCAACAGACAGACTACGTAATGCGGCCAGTCTTGTTACAGGTAAATACAAAAATATCCGGCCCCGCAAATAGCAAAACCTTTTTAAATTTTCTTTATTCATTTTGAGCACAATCTATAGATTAATTCGTCAATACACTTTATATAGCACCCGCTTTGCTTGTTCATTAATGTTAAAATCTTTACCTTGTAAAAATCATTGGTGCATGTATAAATGGTCTTATATATATATATATATATATATATATATATATATATATATATGTGCGTCAATGTTGGTCCGATTATGCTGATTTTTTTTTAAAAAAAGAAGAAGGAAAAATACAGACAAGAGACATTATATGATATTCCATTTATTTAATTTCAATTACGAACACAAATTTAATACAGATGCCAAAATAAATGTGATGCCATCATGGTGCATTTTAAAGTCAATGTCGGGAAATGATAACCGGTACGTACTCGTACTTATGATATTCTATTTTTTTCAATAATATTATAGGCCCACCCTGAGTGTTGATCAAAACCTGGCAACCTGACGTAATTATCCTTGTTCAAAATTTTTAGGGTAAATTTACAAACCCTTGAACAATAGTAGCATGTCCGTGGGTCGATGGTCTTTGGCATTTCACCCTTCTTTTGAGGCGATTCAATTCAACAAGTATAGCTTTTATCAGACGTTGTAGGTATTCAAATATGATGATGACGTTTATCAATGGTAATGAAATCTTTAGCTGAAAGCTCATCGTACTGGTTAGGACTGATGCTCATGCAGATTACCATTAATGAACAAATTGTTAGCAACAATGATCTTTCTAAATTTCTGGTGCACTGTAACAGACCATTGCAAAGTTACGCGCAAGATTGCAAGTTCAGGCAAATCTACCCTAAAATTACATGGAAAAAAAACAAATACAAAAACAAAAAACGTTAAATCTGTTGCACCAAGACTGTCAAGGTTGATATACAATTATACATTGCATACGAGAAGATATCACAGATATCATCATTTTGAGACATTAACTTTTTTACGCACCATCACATTTTACTTTGCATTAGTGTTAAATTTGAGTTTGTTATGAAATGAAATGAAATAAAATTAAAGGAATATCAATTTTATGTCTTTAAACTGTTTCAAATGAAAAAAAAACAGCATTGAATATACACATGTTAGACAATTTATACGTGCACATGTACGGTTTGTAAAGTGTATTATTCAATTGGAAAAAGCATCTATGCAGAACCATATCGGATCGACGCTAGATTGCATTTACCACTGTCGTCTTTTAACTGGCTTAAACAAAGAGACATCTATTAATTAACTAGCTTAACCAAACCGGCAACACAGCATCATGATCTTGCCATATTTTTAACCATTAAGGTTTCCAATTTGAATGTTTTAAGTTAATGTGTAATGTCAGAAAGCTTTCTGTTGAACGTTTATATTTTTCAATAATTGGTGCGTTCAGAGTAAATCCATCGGTAACCATTGTTACGTTTACTTATCACTGCCATTCCAATGATACCAATGTTTACGACAAAAATTACTTGCCATTGGTAGATTAATTTGTAGACAGAGAGTGCGTGCACAGTACTCCCATTAAAATCTTTTCAGAGTAAATTGTCAACCAATGTTACCAATTGTAATGAATTAATGTTACAAATAGTATTTTAGTTTTGGTACCACTGGGAAAACACTGAACGCATCCATTGATTAATGGCTTGTTATATACTCACAGAACATATATAATTCAAGTAAGGTAAATACTGGGTTATTACATTTATTTAATCTACGTGTAATTCAGAAACATTGAAGGGTGTGTTAGAGTTAAGTCATCCTCAGTCACAAGACTTAGCTTTCTTATACGGAACAATTCTGACAGATGGTAAAGACGAATCTGAGGAATCCTCCCATATGTGTGTGTTTGCAGATAAAGAGGTATTTATTAATTTACCATATCTATAGTTTAATGTTACCATGAAACATCCAAAAATATTTTGTTATGTGAAGTTGGTCCATCAGAAGATACGTGTCGTGTTTATTTGTTTGATGTTTGAAATACATTTTAGGGAACTATGTCATTAACGACCGTTTTAACATAAAGTTTACAGGATACACTCAAAATACATTCAAGCAACATGCCTCAAGATTCATGCTAATCTTCAGGAAGATTTTTATGTATTAAAAAGTAAAATATTGCTTAGTTTGTCATGCAGTAAAAATATGTTGACAGAACTGCAAAATCAGTCATTAATATCAAATATTAGTAACATGTATTGTGAATATTTTTACATTTCTTAAAATGTTAGAACATTTTTCTCAAGGTTGATTTTTTAAAATTAGCTTGAGTCATCAGGAGGCATGAAGATTTAAGTTATAATTTAAAATTTTCTCTCCTTCTTTTTGCCGACGACTTCGAACCACTTTTCAATTACCTTGATATGTTTCATTTTAGAAGAGATATTTATTACTTAGCAATGCTGGAAATGGCGGTGATGGCCTTGTGGTAATGGTGTCTGCCTTTCAACCCAGGGACCGTGGGCTCTACCTCAAATATGGTCACATCCATTATTCTTTATATATACCATACCAGTATTTGTCGGGAAGCGGACTTAATAATGTTTCAGATAAAATTCAAATATTAATGGCAATAAAATATATAAACTAAAATATATCTTATAATAGTCTTTGTTGTAACTTCAGGTTGATAGATCACCATGTGGATCGGGAACTACTGGACGTATCGCACAATTATTTGGTCGTGGTATTATTAAACTCGGCCAGAAACGTGCGTTCCGAGGTCCAGCCGGGGCAAAATTTATTGCTAAGGCTGTCAAAGAAGTAAAATTCGGCTGCCATAACGCAGTGGTGGTTGAAGTGTCCGGAAAAGGAAATTACACGGGATCTAGTGTCTTCACTCTTGAAGCAGACGATGAAATTGGAAAAGGATTTTTGTTGAAATAAAATAACTTACACCATATATTTACTTGGATTCTTAAAATTATTATATTTTTCTATTTAGTTAGCAGTTATATTATTTGCTACCGGAAACCTGTATCATATTATCTTCAACATATGCGTGCTGTGTCTAAGAACGATCAGTTCATTTAGTTAAATAACAAATGCTCTTTAACTAAAGTCAGAAACATGTATGATAAATGACTATAAAGCCTACTTATTGATAGAATCTCTTTTGTGTTCTTATGTTCTTTTTCACCTTCATTATATAAACAGATGAACCTTTTTTCTGTTATACCCTGATCTTGACCAAATTAAAAACATGTGCCATGCGATAATTTTGACCGTACTTTTAATTACAGGCACGAGTATCGGACCTGGGAAGAAAAAATATGACCAGATTGATAAAAAAAAAACCTGTGTTCATCTTAAAAGTGTCAAAAAAAACAAAAAAAAAAAAATGTAAATAATGACCCCCTTTTTTAAAGGGGGTCATTATTTACATTTTTTGTTGGTTTTTTTGACACTTTTAAGATGAACACAGGTTTTTTTATCAATCTGGTCATATTTTTTCTTCCCAGGTCCGATACTCGTGCCTGTGCTTTTAATGAGGTACATGCAGGTGCTGTTGTTGTTATTAATCTTGATTACTACGTGTACCAAATAAGCTTTTTTGGTGTAACTAAAAAAAATTAGTTTGTATAATAAAGATTATATATTATGATAATAATTCTTCCATTTTGTTGTGTTTTTTTTTATCCAAAATTGGGTTTTCGTTAAAAAAAACAACAGGAACACTTTGTAGTTTTATTAAAAATTGGGTTAAAAACTAGCTGTTTACATACATGTATAATGATGACATGAAAAAACTAGTTGTTCATATACTTACTTTATAGAAATTATGACACGAGAAACATTTATAAGAGGAGCAACTGCATATATAGATGATTGTTTTGGTAATGCATGTTTCTTTTCCAAGAACGCGTAATCATAAAATGGGTTTAGTATTTAACTTAATTACATAAAGTATATTTTAATTCAACTATTTGACGACACAACACATTGAGATAAAGCACTTTTTATTTTTCTTGACCTCTTTATATGTACTAAAAACTTGAAATGGAATCTACATTATTTTTCAATACAACAGTAACTTTGCAATGCAAAATGTCGCCTGGCTCGTTATTTGTCCCTACTGAAGAACGGCAGTCATGGTAAATGTTTGGTAAAGTCCATGCATCCTACCATTAGCAAAGCAGAATTCAACATGTAATGGAATAATTTTTGAAATATGTATAAATGTATTTATTAGGAAACACCTGAAGCTTACATTCTAACAAATTAAAATAGATAACAATTATCCAGTATATAATAAAAAGGTTTGTCATGAAATAACAACATAATTTAATGATGTCTTGCACGTTGTATACGGACATCACTTCCTAAGTAAATTTTGGAGTTTTTCACTGCTTTCTTGCAAAATATTTTGATATTCTCTTTCATCCTCCTTAAGTCCTGTTCTGACAATATTCTATAGCAAACTCACTCCTTGTGACGGTGACCATTGCAGCAAACATGTCACGTGCCAATGTGTCTTGGTCACCCAAAAACGATGTAGAAATATGATCTCTGTTAGCATTGAGCATGACCACCTCTATGACATCACACGGTTGGTCAAACTCGGTATGCTTTTCCTCATACATGTCTAAAACCAGCATAAATGGTCCTCTTAGTAGGACCTCCTTTTCGCTGGGGTGTCTTGAAAGTTTGTGTATGTCGACGGCGCAAATTGTTGTGAGGACTGTCGACGGAAAGCGTTTGGTATAATGCTGTATGTATTCGGGTTTCAAACCAATAACATGGACTTTGATAATGAGTGGTTTCACAACAGCGTCCCGTGTCTTCGCCTGCTTCAACTGGTGCTTAATGAATTTCTTCGAGACCTTGATACTTGAACTGGATGAGAAAAGACCTATAAAATATAAAAAGAGCTAAACTAAATACATGAAATTATGTAGTAGAACCATGAGAACAGATATCAAATTTTGAGGATTTGACATAAGTGAGTGTAAGTATTAAAATTTTATGAAATATTGAAGATGGATATCCATTTTTTAATTTACTTGCACAATTATTAGACATTAACAGTGGAATTCTGATATTAGGAGATATCTTGAAAGCAATGACAACAGTACTGATAAATGAATAACGCATAACAAGAATAATCCTTAGGAACTATGAGAAAACCAACATCTCTTTGTCACCCACATCTACTAAAGAAGTATTTAATTATAAACAATAAAAATAATGAAATAATGAAACCAGTGATCTTGAAGGACAAGAAAAACGTACAACAGAGAAAAGTAGCCACCCTAATAATCAAAAGACAAATGCCGTAAAAGGAAAAACAAGGAAAATTGGAATAGTACATGCATGTACATGAGTAGTCTTACATGTATTATGTAGTGCATAATTACAAACACATATTGAAAAAGGTTTTAACTTTACGGGTAGTGTAGATAATACCTAGAGGAACAGCTATGTTCCGCCTACTAATGGGCTCCTCTCGCAGCGCTTTAAAAGCCGATAGGTCTTCATCAGAAACACAAATGCCCCGGTAAACAATGCCCTCGAAATTTGTACGCTCCGGACACTTCAAGCAGTAGTTAAACAGATCAATGTTGATAAGCTCGACCAGGAAAACAACACTCCTAATCATTTCAACCGAAACAACCGAATCTTCATGCCGAAAAATGTTGTTACTCATGTCGTATATTCTAGAGTGGCCTTCTTTCGACGTGTACAATTTGACTGCTTCGAATGAAACGTCTGTCATTTGAATAGTTTCAGCAGTCATCCAGTCCCGCTTGGATGATAAAACCCTTTCGGCATGCGCTCTTGTAGTTTCGTCTTTGAAGTCTATTGTGCCATTTTCAAGTAAAAGTTGTCTCAGTGACGCCATAAATGTTTCGTATTCGTCCCAATGAAGCCGGATATGATAAATCGACTTCCTGATTTCCGCCATTCGGTTATCTAATATCGAACCATTATAAAAAGGCTTTTTATTATTCAGAGATTTGCTTTTAAAAAGTTCAGGATTTTTTTCAGTTTCGACAAAACGTTCAGATCGGTCAAGATCGTCTCCTCGATCATCAGTGTCGGAGTCACGGTCGTCCAATTCATTATTATGCTTGCCTTCTGCCATGTCTACAAATCAAATTCTTATTTTATTTTATTTGTGACATAACTTATTATTTTGGAAATTGTTAAACAAACAAAAGAACGTGCATGGATGGGTCCGCATTTCAAAACTTGTAGGCATTTGTAGTTGGAAAAGGAATTTCCAATAATTGTCAACATTGAATCAAACACATGTAGGTAGGCCAAACTATTTTTCCTGTATCACAGCCTAGACTATATATCTTAGTATCTAAATTAAGGTTTCAAACATCATCCAAATTGAGGTGGCAATTTTAAGCTCTTCACACATCAATTAAGGTATTACCACCCTAATGGGCACTATAAGGAACTAAAAATTGACATCATAGGTCAGGTATTTACCTTAATAATGCATTTTAAGCAAGAAATATATATTTCTGTTGCAAATATCACATCGAAATTCACCACGTTAGCCTGGTTTCCGGCGTGTAAGTACTCTTAAGTTACCAGGAAATAACCAACCCTCCTAACAAATTAAAGCAGTTTTATAACGAATATTCTTTAACACGATAATAGGTGTTATAGATGTTATAGATTACTGTTTCAAAACATACATCTATGAAAGAATTTAAATTGATTAACTTACCGATATTTCTATATGATATAGCAGATGTACGCCTTTTTATAAAAACTTAAAACCATCCCAAAACAGAAAGTAGATTGCACGGTTGATAAACTTCCCTCGTCGTGTATTTATTTGCTGTACCGTGAAATATTGGGAGGGTCGTTAAACAAGTTTGTAGTATAGCCAAAACATATTTGTATTTTAGCTGATGTCTATATTATCTACAAATAATGAAGCTGATCTTTATAATCATGCATGTATTTTCACATTAAACAGTCGAAATGTACAAAATATATGAAGTAATGAAATTTCACATGAATTATTATCGTAAATTAACGAACGATTTAAATTATAAAACGTATGTGATATTAATGCTTATATTTACAAATATCTCATTTCCCTTTTCTTATAAAACTGAAAAATATTTTGGTGATGTGATATCCAAGTAACTTCAAGACAATGAACTGTAAAAGCTTGTTCAAAACAATAAAAATACGAAAGGATAGAAATAATTACCCACTACATCTACAGTAATATAATCATTATAATTGTCGAATCAGAATTGCTTTAAAAATCATTCTGTCAGAACTGTGACATTTTGAAATTTCAATCTAAATTTGCAAATTAAGATATAAATCAGTGGACAATCAAATTTGAGAACAATATGCTATAATACTTAGCCATTTCCCACTTCGTTTTCCAAATTCAAGTTTATCATTTACTGAAGATGAATTTCATTGGATTTGGCAATATATATATATACTTTGCTAACTGAAAGATAAAAACTGTTTATAAGTCATACACAGTTTGCTATTGTATTCAAGACTTTTAGTACCAGAAATAATTTAATGCTTACTGAAGATGCATTTCATTGGATTTGGCAATATATATATATACTTTGCTAACTGAAAGATAAAAACTGTTTATAAGTCATACACAGTTTGCTATTGTATTCAAGACTTTTAGTACCAGAAATAATTTAATGCTTACTGAAGATGCATTTCATTCTTAAATGTTAATGGAAGATAGAGGACTTATTATTGCCTTTACACTAATGCTCACCATAAATTTTGTATATATATGGGATGTGTATTAAGATTTTTTTCATCCTTTGTTGCTATAAACATTTGTACAATGTTTAATGCTAATAAAATCTATTGTCATTGTCATTTACGTATATGAAATAAATCACACAACTCCTTAACTCATTCTTAGAGGCAGATATGTGTAAAGAATGAGGCTTTTCCAGTTTACCAATTATTTTGCTAGCCCCCAAAACTGTAAATACTGTTGTGCAGCCGAAAAAAACAGCGTAATTCTAACGAAAAAAAAGGGTATAAATATGCATGCTATTTAATTCTAAACATGTTTATTATTGTTATTATTATTATTATTATTATTATTATTATTATTATTATTATTATTATTATTATTATTAATGACCATATTTTCCAAAGAATGTGTGAAATATCAAATATATTAAAGTTGTAAAATATTTAATGTCTTAATAACAGCTAGTTGTCAAATTTTAATATTGTACTGATAAGGGAGGTCACTGTGTAGGAAATTGGCACTTTTTGATTATCTGTCATATTTTCAGTTATTTTCATTGCTCCCGATAGTGGGGCGGGAAATAAGGTCTCTGCTGTCAAAATAGTGCAAATTGTGATACAAGCATGAAACTTTCAGGAAATTATCTTTAGACCATGTATATTTCAAAAGTGAAGTGGGCCCAAAAATATCTCTGCTCATTCAAGATGGCCGCCATTTTCAAGATGGCCGCCATATAAATTTGATGTACATACTAGCTCATTCATTCCATTTTTTTGTACAGACCTGAAACTTACACAAAAGCATGGATATAGTTTCCCCTTTTCAAAAATTTAAATCTTCAAGCAATTTCTCTTGCATATTTCTTCAGAATCCAAGATGGCGTCCAATATGGCTGCCAATTTTAATGAAAACTGATATATCTCTTTTGTAGTATAACTTTTTGCACACGGTATGCGTATTTCTATGTAAAATTGTGAAATATATTAGAAAAAAAATCAAATTTTAGGTTAACCACATTGTTAGTCATGTTTTTAGTTTTTTGTACAAAAAAATCTTTAAAAAAATAAGAGAAAAAGTGCCATTTTTTGCATTTTTTCTCTAGCATGGTTTTCTAGGTCTATGTACAAAAATCCAAAAGTTACATAGTTTCTTAAAGTGTATTTGATATTCAATAAACACTATGTTGTATTGTATAATAGTAACAAAAACAAACAAAAATTTGAAGGTTTTATACTTATTAAAAGTGGGTGGGGTAAATTTATCAGACAATTGCAGTACAAAATAACGTTTTTAAAGAATTCGTATGCAAATATTCACTGTAAAAGTATTTTATTGTATTAAGGTATTTTTGTTTTCCTTCAGGTCTAGAGGGTGTACTAAAATATCAATAAATGCAGATACAATCATATGTACATTCAGTTATTAAATGTGTTTGCATGATATTAGTTGTTTCAATATTCTTAATACAATTTGATAATTGTACAGAAAGAAGACTGAATATTCATCAACGAACCATATGTTAGATTAAATCATGCCTGGACCTGAGTGAAATGTTGTCTTTTATGAATACAATTATTTCCTGCACAATTAAGTCTTGCTAAAAGCTTGTAACAGAATGGTTCAAAGTTATATTTACTTGCACATTATTGTAACCAAGTATAATTGAATTAGTACCGTCCATTTCTAATAACTTATGTAGACATGATATTTTCAAAAGAAACAAAAATTTAGGCGACTGATACATAATGTTATCTAATAACTAGGTGTGCTAAAAAGGGTATCAATAAAACCGCTTGACCCACATAACAAACATAGCTTATACTTTGGAATATAAACTAAATGTATTCCTACTTTATTTTTCCCATTAAACAAGAGAGAATTGTTGACCCTAGATCACGCGCCTAAGACCCACTGCTGGAAAAGGTCTATAATTCTATTATACTAAAGAATGCTAAAATCATATAAGGAGTATCTTTTTTTCACCAGTCATGATTTATAAACTATTTGAAAAGAATCATGTCCAATAACTAGGCTCTCAGAACTACAAGAAGACTCATATAACTATATTCCAGTAAGAGTCCATGTAAACTAAGTGATTTTGACCCTATGCCAATAGTTCATTATCTTTATATAGCATCACAATGTTATGATATACGATATTTTCTCTTCTCTGTGCACATAGTTTCGGAGAAGAATTTTAATATGTAAGTCAATGTAAACTAAGTGACAGGGAAAGTCATTTTGGACTGCAGGAACATGATTTAAAGGCCCTCACAAGGAACACAGTTTTTAAAGACTTGTGTAGGGAATTGCATTGAAGTTGTTTTGTTGTTGTTAATTGTTATTAAAAAAAAACAACAAACAAACAAACTGTAATGCCTAGAGCTTAGATAGTCAAAATAAAACCTTGCCAAGTAAAGAATACCTCTTTAAAAGTTACATAAAACACTTTTTGATCATTAAATGTACATGCAATATAAAAAAATCTTCTAAAAAATCAAAATGCATAGAGCACAGGTACTAAGCGGGCATGTAGCACCACCTTGGGTCTTTATTAACACATTTAATGAATCATGCTCATAGAGCCATCTGGGTTCACAGACTTGTATAGGAAAACACATTAAAAACATCTAGTGTTAAACTTCATTGACTTGAACTAAGATATTTGGGATGTAGACTAATATAACATGCATAAATTTGTATGATGCTACTGCAGTCTAAAATGGTTTTGCAATGGTATCACTTAATTTACAAAGACTATTGTAATAAATCTGTTTTCTCTTAACCTACAGTATCCGACGCATATACATTAATCATGTATCATCATAATTATGTTATAATGATGATATATCATGGACAACATGGTCCAAATTTCCCAAACACTAAAAGTCACTAAGTTTATATGGACTCGTCTATAAATATGGTCATTAAAGTCCTCTTGTGTGAATAAAAACTGAAAGCAGATATTGAGCATGTTTCTTTAAAAGCAACCGGATTCAATTATGACACAAATCATGCGTGTTATGACATAATTGACACTCCCAAAATGATCTTGTTACCTTTTTTCCAACAATGATCTTAGGTGAGTGATCCAGGGTCATCATTTCTTATTGAAAGAAAAAAATAAGATATGATTACTTTAGGAAATACACTTAGTTTGTTTCTTAACTTTTCAAAAAGTTGCATGCAGGCCAGGCCATATCATTGATATATATGTTTCACATCACATACATTTTGTTGGCTTTTAAGCCATGTTTATGTTATAAATATAAAATTGTGGAGGAGTCAAAAATATGCGTTTATGGACTACCTAAATTATACCTTACATTCATGTACATGATTGCTATTTTAAGCAGGTTTAGTTGATTTATTGTCTTCTTATATGTCGTTACAATTAACAATTAATATATGATATCAAATATATTGAAACAAAAATTATCATGCATCTAAATTTAATAACTGAATGTATACACATGTTTGTATGTGCATTTCTTGCTCACCCACCAAATGGCCCGAAGGAAAACAAAAATACTTTCATCCAATAAAAAGTACTTTTTAAGTTGGAACATTTGCATAAGAATTCATAGAAAAGTAAAAAGGCAAAGAAATAGAATGAACTTAGCTATGTAGATTTTCTGTTGTTTTTCTTTTACAATTATCATAAAAAATTACCCCACCCACTTTCACAAAATATAAAACCTACAGATTTAATGCTTTTCTTACATTCTTTACAATAAACACATGATATTAATGGAATGTCAAATACAGTTTAAGATATAAAGTAACATTTTTAACTTTGTACATTACTTTAGAAAATCAAATTTGAAAAATATGAAAAAAATTGGAATTTTTTTCTTGATCTTTTTTAAAGATATTTTTAGACAAAAACTTTAAAAATGTTTACTTTTATTGAGATTGACATGTAATTTGATTATCTCTTATATGTTTAAACACTTTTTTATCATAATAAACATAATTTGTGCAACAAATTATACTATAAAAATGATATAACAGTTTTGCACAAAATCGACGGCCATATTGGACGCCATCTTGGATTTGGAAGAAGTATGAAAGAGAAATTTTGTGAGATTTAAATTTTTGAAAAGGAGAAACTATATGCATGCTTTTGGTGTTAGTTAAAGGTCTGTACAAAAAATTGGAATGAATGAGCTAGAATGTACGTCAAATTTATATGGCGGCCATTTTGAAAATGGCGGCCATCTTGAATTAGCAGAGATATTTTTGGGCCCACTTCACTTTTGAAATCTACATGGTCTAAAGATGATTTCCTGAAAGTTTCATGCTTGTATCACAATTTGCACTATTTTCTCAATTTCCCGCCCCACTACGAGGGATTTCCTCTTTACCAGAATTTAAGTAGATCTACGTACGGGATTCTGTTCAAAAACTTTAAAGTTTTCTTGTAGCCCAACCCATTTGCGCTATACTTATACGTATACGTTTGTTTTTGTGTTATTCGATCATATCTTACATGTATGATATATAGTTGCAACAAAATACTATTAAGCTAAATTATTTAAAGTTTAAGTAGGTTGTCTATATTTTTTGGCTTTCTTACAGGAAGAAAATGTTTATAAACATGTTTACGTACCAGTAATTTGATAATGAACTCGATTGTCTAATGAAATTGTGGGGTTTTGTATGAATGGGAGGGCCTAGCAATTATGAGAATCCATAGCCCATGGCATATAACAAGACATGAAATTGGTTTTAGCTGCTTGATTTGTTATGCAAAAGACGTTGTTAATTAAATGGATATAAAGAGTTATTCGAATGATATTCGCTAAACATTCAAATTGTTTATTATATACTTATAAATGAAATATTGATAAAATAAAATTCTTCCCGGACTACTTTATTCTAAATTCAGCCAATACACACACTTTTTTGGGGAAGTCTCTCAAATTGTAATGTCAAAAATGTATATGTATTACTGTATAATAAATAGAAAATTCTTTTTTTTTCTAAAAATATAGGATTTATTTTCATCTTGTGGTATGAAAATTATCGTCTTTCAAACATGGACTTTTAACCCCACAACAGTAGTCTAGATAAAGTCAACACTTAATTATAAAATATATAGCTGGAAAATCGGCATCGATAATTATTTTTTACATTTGATATGTTTTATCTATTATTTAAAAACATATTATTCAAAAATCTTTCTTGAGTCAATGGTCGGTGGGTCATAACAATTCTAACTACATTGTACCTTATTTGATAGATTTGTGTTCATCCAATATTCATTCATTAACTTAAAATCAGCTCTATTAAATTTTGTGTTTCGGCATTGAGTTATTTAAACGAGAGGAACCTAAAATTATTAAAGCGTTTTCAATAAAGCGGTTTAAGTCTCATTTCATACAACTCTATTAGTCTATGTTTAATGTACTCATAGTTTATAATTTTGAAAGGTGTCTGACAAGTCGGATCCGCCTCAAACATTGCTGATTGTACGGTAAAGTAACGGTTATCAAATCCTAGCCTCGACATGAAATCCATCACGTGACACAAGCCTGAACACGTAAGAAAGAAGGAAGGAAAACAATATCTCGAAAACAAAACCACAAAACCCAGGTAATTTATTGCGAAGTTTAATCTAGTATTAAAGAAAAAGGTCAATATACTATCAATTTATATTATTGCATTATTTTGGTAAAGATTGCTATTTTCTCGATCGTAAATTAATCGGATGAAAACGTCGGCGACATCGCCCACAGGAAGGAAAAATTATGTTCTATCATCCATATCCAAAATAGTTTCTATCCTTCAAATCAGTATGCTCAGATCTTTTGGTAATTTATGAGTGCATTTTTTATTAGAAATGCTAACGTTTCTTAAATTATTAAGACTGAATAGCTTACTGACCGGGAATCGAACTCGTATCCACATTCCACGACACGGGGAACAAGACACTTCACACCTCGTCAATTCACTTCCCAAAATCAGTAAGACACTTGCCCCCTCAATCCTTATTATTTCTGGAGTAAATATTTCAATAACAATTATAATTTTTTTATTTCTTGATTTTTATTAAATTTTGATAAAATCTATCTCTCCATAGGTGTCCATGATTTGTTACACTAGAGCTTGTTTACTACACTATACAGGGTTCTCACTAGGACTTTAAAACATGGAGTCCATGGACTCCCAACCCTGAAAAAGTTGGGAGTCCAAAAGCGCTTCGCAATTAATATGTTTACAGATTAGTTATTTAATGCACACAATAGCATTGCTGATATTTTGAAACTTCAAGAGACTTTCAAAGTTTATAGTTATTCACAACAAACTCTGAACTAAACATAGTAAAATTATTGTTTTGTTGTTAATATTTATTTTGAAATTATTTCATTATAATGCATCAACACATGGAAATCGTTTTTTATTTTTCACTTTTAAACTAAAATCAAATTTTATTCTGGTAAAATAAGTCCACTCTAAAGACAAAAAGTTTATATTTGTAAAAAAAACAACGTAAATGTATACTGTATAGGCAGCGTTTAGCGGAATGAATAGGAAAATCGTGTACAGCTTCACACAGTGTGTAAGAGATTCATCCGATCGACAATTATTTTAGCAAATATCTTCAAAAGGGGGCAAATTGAAGATCGATATTTAAAGATTTAATGTTGATTGAATAATAAAGGAACAATTCATTCACATGTTTGGCTTGGAAACAGAGAATTTTTGCGAAATTTTAGGGTTTCTGGCAAAGTTCGGGATCAGTTTTCTGATAAAATCTAAATATCAAAGAAAAGCGTATGTGTATTTTGGTTTGTTGTCCTGGAATTTCGGCACAATATCTCAAATTCTTTATACTCTTATAGAACGTTTTTGCAGAAGTGAAACGAAAGCAAAATTTTTGCCTAGAAAATGCCAAAATATTCGACAATAATTCAAAATTACACCCATTTGTAATTTGGGAAAACAGTCTTTAAACTTGCGGCGTAAATAGTCAATATTTTTATACTTTTGTCGGTAAAATTTGCTAATTTCCAATTAACTGTTGATCAAATATATAAAATTATCATCTTGTGTTATATCTGGTAATTACACCTACAGTGCATGTACATACATTAGTCTGATCTCTATTGCGTGATAATGATCGAAAGCGTTATCGCCGATTGGCTAATCGCTTCACGGGTCGATGTGCATAGGACCGCCTACCTATAGACTGACACGCGCTGACGTATTTGTGTATTAGTGGTTGTAAACAATCGCCTTATCGGTAATGTTTATGCGTCCCCAGGCAAAATCAAGCGTATGTGGCATCCTTGCTCTGAAATATTTGCGTCCAGCTGTAATAAACATGCGTACCGGGACGCCGAAATAAGCGTCCCCGAGAACCCTGACTATATAATAATTTTTTGTAATGATCCCAAGCAGGCAATGTTTAAAGTTTTGGCAGTCACATTAAATTTACTTTGATGCTAAATCGTTTAGTGTGAAACTAAGTACAATTGTGTGTTTCTTCCAAAACTAGCAATTTTTACAACATTTCTTCCCAAAATCAAGCGGCTAAACACTTTCCAAATACATATGAAGAAGGAAGACAAAGGTTCTCATGAATTAAAGTTTGCTAAACTGGTAGAAACTACTCTTATCTAAGTTTCCCAAAGAAGAGGTTTAATGTGAATTGGTAAACAAAATAAAATACCCATTTTTTTCAAAGGAATCAAAAGTTCAAGTTCAGCTGCTTATTTGTCAGACAAGAACAGATAGTACATGTACACTGTTGTAGTTTTTCAAAGAATATAGTAATGTTGCGCACTTTTAATTACAAACCGTTTCTCCAATTATATTTTCACTATTGTCCATAAAATTGAATTGATTGTTGGATCATGCCATGTATATATATAGGAGTAGTTTCAAAAGATTACTATTCACGAATTCGAAAACCTAGCTAAACGCCGTTTTCCGGTACTTTCTGTACATAGGTCTGGGGAATTCACCTAATGGAGTGTAATAGCGAACTCAAAGTTTTCGGCCTTTTTTTAAATCAAACTGAAATAAAACACTTATTTCTTTATAAGAAAATTATTAAATATCATTGTATGAATAATTCCATACAAAAAATAAAGTAAATACACAAGTTTACGCAGAAAATAACCTTATTTATTATGTAAGATTGCTTACAATACGTCGGTTTGAATTTTATTGGTTTTCATTATAAACAATTTATTTTTTTGAATAATTTGCAATAGATATTAAACGTATATTAATAATTTTCAAAAACATCAATTTTTTCACCTTAAACGGTTAAATAATGATAGAAAAATAGACATATCTCGTAACTGTTATGTACTTCATTTGGTGTAATTCCCCAGAGCTAAAACGGTAACGTACCGGAAAACGGTGTTTAGCTAGGTTTTCGAAAAGGTCAATATGCACTAAATAGATGAATTCCTAAACTTCTTGCTCTAAATGCAGATTATTGAAATCAAATGAAATGCTGTTTTGCAAGCAAATATAATATACAAATGTACCTGGGCTAGCAGCAAGTGGCTAACATTCATCTAGAATTTTTTGTTAATAGAAGGCACATAGGCTTTTGACCGTATTTTTTTACAAACCTGTGTCTATGTGATACTGACATCGGTGTATGGCCACTTCATGAGATAATGATCACTATAAAAGAAATATAAAACTGCTAAAGATTTTTGCATACAATGAAAACTGCTTGGATAGAAATTTAAAGTTTTGTGTGATATGATTATCATTATGAAGCTTAAAAATGTTACCTGCTGTATTACAAAGTCTAGCAAAGGGACATTTTTCAATTTCAGGATGTCCTCTGGAACTAGAGTTTATGTTGGTAGACTAGCTAGTGATACAAGGGAGAAAGATATAGAAAGATTTTTCAAAGGATATGGACGATTGCGGGAAGTCCTCATGAAAAATGGCTACAGTTTTGTAGTAAGACCAATTTTTGAAATGTTTTGTTTCTTCATGTATATCAGTGAAACTGTTTCATTTGGTAATTTATCAGATAAGATATTTTTAATAAGGGCTACTTTTCAGGATTCTTTCATCAAAACATATGGTTAAACAATTTTTTTGGTCAATAAATGTTTTTTGATGAGCTGTCAGAAATTCCAATTTAAATTTTTAAACTATTTTAATATATATTTTTAAAAAAAAATTTATATATATAAGTGAAGGGTTTAATTTGATAAAATTCTTTGAAAAAATTTTAGGACAGTATTTTTTTTTCCCCAGTTTTTTTTCAAAATTTAGGGTTTTTTTGAATTTGGGAAAAGGGAAATTTCTAAAAAATAAAAAATTGGGGTTCTTTTAAAATTGGGAAAAAAGATAAAGTCTGTATAAAATTGAAACAACAAAATATACCTCAATATAAACGATATAAATATAAACGAACACATTCTATTGTTATTTTCAAGGAATTTGATGACCCAAGAGATGCTGATGATGCTGTCTATGAATTGAATGGAAAAGAACTGCTGGGAGAAAGGTAATATGAATGACAGATGCAATTCATGCAAAGATATACATTAAAAATTAAGTTTATATGGTACTTTGTTGAAATCAAATTAGGTGACTTTTTTGAAGTTTGTTAATTAACTTCTGTTTCTTTTTTCAGACTGATAATTGAACATGCGCGTGCCTCCAGAGGTCGTGGTGGTGGACGAGGTGGCGGTGGTGGAGGAAGATACGGAGATCGTGGTGGTTATGGTGGGGGTGGCGGCAGATTTGGTGGAGGTGGTGGTAGAGATAGGTATGGTGGTGGTGGCGGCGGTGGAGGAAGATATGGAGATCAGAGACGCAGTGGAGGAGGATTGGTGGGGGGGGGGAAAAAGGGAAAGGTTTTTACAATGTCTTTCAAAAGTTTTCCCAAGGTTTCTTTGATTCAAACCATTTTCCCCCTCCTCCCTTTTGGGTTCGAACCCCGACGGGGACTTTGGTTTCTTTCTTTTTATGAAGCTACCAGCTACCCTAACGGAACTTGGGGGGTTCTACTCGGGTTTCCCCTTTCGTGTTTAAAATAATTCACAGAAGGGCACCTAAAGGTTTTCCCTTTCTCCAGTAAACCCTTGGGAACATCCCCCAATGACCTGTGTGGGTTTGTAAAGGGTTAAAACCCAACCCAAACAAACTATAGTTTTTAAAACTTTTAAAATAGTTTAAAAGGGTTTATATTTCAGTATAAGGGAAATTTTTAGCATCCTTAAGATACATGTGTCCATGTTCCATTATTAGAGGATATTTATATGAATAGAAATTAATTATCTGCTTTTTCTCTCCTGAAAGGTTTGGTCCACCACAGAGAACAGACTACAGAGTGAGAGTGGAAAACCTATCGTCAAGAGCCAGCTGGCAGGTAAATATATATTGTCATAAGCTTTTACTTACTCTACTAATCTGTAAACTATATACTTCTCTATTTAGGGTTATGACTGTACCTAACCAATTGATTATTCATAAATGTATCTATATAAAAATAAACATTTTTTTCTAGAGACTTTATTTCAGGCTTTAAAACAAATCTGTGGTAGATTTTTTTACGCCAAAAGAAAATATTCAGAAAAGCATTACAATAATGCATTAGAAAAAAATTGTAACATCTGTGGTGCATGAGGAAAATGGTTTACAGGTGTCCTTTTCTGGCTTTATTTGTTGTTAAGAGTCATCTTTGATTCATTTTATGCTGATGTCAGCAAAAATTGCTGACAATATATATATATTCAGGGTATCAAGATTTGTTTTGTCATAATGTATGCAGCATGTTCATCCCAATCAGAATCATTGCTTTATGTCTTTTAAAAGATTTTTCTCCTTATGCATCTCTCAATCATCTTCCATTGTATTTTATTGTTATGATATAAATGTTATTACTGGTGTATGAGGGTTTTTCAACAACTTCCAATCTTGCAGGCTCTCAGTGTTACTAATCCTAACCATTTGAGCCGCGTCACGACATAACCAACATAATGGGTTTGCGACCAGCATGGATCCAGACCAGCCTGCGCAGTCTGATCAGGATCCACGCTGTTCGCTTACCAACCCTTTTACAAGTTGAGAAACTGATTGCGACCAGCATGGATCCTGATCAGACTGTGCGAATGCGCAGGCTGGTCTGGATCCATGCTGGTCGCAAACCCACTATGTTGGTTTTGTCGTGACACGGCTCATTTGTTTGCTTTTGATTAATAATCTTATTAAAATAACTAGTGAGTAAAGCTTTAGTTTGCCTTCTTAGCATAATAGAGAATAGATCAGTAATCCAGGCAGTGGTCACTGGCTCAAACATCTGGTGAGGTGAAATTTCTCTGTAACATTTGACCTCTGGAATTGAGTCTAATGGTCATTTGTCTTTCACAGATGATGCTGGAATTATTTGGGATATAGTAGTGGTTAATTGTCCAGGAAAGCCAATAAGATGGATCAACCACTGAGATACAACCAAAAACATGTATTAAAATTAACGCAAGAACTGAAAAACATGTAGTTTTAAGCTGTAAGGCAGTTTTATACAAAAAAGACTGCAAGATTGGAAGTAAGTGGTGGAATATTATCAATGCTCCTCGAGGGAATATGTATAAATTTTATTGTAACTCCATATAAATAACTTGAGTAGATTTATGTAAAAAAAAATTAAAAAGTTAAATTGCTGTTACAGTTTATGATGAGTTGATTTGCCATCGGGGAGCATATATTGGGTTTTTTCATGGTGTGTCTCTGTTCTGTCAATAGCAAAAAGCACTCCTTTGAGCTTTTTCGGATTGTTAAATAATACTGTCCGTTATAGTTAAAAAAAATTAAGTGCTGAAAAAAAATCGTATTGGGAATTATGTAAGCAAGTCCTGTTACAATTATTGTGTACATTGAAGGCTATGCTTGTGAAGGCCTTTTGAGATATAGATTGCTTAGTAGATGGGGAAAGTTAAGGAATCCTTAAAATCATTTATCTGTGATGTTTTATTCCTCACAAATACCTCAGATAAATGAGTCTACATTTAAGATCTAATTATTTTATTAACATTATCATTGTTTTTAACTTGGAGGGGAAATGTGTTTTTGGAAATTGGGGGAAATTTATTCTGTTTGGATAGGGAAATTGACATTTTGCAGTAAAATGGCACTGGTAATTTTAGAAGTGTTATGCATTGTTTAGGCAATCAACTGCAATATTACTCATGTGAGCAAATAAGTCATTATCGCGCATCTAATTTCCATTTATTTACCTATTTTAAGGTAACATACTTCACTTGTTTAGGTAATGGAGTATTTTGTAAGGCTATGGTGATGGCCCCAGTTCTGCACTTTTTCAAAGGTGTTGATTAGTGTTTTCAGAACCTTGCAGATCCTTTGTGCTAGTAAAATATCCCCAACTTAAATGTTGAGAAAAAACAAAACGATTATTTAAAATGTTTTGTATATTTTACCAATGAAATGTTGAAAAAAAATGATCAAAAAGATAATAGGAAATGTTTTGCTTATTTTACAATTTCTTACAAAGTGCTAAATAATGTTGTATTTAAAAAACATTAAACAAAAGACAACATTATTTACTGTTTCTTTTACTTTTCAGAGAATAAGTTTCGTTATAAGAGAATCACTTAAGGTTTGGGCCCCCTAAAAATAGCACGCAGGGTTTTGAGATTTGAGGTGCGAGTGAGTCTTTCAGCGCAAGGCCAGATAAGGTCCATGTATTGGGCAGATAGGATCTCAGGCCGCACTTGGTAGCCATCTTGGTCTCACCCCTTGAAGGTGCTCTTACGCAAATGACAGCCATAGTGAGCCGTTATCAGGACCAGGTCGTTCGTAATAAAATCGCTTTCGGGCATGCACCTTTAGTTGGGTCTTGATCTCGGTCGAATAAGCCGTAAAAGGTCAACGGGTTAGGAGAAAGGCCGCAAGGCATTAAGGCAGGTCTAGAACGATTATGAAGAGTGAGGTAATTACATTCACAGGATTTTCATGCCCAGATTCTTTGCTTTTTCTTATCCTCATACATTTTTTTTGTATTTTATTCATTGTGTTACAAAGCATGTAAAACCCATTATGTGAATTTTTTTCTTACTTTAATACTTGTTTCATGCTTACAATTTATGAAAGGCAATACATGTATAAGGTAAACAGATGAGCAGAATTTGCTGATTAAGTTTTTTTTTTTGGTTTGTTGTTAGGTATTCTAGGTTATACATGTATATCTCTCCTGCTTCATATATACATGTGGCTTATAGATAGTAGGAACACAGCCGGCAGAGACCAGTCACCATGGAGACAAGGAAGAACCTGTAATCGTAAGTTGTTACAGCGATGCTTCATATTGGCTTATTTGGAAACTTTTTATAATTTCTAGGATCTCAAGGACCACATGAGATCTGCTGGTGTTGAAGTCTCATTTGCTGATGCTCATAAACAGAGGACTGGAGAAGGGTATGTTACACTGAAAAATAGAACTGAAGGACATTTACATATCTATTAAATAGTATTTATAAAACATCAAATACAGCCTCGGTGCAACATTAAAAATGTCTGGTGTTTTCACAAGAGAAAGAAATATATAAATTGGTTTTTAGCTCGACTATTCGAAGAATATGAGAGCTATTCTAGTCGCCCCGGCGTCGGCGTCCGCGTCCGCGTCGGCGTCTGCGTTGGTTAAAGTTTTTTGTAAATTCAAATATCTCAATTATTGCTTGAGATAATCAATTGAAACTTACAATACTTATTTATAGTAACAATATACATCAGATTGACAAGTTGGATAACTCTGCCTACAATATTGACAGAATTATGCCCCTTTTTAACTTAGAAATTTTGGTTAAAGTTTTTTGTAAACTCAAATATCTCAATTATTGCTTGAGATATTCAATTGAAACTTACAATACTTATTTATAGTAACAATATACATCAGATTGACAAGTTGGATAACTCTGCCTACAATATTGACAGAATTATGCCCCTTTTTAACTTAGAAATTTTGGTTAAAGTTTTTTGTAAATTCAAATATCTCAATTATTGCTTGAGATATTCAATTGAAACTTACAATACTTATTTATAGTAACAATATACATCAGATTGACAAGTTTGATAACTCTGCCTACAATATTGACAGAATTATGCCCCTTTTTAACTTAGAAATTTTGGTTAAAATTTTTTTTAATTCAAATATCTCAATTATTGCTTGAGATATTCAATTGAAACTTACAATACTTATTTATAGTAACAATATACATCAATTGACAAGTTGGATATCTCTGCCTACAATATTGACAGAATTATGCCCCTTTTTAACTTAGAAATTTTGGTTTAAGTTTTTGTAAATTCAAATATCTCAATTATTGCTTGAGATATTCAATTGAATCTTACAATACTTATTTATAGTTACAATGTTCATCATATTGACAAGTTGAATAACTTTGCCTATAATATTTACAGAATTATGCCCCTTTATAACTTAGAAATTTTGGTTAAAGGTTAAAGTTCTTCAAAGATATTTACTTGAAACTTTACACACATGCTTAGGGTCATAATTGGAGAGTCATAATTGTATGTCACTGACCAAGTTCCATAACTCTACTCGCATTTAGGCTGATTCATCTCCCCTTTTCTACTTAGTCTATTGGTTAATGTTTACATGCAAGTATTACATATCTCAATAACTATTAAAGATATTTATTTAAAACTTCACATATGCATTTAGAATCACAATTGTAGGTCACTGACCAAGATCCATAATTCTATCTTGCATTTAGGCTGATTTTTCTCCCCTTTTTCAACTTAAAAATTCATAGTAAAATTTTGCTTGTAAGATGTTATCTCCATAACTACTGAAGAGTTTGTGCCTTTTTGGGGACATTTTTATGCATTCATAATAATAAAGCAGTGATTTACTTGATAAAACATCTTTATAACAAGCCTGTGTACCTTTTCAGTCAATTTTATGTATTCATAGGTAACTAGCATTATTATACTCAATAAATCACCCTTGTGACAACATTTTGAATAGTCGAGCCAATACTGTCCTCCGACAGTTCTTGTTTGTTGTGTATTTATTCTGTGCTGATTTTGGTGTTTGTGTGTGGTTAATATTATTTTGTGATGATTGTTTATTTTAATTACTTTTTTTTCGACACTTCTTCATTATAAAGGCAGTTGTAAAAAACCAGTTTGTCCATGCCATGTGGTAAATGACATCGTTTTTAAGGCATCAACTAGAATTTTTTTTCTTTGATCTCGAGAATACACTTGCAGAAATTGCAATTTGATTTGTTTTTACAATGGAGAAAGCAAAGCAATATTTATAGCAGATTTCTCCTTTGAATTAAGGCAGTATCTTCTGCTAGTAATATCTTAACCTTAAGTTAACTGGCAGCATCTGAATAATCCGTGTGAGCAGTGCAGACCAAAGTCATTCTACACATCCTTGCCATTGGAAAATTTCCAAAAAAATGATTTACAGTTGTCCAGATTGAAAGATCTCGAGTTGCTTTAAAATTTTTAATGTGGTAAGAGTTGAAATTGATGTCATATACAACGTGGTATGGCCATGCTGGTTAAGAACAAATTTGATGGTAACTGAAAAGTTGCTCTAGTGTGTATGATCTTTTGAAGACTCCTAATTTTTATGCTATATACAACATCTTATAAAACAAATCAACCATAATCTTATTTTAGAGTTGTTGAGTTTACAAGCGAGTCCGATATGAATCGTGCAGTTGAGAAACTAGATGGTACAGATATAAATGGAAAGAAAATCCGTATGGTTGAGGAAAGACGAGGTGGAGGCGGAGGTGGTGGTGGACGAGGCAGAAGAAGGTTGTTTTGATTTTCTTTGAGATAAATTATTTATTACTGTCAAGAAAAGTTGTTTAATACTTTTTGTGCATGAGCAAATTACAAGGTCTGATGCATTGAAGTTAACAGAGTATTCTTGTCAGTATTTATAATAGGGATTAGTTGTGTGTGTCAGTCAGTAACTTTTTAATCCAGACAAGTTTTCTTCATTCTCCTAAGAATTTCACGGAAATTGTGAAGCCCATTTAACTTTTTCTAGATTTAGCAAGCCAAAGGTCAAAAGTATTCTCGATAGATTACTTGAAGAAAAAAAGCATATAACTAAGGTTAAACTGACTTATAAAATAGTTTAACTAGATGATGCATCAGTGTGTTGACCTTAAGTTGGCAGGGAAATGTGCAATTTCATCAATTTCTGGCTGTCTATTGAATCAAGCATTTTTAAAAGATTATTACTTTTTCAATTTCAATTTCATAAACATTTGTCACATGTTACGGTTATTCATAGTTCTTATTCAACAGTCACAAAGCTGATGAAAATACCTCAAGTTTCCTGTAGCACAGAAAACAATCAATAGAGGGACATCGGTGGTGAAATCATTATGTCCTTCAACCCCATTATCATGCCATGTTGTTCTACCATCTTATCTTCAGTTTTTCACGCAGCAGATCCAGATCAGAAAGCCGAAGCCGATCAAGATCCAGCCGGAGCCGTTCTCGATCAAGCTCGCCACCAAAGAAGAGGTCCCGTACAAAATCCGGTGATGATGCGGAAGACGATTGAATCATTTCATGCAGCAAAGTCTTTATTCATAATTCTGAAGAGATTCAGCGTGGGGAAACTTTAGACAGCTGATATGGATGGAGGCTTATCTCTCAACCATTGCTTGTCTTTCGTGAGTGTATGTAAAGAGTAAATGTCATAAGTGTTAGTGAATGTAGTATTCTAGTTATATGACTATAGATATAATTGTATGAAGAAATTTGGCCATTATTTTCATGTGTATAATTTAATCTTGTCTATTTGATACGGTAAAATGAGAAATGCTCATAAACACTTAAATTTGAAAAAAAAATAATGTATACTTGATATGTTAATAATCATAGGCATGTAATACAAAAGTTTGGTGTCAAATTATTGTGTTGAAGTGTCTTAAAATTAATAATGAATTTATTTAAGGTGTTGTAGTTAAAACTTTCGGGACTGTAATTGGTTCCTCTTGATAAATATTTAATATTACTCCTCAATAATTTTGTACTTTCCAATTGGCCAATGGGTTTTATTCAAGTGTACCATGTGACTAAAAATTTTGTATTCTAAAACTCTGAAAAATTAAGACATATAGAAACTGTGTCCCAATGGTGTTTTTGTTCTAGGGATTGAATAAATAACACATAGGTTTATGAGTAACAGCAAAAATATCATCTCTCGTAAAAATACTGTACCTCAGCAAGCAATATTTTCCTCAGGATGATATTTTGACTGTTACTTGTTACTAATGAGTTATTTATTTACTGGTATAATTCAACTCTTTATTGTTATGGTTACATAGATGAAATGTATTTATTATAAATTTGTTTTTCCACAGTTTTGCAACACAAGGCATAAAAGATCTTTGAATTGCTGTTAAGCACTTGAATTTATCCAAAGTTCAGTGTATAATAATATATTATGAATACAAAAAGTCTTAATCTTCAGTATAGATATATATTTGAAGATTAAAGGGCATACCTTATCTGACCTCGTTTAAAATCCTACAATATGTTTTAAGGATCTTAATAAACTGATGATTAAATCTTTCATCTTATGAGGAAGCTCTTGATAAGATAATGATAGTTCTGTGGTCCTCTTGTGCCCACATGTTCCTGAAACAATGCAACGAGGGAACACTGAAAGTTTTTCTACATTATTAATTCTGGGAAGTCACCATTTATGACATTTACAGAGTCTGTACGACTTAAAACCCCAAAAAAATAAGAGAAAAAAGAAAATTTCTTGATCAAGTTTTCTTTGTTTTTTTTTATTTGTCAAGCCATCTTTCATATATTCATGTTACTGATATTTAAAACTCATTTCACTAAATTTCAATTATGATTTTGTTTTATTTTCTTCAACCATTGTCATTACAGAAACATTATTTGTGCATGTTATTTTTGTTTCTTCTCATTTTTAAAATTTGTCCATATTGTGTACTGTGATGGATAAATATTGTGAAATAAAGATTTTATTATAAAACTTTTACAGTGCTGTTGATTGTTAATTAAACTGTAAAGAAACAAGTGTGTCCAATAAGTATTTAAAGGTGTAAAATAAAGTAGACCACTTTACACTAAGTTATCTGTGTAACAGTGACTCAACCTAGATATCCTGTCCTACTGGCTACATGGGAATTTGGAATGGAAATTTAGATTTGTAGTAGATAAATTTATTTTGATACAAAAGTGCATTGTGGTCAGCCTTTATGCTGAAGGTATAGGATTGTAGTTTTGCCATTGAGCACAGAGATCTACAGTGTCGATAGCTTTACGATTCTTGTAAATTGCTTAATGAACAATATACAAAGATTTTATACATTTCCGAGATCGTTTCTATACCAATTTATTTGACTAGACTTTTGAATGGAGAAACTATGCAAGGACAACTAAATATACAGGTATTTTCTTCACATTGACAAATATCAAGGGAAATCCATATTTAAACTAGAAATGTGTCCATAGGACACGGGTGCCCCCCACACTCCACCAATTTGTCAATCTTGTGTCGCTAGGTCAAATTTTTTTTTTTTCGGCTACATGTGCCCAAGTTGAAAACTAAAAATCTTTTATTAAGTAAAGGGCAAATACTACAAATACTGAATTAATCCACAAGAAAACCCCAAGGTGCATAAGTACACATGCTGACCAACATTCTTGTTAACTTTCAGGCCTACAGGTCAAATACTTTCTGAGTTACATGCATCACAAGTTATATATTGTAAATTTTTACTACTAGTATATCAAGGGCAATAACTCTAAAAATACTAAATATATCCACATGAAAATACCTAGGTACACAACTTCACATGCTAATCAACATTCCTGTCGGGTTTCATGACTAGGTCAATTACTTTTTGAGCTACATGCGACACAAAAAGAGAACGGATGGACGGACAAGGGTAAATCTAAATGCCCCCCCCCCTAATAGTGGGGGCACAAAAATTGTGCACATTGGTTGACCGTTGTCTTACTATTATAGTTTCATCTCTATTTATGAATAAAACAGTTTACTTATTGCCAAGTTACTCACTGGTATGTTAATATCATAGTTATTTGCTTCAAGATATTGCGGGTCGTCTGGGTTAGTTGTCTCTACTTGCTCTTATTAATGAACACAGAAGTGGTTGAGGTCTGATGACTGAAGTGTCATCCTAAACACCATTGCACACACTTCCTTCCACTGTGAGTCTATATTAATCTTGCGACACAATTTACCATTACCCTGGTACCATTTCTTGTTGTAGTCCAATCCTAAAATTGTCAATGCAAACCATTCCATGCCGTCTGCCACATATTTCTTGCTGTACACTTAATGTTCTGTACATTACTACATCAACACATCAAATTGCCATCATGGAACTTGACTGTTGGCGCTTGACTGTTGATACCACATAATCTGACTAGTCTCCATGCCACCTTCTGGGACTTAAACTGGACAATCTCTTTAAAAATGCTTTTAAAACTTGCTTTTGTTGACTAGTTATAGTGTTGCACTCTATCACATGATTCAGAAACAGTGGCAGTAAATGCGATGGGCACTTCAGAAACATATGGTACGCCAATAAAGGAAAGTAGTTAAAGCACACCAAAGCAGTCTGCATGGTCTTAAAATGTACATTTGTGGCTCTTGGAATAAATTATTAGTGTTACACAAGGTCAGAGGCAAAACATGAACATGCGCAAGAAAATCATTTCTCGTGCATTATTTTTAACTACATTGTAATTTCAATTATCTTTGAAAGATGTAAAAATTGATGTTATTTGTATTATTTTCATTAAATTTCTTCTTTTTTTTAAAATTAAAGTAACAATCATTAATGTTTAAATGACACAAAAAATATTTCTGAAATGGATGAATTCTCTGGAGCAACCAAAATTATTAAAGTATTTTTCAATTGGTGTACAAATATTAATGGCTGGCACTGTATTTGGGATATTCTTGTAATCCACAGTTATTGTACTACTATGCAAATTATGCATAGTACCAACGTTGGAAGAAAACTTCTTTAAATTTACTCAAAGTAAAAATTCTCTAAACAACATTTAATTAAATTAGGTATCGACTTTATTATTGGTTAATTATTACTGTTCATGTAGACTCAGTATTTTGGAGAACGGTTCTAAAATTTATTTTGAAAGTTTGCCTTCCAAATACAGTATAAATTTTACAGATTTAACAATGCTGGTACTGTGTAAATCCTAGCAGACGTGGTCCAGAAAATCAAGTGACGCCTGCACAACTTTACTGATATTTTTTTTATGTTCTGTTATGTATTATAAATCAAATTTGTTGTTTTAACACAGAACAACCTCTGCAGTAAATTTTTTAGCTAGGAAAATACATTTTTAATCTTTTAGACCAAAGATATTTGGCATCACCTATATTAACTTGTACAGAAGTGATAATCATCATTAGACCAAAGATATTTGGCATCACCTATATTAACTTGTACAGAAGTGATAATCATCAAGTGGATCTTACATACGTCCCTGGGATCAAAGATGGCACCTTCCCAAGGGTCACTAAAGACTTTTTCAAGCTGCACAACTTGTCCCTGGGGATTAAAACTAGCCCCACCCCAGAGGTTCATCTGGACTTGCATTCACCTCCATGTAGAAAACAATGCCAATCAGTAAACATTGTGTACATCAATGACCCTCGACATGCAATGTACAGTAGTAAAACTCCTTATTTGAGGGAGTTTTACTTTTCCTGTCCTGTCCCCTTCAAGGTTGGGAAATAATAAACTTGTGCAAAGAAAATCCATTATATCCTAGTGTTTTTTTTTTAAACATAGGCATGTATCTATATATAATATAGCTATCCATTGTCTCGAAATAAGTGTGTACCCGACAAGCTTTTATCAGGCAATGAGTAATCATGTGCAGTTGAATCGACTAGGCTGATCGGACTATCAGATTGGACATTTCACTAGCACGATTCATTTGTTCAAAACTGTTTATATTGCCTCTGAAAATACAGTAGCCTGGTCGGGCTTGTTACTGTGAAAAGGTGGTAGCCCGAGGAGAAATTTAGTAGTCGGGGGCTATCGGATTACTGCTAATTTCGAACACAGTGTGAAAGTTGGAAATTTTAAAAATCCTGAATTTAGCAGTTTTTCTATAGTTTTACATATAATAGGAAATAGGCTTTCAGGAGACTGAAAATCCTGAACTTCAGGAATAATCCAGAAAACTTTCACCCAGGTAAATTAAAACTTGCCTTTCAACCATTGTGATTATATAATGGTTCACAAAAGAACAAAAAATATAGATTTTTATTATTTATTTTGCTGTTTGAAATTCACAATATTTTCTCCATGTGATATTTACAATATATACAATAGTGAAATTGAATATTATATACAAATGACTGAAATGAATGCATACATATACATGAAGACAAATTCTTATTATATTTTAATTATGACTAATGTCAACATGTTTTCAAGTCATCAAGAAATATCCTCTTTTTCTACTTAATTTATTACTGAAAATAAATGCTAAATATTTTATAAGATAGAACAACTTAGACCAGTACAAAAGAACTACAATTTATCAATATTAAAATCATATTCACAAATATACACACACATCAGAAGACTAGCTTTTGATACAAAAATACACCTTTTTATCACAACTTCTATTTCATATCGTGCAACTTTATAATGTGTCAAATTCACCAAGCACATAGCTTCATTTCTCTGTCAAAGAGAAAAATTACTTTCAATCTTGCAGCAAGTCCTTCAATACCTTTGTCAAAAACAGAAAAGCCCTCCAATATCAATTTTAACAGCTAGATAAAAGTACCTGATACAGTATTATATACACATCATTACCTGATAATGTTTGGATCTATCAGTTTTTATGACCCCCCCTCCCCATACTGTGTTTGATAATCATTGTATTAATTTTTGTTTTGCAGGTTTAAAACGAACAGAATATAATTAATTCATACCATAAATCAGTATCTCGTACAACAAAAACTTTTTATTATGACTATGATACACGATGTATGCACTGTAAGTTTGATAATAAGTTATTCATCGTTCTTATCATCTTCTTGTCCTGGAGATTTTGACCGAGATCTTGATCTAGACCTTGACCTAGATTTCGCTGGTTCCCTGTCTGCACTCTTAGACCTTGACCTAGATCTTGAACGAGATTTAGATTTGCTTTTTGACCTGCTCTTTGATCTACTCTTACTTCTGCTTTTGCTGTGAGATCTGGACTTTGACCTTGACCTAGATTTAGAGCGAGACCTGGACCTAGTTCTCCTGCGTCTGGATCGTGACCTGCTGCGACTTCTGCTGTCAGAACGTGACCTTGTTGACCTGAAAATATATATGGACATACTGATTTAAATATTTGGAGTTCTGAAGATTATTTAAAATAAACTTATGTTTACAGTTTAGATTTTTATAAAAAGTTAGCTCAGAGGTTCAGGTAACATCATTATCAGACCCGTCTTGAACGTGAACATCATAGCCAACATCTAAACAATCACAATGCATGTAGCAAGATCATTACAAAAAATTTGAAAATAATAAGAAATTGTAAGTTTACACATCAACATTGCCAGTTCTACATTATTTTTGACAGTGTAAGAATTTTTGATGTAGTTTGAATGTTCTTTTATTTACTATAAAACTTCTTTAAAATGATGGCTGTTTCCAGCTATTTTCGAAAAGCCCTGCTTGCAGAAGCAATGCAAAAATGTTGTAACAAAACAGCTCCGATATTCAAACTTAAAATTGTTTAACTGAAGCTGAAAATTATTACATAATTTACTTTACTTATTTGAAAATGACAAGTGTCAAACTAGATGCAGGGTTTGGTATCCCCATCCGATACTAATAAAGAAATTTGAAATTAGTTCAGGAGTTCATTAGTCATCATGATCAGACCCGTCTTGAACATGAACATCATCACCAATTTCAGTAATATCAAAATTTCACAGACAATCTTGTATGATAAAATAATCAAAACAAACCTCCTGCGTTTTTTGGGTTTATCTTCTATCAGTTTGATTTTTCTTCCATTAATCTCTGTGCCATCCAGTTTATCAATAGCCCTCTTCATGTCACTGTAAGACTGGAACTCAACAACTCTGAAATACAGAACAAGTATCGTATTTAACATGCGAGTCTTCTAATAATGTCAAGCTTGATTAGTAATTAAATCAAGTAGTAATAGGCAATGGTGTTCAGTGAGATTTGTCAACATGAAAATTCTGACCCGAAAGATGGACATCATTACACCACTACATTAAAACAGTCAATTAAAATCAATGTTAAAATCTTAATATCAACCTGCTTTTCTACTACTTACAGTACCAAGTTTTATTTTTATGGTTTTTACTAGAATGAATCACACTCTGTGCTACAACCACTACAATCTTCTTAAAATCCACTTGAGTCAAATACAAGTTCAATATCAAGATACTCCTACAATTATACTTCAAATGTTGCTTAATCTTGCAAATAGGTCCTGTGTGGAGTTCTTAAAATTTTAGTCGGTCTAAATCCTACGACACCATAATTACAGTCCTAGTGGTCATTTTTCATGCAAAAATTCTAATTATAAAGAGCACAAAATATAAAATATAATTTATTGTATTTTAAACTGTCATGACATGAACAGTATCAATTCTTGTTGTTCAGTGAGGTTTGTCAACATAAGAATTCTGACCCGAAAGATGGACATCATTACAACAAGAACTGTATCTCTTATAAACCATTTTTTCACATTTTGTGAGGAACTAAATTTCCATCCATTGAAAAATACATTTGCATGGGTAAAATAATACTTTAATTTATGTTGAAAGGTGTGTTATTACTAAATGATAATATCTAAGAGGATCTTACTACCTTTTAGTATAGAATAGATGCATATTAAAATTGTGTCTTAATAATACAAAGGAAACTAGTCTTTATACTGTTAAATAACAAAAAGTTCATGGTTTTTCTCAGAATTTTCTTGAAATTAATCATCTTTATAAATTATTTCTCAGATTAAATTTCAGTTTTATACATAAGCATATTTTGCTCTTGCAAACAAGGTGTTCAGAGAGTTTTGTCAACATTCACATGTCTGACCCGAAAGATGGACATCATGACACCTTTGAGCAATTCATCATTCCAAGATTCCCTATGGAAGATGTCTCATAGTTCCTTTTTCCTAACAAAAGAGGGACTTTTCGGCCTTTAATGGCACGGAAACAAATACAACATGAACAATTTGAATGGTAGAATGTTGCAATCATGGTGTTCAGTGAGTTTTGTCAACATTCACATGTCTGACCCGAAAGATGGACATCATGACACCTTAAGCAAGTCATTTCCAGTTTCCCTACAGAAGATCAAATATTAACTCTATTGTCACTTACCCTTCATTTTTTCTGTCCCTGTGAGCATCAGCATATGTCACCTCACCTGCCTGCCTCATATAGTCTTTAAGATCCTGAATAGAGAAGAGCAAAGTGTACAACAACTGTCAAATAAGCATACAGTGACTGATAATAGAAAATGGGTTGAAGGATGACAATGAATTAACATGATGTAAACTTGTACCCACAATGATATCCATTCCCTAACAAAGCATGCGCATTTTTTTTCAATCTACTCTTATACATTAACTACAAATCTATTAGAAATTGATCCACCAAATAACAGCCAAATACATATATAACAGCCATATTTTCAAACTTTGAAAAATACAGTATTTACAATGTATACAAAAGTTGTATTTTCCTATCATAAACATGAGAGAAAACTACAATCATTTAACTTAAACATAAAAATTTGTAAAGTCTTAAACATTAAGATCTGATTAAGAATTTCGAAACAAACAGAGCTAATTAACATGAATGATCATTGGCTGTAAGTTTTTTTCAGTCTTAGGTATATTGGTGAAGCAAAAACTATGTCAAAGGCTTGAAAAATCTTAATATCAACTGAAGTTTTACCTCATTTTATAAACCATTAATGACAACTTGAAAAGCTTTTTCCTCACACTACCATTACTAAACTGATACGTAAGATTTTTCAAACCTTCTTTCTTATCAATTTATCTTAAGTCATCATCTGAAATATGCCCCAGTTCACAATGAATTTACCTCAACATCAAATGTTCACATGTTCTGAAACACTGGGTTGTGGGGATGTACACCTGGCAATAGTGTAAATAGATGCTTATTGGTCCAAATGCCTAAATGTATCAGCCAGAAAATGCCTCGCCTCTCTGACACCTTAGACCAGCCAGAAAAACCATGGTTCACCAAAGCAAGGATATGTCAATCGTCAGTCCTTGCACCGAAATGCAAACATGTCATACGTCAGTCCAAGAACATGTGTTCTTAAAATTGATGCCAAATGCCAAAGTTTCAACTTTTCAATTGAAAATAAGATCAAATTTTTTTTAATCAAAAAACCCTATAGAGCTAGACTTGAAAAATCAAATCACACTCTATGACAGGGTATAAATATTTTCTTCTTGAGGAAGCATCTGGTCTTCTGACAATGAACCCTGCGGGAATGTTGGCATGGAAAGATGTGGGTGGTGTGAACTGCTAGGCTAGCCCCTTGTGCCTTGAGGATTGATAGGTTTGAGCCTTGAGCCTACTGAGTGATGTGGCACGTCTATTTTATTGCCTCTATTGGCTGACTGACATTGATTCTGGCTTGCTCCGATTGATCATTGTGTCCTTATACGATAAGAGAGCAAGACTCAACATTAAAACAAAAGTACATCTTAAACTGTTCATTAACTATTCAAGTTATAATTTTTTGTTTTATCAACTAGCATAAATACCTACGAAAAAAGATCCTTTGTGGCTCTACATTGCTCATAAGAAATTTTTGGTATTAAAAAACAAGAACCCTTTCCGAAAATTTAATTTCACAATCGTTCATTCTTTAATTCTTTCTATGTCCCACTGATTAAGTTTTAAACAGACTGTATATTATTTTAAGTAATTTATGTTCTCTCCAAACTTATATTATTTGAAGTAATTTTATGTCCTCCCCAAACTTCAAACTTAACACATTTCCCCTATACTGAAAACTGCAATAATCCCCCAAGAGAGACAGCCGCTTGCTTATTGTTATAAAGATACTATTAATAGTTTACTTCAATAAATACGCAGTTATAAGAAAGACCTACCTGCCAGCTAACCCTAGATGACAAATTTTCAACAATCAATCTGTTATCAGTACGAGTTGGTGGACCATACCTGAAATTCCAATGTTAACTTTCTTATTTACACTCTTTTAACAGTTTATTATTACACATACAGATCAGTTTATTACACCTATAGCATCTAATGTACAAAAGAACTGACAATAGATTTGATATTCTTTTTCACATCAACACTTATCAAGGGCTTTTCTGATAGATCTCTGGAGCCTCTATGGGCATTATTTCAAGCACAAGCTGGTTACAAAGTAGAATCAATGATATTTCGTAAGGTACTAAGCTAGATTGCTTTTAACATTAGAAATCCATGGTTGGTCAAGTGTGAAAAGTTGTTTGAAGTTGGTGACCATAGCTACACTATCTTCCATTAACTTTCAAAGCAATTACAAACACAGATTTTATGGATTTAAGTGAAAGAAAAAGAAAAAGTAATGAGGCAAATATATTGAAACATTATGCTTCACTTTAAACACCTTTAACAACCAAAAACAATAAATTAACTAGTTTGCTTCCACCACTTAAAAGTAATGTTTCAAGCAGGCTTATTATTATCCACAGGTGTAAGGGGCAAAATTTTTGCAGCATTTGATTTATCAGGTAATTTTTAAAAATTACTTACTTGTCCCTGGCACTACTTCTCCTGGGACCACCTCCCCCACCTCCACGACGAGGAGGAAATCTGTCAAAACTACTATCATAATATCTGTCTGACCCTCTTGGAGTTCCTCTTGCATGCTCAACACTAACCCTATAAATATAAATCAAATTCATTAAAAGAACCCATCATAACTCATTTATTTAAGAAAAGGCTGAAACATGACCCCTGAATGTAAAATTGGATAAAAAAGTAGAGCAAAATAAGAGATTTTCAATTATCAATGTGGGGTCAGTAGGACTGTATCTTACCTAAATAAGTAAAATAAAATAAAATTGAAATTACTTATTTCACACTTAAAGTACATTTATATATCATCTGTAAACTTAACACCTCTCATCTTAACCTTTTCTTTGCAGGGGACACAATTCAAAACTTAAATTACTGTAGAATACAAGTGATATTTACCTCTCTCCACACATATCTTTTCCATTCAATTCATATACTGCATCATCAGCATCTCTGTAGTCATCAAACTCCTAAATAAACAAAAAGACAGGTAGATTTCAAAAATAAGAGCAAATTAATTGCATGCATGGTATAAGATCCCTCAAATCAGGCGAATGTCACAGAGATTCAAGGATATTATTTATGTCCATATAAAATAGAAAACTTCAATAATCTCGTACAAGTACTATAACATTTTTGTTCCATCTTATCAAGTTAATATAACTAAATCGTATTCTTGACCGCTTACAACGGAACAATTGTCCCCATATAATAAAGCAATACACAGGAATTGGACTATTGGTGACACTCATCCTTTGTATGGTAAATCTTTTGCCCAATTTCAATTAATAATTATGATTATCCAAAACATATTTTATCAATTAAATCTGAATACCATTCCCCAGCTCGACTCAGCAGCTAACCCTTCTAGTTAACAGTTCTATTCAATGACAAATGATCATCAGGATTACTGTTTGCTCAAAATGCAGTAGTCAAAATACAAAATTACCACAAATCCATATCCATTCTTCAACATAATGTCTCTCAGTTTTCCATATCCTTTGAAAAATCTTTCAACATCCTTCTCTCTGACATGGTAGGGTAAACGTCCAAGATAAAATCTGGTTCCCTTTTTGGGAAAAAAAAAAATATTTTTTTAAAAATAAGGTGTCCCGAATGATTTTTTATCCAATTTTGCTTGTGGTAAAAATTTTTAAAAAATTTAACTTCTAAAATTGCCTATATTTTTACTTTTTATTCAAATGTTTTTTTAAAGCGAATAGGCAAAAAAAGCAGGCAGAAAAATTTTTTTTAAAAAGGGCAAAAACCCTCCGGGCCAAAAAGACAGGGGGGCAAAAGCCCTCCCATAACAAAAATATATCTGTATGTTACTTACCTTGTTTTTTTTCCAATGCACTCAATATATTGAAATTGGAACATATATATTTGTTGTTGATTTCAATTGATCTAACTATTTTTATGAGCTAGAACCATCTTTCATTCAGAATATACCTTTCTGAAATGTTTAACGAGGTAACTTTTTACACGAATGTCGTTTAAAACAAAAGTCACTTTAAAAAAAAATTGGCACATTACAAGGCATATAATGAATGTCTGGGACTTTTAATTTTAGTTAATTTAAACTTCTTTTCATCATTTATTCCTCTATTAATCTAAACTTCACATTTAACGTGAATAAATATGCATTTACAGATTTTAGCACTTAATATTCAGATGCCTGTCAGGAATGTGCTCAAGCTCATACAAACGCGCTTATGCCAATGGAAAACAAACATCTTCATGATTTATTTACAATTTTAATATGTTGAGTGCATTGAAACGAAAATACAAACTATTCAATGTACATACTGGTTAGGGACCACCAAAACCGGACAACCACCAAACCCGGACGGCCCTGAAAATGCTTAATTTATTAACTTCTTTGTCCAGTGGTTGTCAGTCACTTTTATATAAACAGTAAATGCAGGTTTCTTCTAAAATTAAGTAAATAAATTTATTTCAACCTCCTTAAATTGTAATATTCTAATTTCTATTAAAAGAATGTTGACGTTGAGATTTTGGGGTCAAGAAAGCAATACCTAACCTCATATACCAGCTATAATCATTTGCAGAGTAAACAATAGAATATCCAAAACTTCATCATTTGTTGCTGAAATATCATATATCATGTTAAAAATAAACTATAGGGCCCCGGAGCGGAGCCAGTTTAAACCCCAGGGCTTTTATTTGAACAAACTTGGTAGACATTCATTAGAACATGTTTCATGCTAAATATCTATATCTTAGCTCTAGCTCTTAGTTCTTTAAAAGAAGATTTTTTAAGTTTTTACTATATATGCATATAGGGAAAATCAATGACCCCCTGGGGCGGGGCCAATTTTGACCCCAGGGCTTTTATTTGAACAAACTTGGTAGACACTCACTAGAAGATGTTTCATACCAAATATCTAAGCTCTAGCTCTTAGGATTTTTTAAAAGAAAATATTTAAAGTTTTTCCTTTAGGTTGCCATGGCAACTAGTCCTTCATTGAAAGACATCGCATTTTCTTTTTTTTACATTTTTACGTTTATCGGAAAATGCGAAGTCTTTCCATAACTGGCTAATTTCCCATAGCACAAATCGACATGCTTCTCGAGTCGATTTGAATTTACCGGTAAATCACAACTTAAATGTTTTTTATCACAAAAAGCAATTGATTGCATAAAAGACGGAAGCATATTTTCCCAAAAACTGTAAAAAAATGCAATAATTACTCACGATAAGTAGTTTATTTATCCATATATTTAAGAAGACACATGAAAGACAGTTTGCGGTGACCCCATATTGGAAATTCCCAGTCATGCTGTGACGTCACTCAAAAAACAATAGTACTAACTTAGTCTGAACGAAAAAATTTTCTGTTGTGATTTAAGACGCTGACAGGTGCGCGCAATAAAAATTTCGTCTAAAAACTATGGTTCCAGTAATCACCGCATTGCGTAGTACACACAATATGGAGGCTGTTTACACAATTTTAACATGGGATTTGTTTTAAATTGTTTAAAATTTGAATAAGTTGATTTTGATAAGGAAAATACACATTTGTGGTAGGATTACGATTATTTGTAACGTTTTACATCGGAAGTTTGAACGATTGTGCATGTTTATTGTTTTTCATTTTGCTACGGATTTTTAAATAGATATCTTTAGACGTTAAAGCGGATTTGACCCATGTAAAAAATAGCTTCAAATCCGCGGTTACGTCTCAATATTTGGACTACCATGGCAACCAGAGTTCTGCATGGAATGGAATTCTTTGAACAACTTTGTTAAGGCTTCACACAAGGAACATCCCTGTGAAGTTTCATTATGATCTGCCTTATGGTTTCAGAGGAGATGTCGTTTTAAAAGTGTGAACGGACAACGGACGAAGAGTGATCCTAATAGCTCACCCTGAGCATATGCTCAGATGAGCTAAAAATAAACACACAAGCTTTCATCTGAATTAAGTCATGTCATGTACATATCTGTCCGGACACATGGTACTGTAGTGTAGACAATTTAGTTAATTTTGATACCCTCCTTGAGAAGTGTCCGGTTGATGGTCCCTGACCAGTATTTTATTTGCTGCGGGAGGGCTTTTGTCCGCCGTGGTTTTCACGGGAAGGCTTTTGTCCGCCCAGTTATATATACGGGAGGGTTTTTGTCTGCCCTGTCAATTTCACGGGAAGGCTTTTGTTCGCCTGGTCATTTTTGGACGGGAGGGCTTTTGTCCTACACTCGAAATTAATCTAATTAAATCCTGGCTTCAACTTCACTATTTAATAAAATTTACGCCGTCTTTTAAAAATCAAATTGGCACGTTCTCAACTGAGACTATCAGGACATTACATATATATAATTATATAAATTTAAATGTAAAGAGAAGTACGCTACTCGTTAGAACTTGTAGGCCAACTTTTTAAGTTTTTGTCCAGTTGCAATGCATAACCACTAACAGCGGTCATAACGCATGTAATGTTAAATTATCCGACAATAAAATTGAGTAAATAAATTCACCTTATAATTCAGTTAAAGAAGAAAGTAAAAACTATTAACAAACCGCAATATTTGATCGTACATACCTTAAGCAAAAATTTCTCGACTTGGCCTTACGTTCGCACCACGCTGGAGTATCCGTCCAAAATGCAAGCCGATGATTGGCTCGTTTCCAGAGCGGCTGTTCAATAAACGCTTGCTTATGCGCAATTTTCATCAAACAATCGTTTGCAAGATGTGCGGGGGCTACAGACACCTTTGCAAAAATAATAATTTTAAAGCTTTAATTTTATTTTTCAATAAAAAAAATTCTTATTATTAAAGAGTATCGATGTATTTTTCCTTATTTTTTTCGGTTTAATTGATGTTCAGTAAAAATAAAAACATAATCGTGACGTCATTTACAAATTTCCATATCTATAAATAGAAAAATCTTGCAAATTTTAACCTCTAATAAAGAATTCTGCACGAATTAATTTTGCTTTTTTGTTAAATTTTTGCTTTTTCTTTAGAATTCTTGTTATATAAAGACCAAATTAATAATCATAAAATTAATTAAAATATGCTGAAAGACCTAGTAGGCGCTAAATTGCAAATCACTTTGCATGCGAGATACAATGTGTATAATGGCGGGGGACCCCCAGCATAGTAAGAGGAAAGTCATGACTGGGGTTATGTTTTCCGCGAGCAACTGCCATATCCAGCGACCGCATTACTTTATCCGCCATTTTGTAAGCAATCACGATATTGCATATAGATCTAAAATTCGTCGTTTTCTTTCATCAAAACATATGTTGGAGGTAATACAAACATTTTAAGTGTGTAGCTTGAGTTTTGTTGCATTTATCGAGTTTGTCCTAATTTCGTAAAATAAATAATGCATTCGGTAGGTTGCCAACTTCTTTAAACGTAACAAGCAGCAGATTTAATGCACTTCAAATGCCCTTGGCAAAACATTTGCTCCCATTTACTTTCACACATTATGAAGTATGCCTCCAATATTGAATAACATGCCCTTTTTACAGTTATTTCTACTTTCGCTTTACATTCCTTTACAATTAATTTAATAGAATCTACATTCAGTAAATTAATACGTTTCAATTTTTACGGGAATTGGCGTTGACTCTTGGTATTAAGATTAATGAAAGGATTGTATGATTTGATAAGCAATATATTAATTTATATATATTATTTTTTCAATAATCATCAATGAGATAGAGCCATAATGAAGTGTCATGTAGGCAAGATATCATATTCTGTAATTCAAAAACTTAGCTAAACACAGTCAGGGCTCGAATTTAACACTCGCAAACTCGCAAAATGCTAGTTGAAAAATGATTTTGCGAGTTAGATTTATGACTACTCGCAATTTTTTGCGAGTTGAAGAAAAAACGGAATACGCTCGTCAGGAAAATCCGAAATATAAATGGGGCGTAATATTCGCAGGTAGCCGAGTTATAAACTATGCGCGCACTTGCTGTCTGGTTTACATTTTCTATACCTTAACCTCGCTTAAAAAAGTACACAAATTTAAACCAGTCCAAATGTCATTTTGTCCGTGTAAATCAAGCGTGATCGGAATAAAATGTCTAAACGAAAAATAACGAACTTCTTCCCACTTACTGAAGCAAATGTGTCTTCCGATAACAATACTCTGAGTACAGAAGATGATTCACAGTCTATCAAAAGAATGAGAATCGGACCTTCAGTTAAAAATTGGGAGAAAGAACTGCATGTCAGTCTTACGTACTAACTCGATGACGATGGAAATGTTGCCAAAATATTTTGCGCCGATAGTTGTGCGCATAATCCAGACCAGACACCGTCGGTATGGCGACAATATTGCATTATTTTTTTACATGTAGATTGACATTTGATAAGAATCCCTGTCCCCTAAATCAAGTTTTTGAGTAGAAAGTTACGTCGCTGATTCGTACCCTGGGCAGTTCGAACTCGTCCAAATAAATTACAATTTTAAACAATTTTGGAATTAAAAAATCATTGTGGTAAAAAGTGCTACTTGAATTCAGTTTTTGCTAGTTAAAAATTTGTCCACTAGCAAAAAATTGCTAGTGGCCAAAAAAGTTAAATTCGAGCCCTGACAGTTTTTCATGCTTTCTGTACATTCCAGAGGTTAGCTCTGGGTAATTCAGCTAAATGGCATGTAATTATACCAAGAAATAAGTATGTTGTTTTTTATTAGAATTAAATTAAACAAATATTTAAAAAATGGTTAAATATGTTTCAAATAATTCTACACAAAAATATATGTAAATACTGTATTATACAAGTTTCATGCTGAAAATATCTTTTTGATATAGCAGGTGCCACTACAACTGTTTTAAACTTATAGATTTTCAGAATAAATAATTTAATTTTTGTAAAAGTTAAGATATAAATGGTATTAGTAAAGGAAAACTGATAATTTTCTAATACATCAAGTTTTTGCACCATAAAAGGTCATTTTGAATTTATGTGATGAAGTTTTTAACTCATTATCTTATTATGCCCCCACTTCGAAGAAGAGGGGGTATATTGCTTTGCACTTGTCGGTCCGTCCCGTCCGTCGGTCCGTAGAGCAAATGGTTTCCGAGTGATAACTAAAGAACCCTTAGGCCTAGGAACTTCAAATTTGGTATGGTGATTGGTCATGACCAGTAGATGACCCCTATTGATTTTTGGGTCAAGGGGTCAAAGGTCAAGGTCACATTGACCTTGTCTGTTAAAACGGTTTCCGATCAATAACTAAAGAACGCTTAGGCCTAGGATCTTCAAACTTGATATGGTGATTGGTCATGACCAGCAGATGACCCCTATTGATTTTGGGGTCAAGGGGTCAAAGGTCAAGGTCACATTGACCTTGAAGGTAAAAACGGTTTCCGATCAATAACTAAAGAACCCTTAGACCTAGGAACTTCAAACTTGGTATGATGATTGGTCATGACCAGTAGATGACCCCTATTGATTTTGGGGTCAAGGGGTCAATGTCATAGTGACCTTGTACTTAATGACCGTTTCTGACCAATAACTCAACAACTCAAGTTGCCTTGGTTGATATTTTTATGTGCTTTTGGTATACACATTTGAAGGTCTTATGTAATATAACATCTTGGCTGTCATTAATGAGGCCTATGTGATTCATAAAATTTATGTATATATTATTTGGTAAGATTTTTAATAACTTTAATTGCTGCACACAACCTATGGGGTCACAATAATTATTACCTTGTGACTAGTCATGACCAGTAGATACTAGATAACCCTTATTAATTGCTTGTTCACTGGGTCAGAAGTCATGCATAATAACCTGATCACATGACAAATTGGCTGCAGATAGGGGGCATACATGTTTTACAAACATATCTTGTTAAATATGAAGATGATAATTATCCAAGTATCTTAAGTTTTGTATCATATATATGGTTGCACATGTACTTACTTCTTTAATTGTCATATGTGGTTAATTGTTCTGAACAGAATTGACATATTGTGTTACTGTAAGACACTTTTAAAGAATCCTTGACTATGGTTTAAACACAGGTATATGAAGGTAATGATTATAACATGTGTTTATACAGAACACTATTGCTGATATGTCTTAACATATCCCAAAATGTTTGATTTGAAGAATAATTTTAGCTCACCTGGGTAAAAATACTGATTGATTGCTGTCTTTCATAATTATCAAAAGACCTCTTCTAAAACCAACTGCCAAATATGATGAAACTTGCCTGTGATGTTCCTTACATGAAGTTCTATGAAAGTTGTTGCAATTGCCCTGGTCCAATGAATAATTTATTCTTATGGTGGTGCTTTTTTATGCCCCCGCCATGTAATGGCCGGGGCATATAGTGTTACCCTGTTCTGTCATTCTGTCATTCCGTCATCATCAGTTTCCGTTCATTATCTTAGTAACGGTTGCACACATTCAACTCAAATTTGACATATGGATATGTCATGATAAAATACAGGTCAAGTTCGAATTTGGTCATGGTTCGATGATTTTTGGCAGAGTTATGCCCCTTTTACTTTAAAATAATATGAAATTTTCAGTTTCCGTTCATTATCTCCCCAACGGTACAACACATTCAACTCAAATTTGACATATGGATATGTCATGATAAAATAAAGGTCAAGTTCAAATTTGGTCATGGTTCAATGATTTTTGGCAGAGTTATGCACCTTTCACTTTGAAAATAATATGAAATTTTCAGTTTCTGTTTATTATCTCCCCACCGGTAACTCAAATTTGACATATGGATATGTTTTTGGAATGCCCAGGCCAAGTTCGAATTTGGTCATGGTTCAATGATTTTTGGCAGAGTAAAGCCCCTTTCACTTTGAAAATAATATGAAATTTACAGTTTCTGTTCATTATCTACCCAACAGTGTTACATATTCAACTCAAATTTGACATATGGATATGTCAAAGAAATGTGTAGGTCAAGTTGGAATTTGGTCATGGTTCGATGATTTTTTTGGCAGAGTTATGTCCCTTTCACTTTGAAAAAAATATAGATACATCTTAGGAATAAGCAGTTTAAGTTTGAATTTGGTCGTTGTTCAATGATTTTGGACAAACTTATCTTTCTTGAATGTCGGAAAAATTTTAAACTTTCAGTTTCAGCACTCATAATTTTGTGGAAATGTATGTAGCCATTATTTTGGCTACAAATATGAAATATGCTATTTTCAAAAGGTTAAGACTGAATAATTTCAGTGCCTTGAACATTGTATGGAAATGGTTTGTGTTAACTATGAAAAGTTTTAAGGGCTTTGAACTTAAAATGAAAAAAATAATTTGTGCAAACAAATTTGGAACTAAATATTATAACATCTGAAATTTTGGCTGCATGCGGGGGCATCCGTGGCATGATGACACATTTCTAGTTATGGTTAACTTCCGGGTCACACTGTGAATTCACTAGAGCACAGTTCAGCCACTGCATAAATTGTATTGTATTTCAAACAAACTCTTTAGGAGAATGGTTCAGTTTACATTTTAACTAAGGTTTGATCTGCAAGGATTTCACTATCACCCAGAAGCCAGGAAACATCCCCTGCCAAATGTGATGGGCTGCATCCCTACTTTTGGAAGTTTAACTTTTAATAATGGCATAAATAATGACCATAAAAATTGAATTAAAATTCCTTGTCATGATTATTTTGTTTTAGTTAATTGATGTCAACATATTTGGCACTGCTTTTCTGATGGGAAAAGTTAATCATGATGAGTTTTTTAAACTATATTGCCATCTTGATTTGAAAATATTTTAACTCTTTCTTTATGTCATATGAGATATAGACATATGGCACCAAGCCCTCAATATGTTTTATAGACAAATTGTTTTTTATTAACTGTATGCTTAAGTTGTTTGTCAATTCTTTCTAAAGTTTGTGCATGATATTATTGAAATTTTTGAAAATTTCATTTTTTGAGAAATTTGAGAATTACAAATTTAGATTTATTTGAACTAAGCCAATTGAAGTATTCTTTCTTTGTACATTCTGTCAAAATTTTGAACTTTTTCGTATATATACATGTATATATATTATATATAATATATTTCTAGAAAAATGTGGTAGCTAAAACAGTAGCTGCTGGCAATGGACTTCCACTTTGACCATGATTATGGGCAACAGCTAGCCAACCCACCACACATACAGAAGGTTGAACATGCCTTGAAACTCGAACCATTCTTATCTTATGTGGAGGATTTGATTAAACCGACTGAAGAAGATTTTAGCATCGAAAAGGAGATCTTGAAACCATGTGTGAAGAAAGATGCAGAGGGAAATAAGTTATTGAATGGTATAACAATAACCAAAGCAGGTGAGGAAAAGTAGTTTTGTTTAGAGAAATCCAGATGTATGCAGTCAATAAATTTAAGATTTTGAATTTACTAGCTGAATTCCAGTTTTGAATTTATTCCACTATATATGTAACTAAATTTTCTTAAAATTTTCACTGGCCCGATTTAATTTTCACTGGCTAGCCTAAGTTGGATGACTGTCAGTATGTAATAAAGTGCTATTTTAACAATTATAATTTTTATGAAAGTAGATCATCATTTTACATCAAACATATTAAAAACATGCAAGAAATTAGATATACATTTAGTTACTGATTTTTTTTATAATACAGTTACTGAAGACATATAGTTTAGTTAATAAATCAAATTCAAAGCAGGGCAAATCCATTACAAAAATTCTGCTGGTTCAGACATAATAATAACATGAATGTAGCAGCAGCTCTTGACTATATCTTTATGACATCATATGTTTGCTAAATTATTCTGTACAATTATCAATATAAAGTAGATGTCTCCTTTATACTCAACATTTCAGCAGAGGAAATTGATAAATTTATACTAGATTTATAACAACTTACATTATAGTTTAGTTAAATAATCAGAATTTCAAAGAGGCAAATCCATCATTCGCTGTTCAGACATATATAAATGAATGTACATGCAGCTTTTTGAAATATCTTATGATAATCTGCATGATTATACTGTACTATCACTTACTTTTTGATTGCTCCTTTATACTACTTCAGAGAGAAAGCTGAAACAAACAACTTTACATTTGCTAAGTGAGAAACAGAAATGGTAAAGTATTATATCTTTCTTACATATTTTTGTTGACACAAGAATGACAATACATTGCATACCTTGTAGAAAGTTGCACTAAAAACTCTGATAATGTGACATGGCTAGCCTATTCAAGAGTTTATATGGTAAATTGTAAATTTAACAGTAAAATCTAGGAGTTTTGATGGTAAAAGCTATTATGAAAATATTATTATTTCCAGTATTTTGCAATACATGAGTATCATCAAAACTTAATATGCTTACTACTGACTATGTCTATTAAATGAGTATTTAAGTGGGTAGTTAATTGATTTCAGGCAATTTTACTGAGCGATAGTTCATCAGACGAGGAAGATGAAGGGACTGTTACGGAGGCGGAGTTACAAAACATGCTTAAACTGCATAAATACCAACGTAAACATCAGATGCAGTTTTATCAAGATCCAGAGGTATGCTATCACTATAATGTTAATGCTAAACAGAATAAAAATACGAATTGGTGAAGGGGAGATAATTAAGTATGGAAAGGATGCCTGAAATAATGCTAGCTTCTATGTTCTCTCTCATTTAAAGCTTGACAGTTTCAACTGGCCTCTATTCTTGCATAAAAGCTTGCACCCAGGTATACATTAACAAAGAAGAAAACATGCATTAACAGATCAAGTCGCTCAAGCCTCAATGATACTGCATGATTCAAAAACACACTACTTGAGTGAGCAAATTTCCATGATGTAAGGAACTTGTAAAATTGTTTTCTTAGTTAAACTTATGACATACTGAGTATAGATAAGAACAATTAGGATTAAGGTGTTGAAAATTGCAGACTTTTTGTGCGAAAAATATTCAGGGTGGCAATTTGAAAGTTAATAAAACTTAACCCAAGTTCTGAAACGATGCATCGATTGTAAACAAAGGTCTTTCTCAGATAGTAATGTTAAATGGTAAGTAAATAACTTTAATTGTGAAATTTGGAACTGAATTCTGCAAATGATAATGAATTTAGAATATACAATTATATTGATTTTACATTTAAAGAAATGTTTGTTTTACAGCTGCACCAATATCAGTACTATTCAACAGGCTTACTGTCTAACTATGACCACTTCCCAGAACAACAAAAAGCCATTCTCGGTCCAAAAAAGAAAATCTCTAAAGATCAGAAGAAGATGGAAAGAAAAATCAAAGGTAATTTTAACATGTAGATGAATTGATAGATCTAAATCTTTTAACTCTATGAATAATGATTTGTGTTTTAGTTTAAACATGCTTTTATTCATTTTAGCTTGTTTGTGAAGAAAGCTTAAGCTTGTCTGAAGCTTGTTTGAAGTATGTCTTTAATCAGTCAAGGTTTAAGAGATTGAACTCCTGAGCCCTGAGTTGAGAGGCAGACACATTTACCACAAGGCCCCCTCTGTTAGTAAATTCTGTAAAGGCACTTACTTTATTTTACTATGATATCAAGCATAAAGTGATTCTTAATACATTTTACAGTATAAAATCATCTATATCAAGTTGATAAGAAAGCACCAATATATTTATAATGATATTTACCTTATTTGATGGCTTGATTATACAAATTAATTATGTTGAACCTTTTTTTTTTGAAGCAAAGCTGAAGAAATTGAAAAAAGAGAAAATCATAGAGAATGGAGACGAAGATGAGGTAAACTAGATCTTTGACTAGTAATTTAGTTGTTTTTTAGCTCACCTGTCACAAAGTGACAGGGTGAGCTTTTGTGGTCGCTTTTCGTCCGGCGTCCGGCCGGCGTCCGTAAACTTTTACTTTAAATGACATCTCCTCATAAACCACTAGGCCAATTTCATCCAAACTTCACAGGAATGTTCCTTTGGTGGTCACCTTTAAAAATTGTTCAAAGAATTTAATTCCATGCAGAACTCTGGTTGCCATGGCAACCGAAAGAAAAAACTTTAAATATCTTCTTTTAAAAAACCCTAAGAGCTAGAGCTTAGATATTTGGCATGAAACATCTTCTAGTGAGTGTCTACCAAGTTTGTTCAAATAAAAGCCCTTGGGTCACAATTGGCCCCGCCCCAGGGGGTCATTGATTTTCCCTATATGCATATAGTAAAAACTTAAAAAATCTTCTTTTAAAGAACCCAAAGAGCTAGAGCTAAGATATTTAGCATGAAACATGTTCTAATGAGTGTCTACCAAGTTTGTTCAAATAAAAGCCCTGGGGTCAAAATTGGCCCCGCCCCAGGGGGTCATTGATTTTCCCTATATGCATATAGTAAAAACTTAAAAAATCTTCTTTTAAAGAACCCAAAAAGCTAGAGCTAAGATATTTAGCATGAAACATCTTCTAATCGGTGTCTACCAAGTTTGTTCAAATAAAAGCCCTGGGGTCAAAATTGGCCCCGCCCCAGGGGTCATTGATTTTCCCTATATGCATATAGTAAAAACTTAAAAAAATCTTCTTTTAAAAGCCCAATGAGCTAGAGCTTAGATAATTAGCATGAAACATCTTCTTATGGGTGTCTACCAAGTTTGTTCAAATAAAAGCCCTGGGGTCAAAATTAGCCCAGCCCCAGGGGGTCATTGATTTTCCCTATATGCATATAGTTAAAACTTAAAAAATCTTCTTTTAAAGAACTCAAAGAGCTAGAGCTAAGAAATTTAGCATCAAACATGTTCTAATAGGTGTCTTCCAAGTTTGTTCAAATAAAAGCCCTGGGGTCAAAATTGGCCCTGCCCCGGGGGTCATTGATTTTTCTTATATGTGTATAGCAAAAACTTAAAAAATCTTCTTTGAAAAAACCCAAATAGCTAGAGTTTAGATATTAAGCATGAAACATCTTCTAGTGAGTGTCTACAAAGTTTGTTCAAATAAAAGCGCTGGGGTCAAAATTGGACCCGCCCAGGGGGTCATTGATTTTCCTTATATGTGTATAGCAAAAACTTAAAATCTTCTTTGAAAAAACCCAAATAGCTAGAGTTTAGATATTAAGCATGAAACATCTTCTAGTAAGTGTCTACAAAGTTTGTTCAAATAAAAGCCCTGGGGTCAAAACTGGCCCCGCCCCAGGGGTGTCATTGTTTTTAACTCTATGTGTATAGTAAAAACTTAAAAAAATCTTCTTTTAAAAAGCCCAATGAGCTAGAGCTTAGATGTTTAGCATGAAACATCTTATGGGTGTGGGGGGGCTATATACAGGTGAGCGACCTCAGGGCCATCATGGCCCTCTTGTTCTTTGAGTCACAGTTTGTCATAGCACCTTCATTTATTTACTGAAAAAATGTCTGGACGTCCATGGCCAAGTGGTTATGGTTGTTGACTTCAAATCACTTGCCCCTGACCTCTGTGGGTTCCAATACAGACATGTGAGGAAGCTTTCCAGCTTGCTTACATCAGTGGTTCTACTGCCTGTTCATGCCTAAAATAATGCTTGGAAGGGGCACCTGAGGCCTTCCTACATCAGCAAAGCTGGAATGTCGCCATATGACCTATATACTGTGTCGGTGTGATGTGAAACTCAAACAAACCAAACAAACTGAAAAAATATTTAGATATTTGATGTGTTGGTACCTTTATTCAACCTACCTTTGATCGGGTTTTGAGGTCTACATTGGAAAAAGGTCAAGGTCTCTGTGGCTAAAAATAATCCTTCCATCTCACCTGTATTTGTTTGTTGACTGATATCTTAGTTTTGTGATGTGTTAAACCTTCATTGACCATCTAAACTGTTTGTTTAGGCTTTAGGTTGGTTTGGTAATAGTCAAGGTCTTATAAGCTAAAAATAGATTTTCCATTTAAAGACTTTAAAGAGGCTTGTATGTTTTAGAGAATTTTATTGTGAGACGGATAAAGAAATCTCTTCAAATAATATAATATATAATAGATTTCTTGTTTTTCTGCAAGATTAGGGTATTTTGGTCTTCTTCAGTTGAAAAAGGTTGAAAGAGTTCTTACAACAGTGGCAACTTTATTAAAGATTAATTAGCTAAAAACAGTCATATTTAATTCTCATAAAATTGTTAATTGACTATTTTGCATAAAAAGTCTAAAATATTATTAGGTTTAGAGTTGTTTCAAGGAAGAAATTAATGTTGATAGGCTGTATTACTTACTGATTATATATCTTATTTTTCCAGCTTGGTGAGGATATGGACCCTGTTCTACTACAAGCGATATTGGCTCATAAGCAGCTGAAGAAGGAGAAAGGGGCTGGAAAGGAGAAGAAATTGACTCCTGAACAGGCTGAGAACAAAAGAAGAAGGATCTGGGTCAATATTGCCAAGAAAGAAATTCCAAAGGTAATTTAATTCATATGTGTCATGATTTATTAATGTTCAGTTGTTTTTAGCAAAGGTTTTCACATTTTCAATATTTAAAGTGTATTAAACTATACAATTATCTACTTCAAAAAGTACTGTTTTAATTTTTCAAAAGAATACTTCCAAAATGCTTGTATGAAATAGATAAGGTAGTTAGTTGCCTTATAAGTGAATGACACATGCACAAATTCATTGCTAAATGGATAAAACCATACTTAAAATAGCAAAATGTTATTCTGTTCCAGTTAATTTGATCTGTTTATGTACATTATTCATGCGTGTAGACATTCAGTGTTACAACTTTCTCGGGAATCTACCATATGAATATGTAACCAATATAATTTTGCTGTTGATAAATTTTATAAAAATATTTCGTAACATATAGGTATATACCTTTTAATGTCCTCCTTCCTGAAGGACTTGGAAGAGGCATCTGAAAGCTACTGGCGATAATGATTATCTTGTTCTATTTCTACACAAGCAGTTGAGCCTGCGCCAGTTTGATATATGAATCCCTTACATCAACAATGGGGGGTTATAATGTCCTATTAGGACAAGATTATTGTACATGAACAAATTGAGCATGATAGGGGTTTACCAAAGTAGTTATTTTGTCCTTTCTTTTTATTTCAGGCACAGAAACAGAAAGTTTCAGCTAGAAAAGAAATGCTCCAAACTCTTAAAAAGGTGCGGGTTAAAACTGATCAGATTTCATAATTTGCTTAATACTACAAGAACTCAAAAAGTAATCGTATATATACATGAAGAATACAAAAAAAATCATATAACAATATTGATATTTTTGTAGGTTAGGTCTTGAGATTTTATACATAAAGTTCCAACAATCTTCAGATTATTCCCTATTCATATAAATATATGCATGGCATAAAAAGGAATGCTTAAATAATATATTAATAAATCAAAAGGACGTCAGGAAAATCACTTATATCCTCGATGTAGTTCAACATATTTTATCAATTCTCTTTTAAAGGGAATAATCATTCATTTTTCTTGCGTTGTAGTACAATAATGCATGGTTTATTGTTCAAATGCTTTGTTATTAATTACTCAGGCCTATCGAATTATATTCACTATTCTACAAAAACCTATTCAAAATTGATATTAATTTCCTGATTAAATATGTTATATATCCTAATATTTTGAAACCTGGTGCATATTTGAGATTAAAACTTAATTAGAAATCTGTCTTTATTTCTTATTCAGATATCTATGCAGTCTATGCGAGAAGTTCGGCGAGCTGCGATTCAGTCGCAAAAGCAGACAAAAGACTCACAATCGAAGGCAAGGAGACTTGCTCGTGAGATGATGGTTTACTGGAAGAGGTTTGAAAAGGTCGAGAAAGATCATCGTAAACGTGTAGAGAAAGAGGCGCTGGAAAAACGTAAAATGGATCTGGAGATGAGTGAGGTAAACTAAAACCTTTTTTTGGTCATTACTTAACATTTAGTTAAATGCAGTTATATAATATTTCATCAAATAGATTTATTGCCTCTCCAAAAAAATGTAAAAAAGAATAAATTCAGAGCTCTTTGTAGTAATGTAGGTGTGAAATATAATGATGTGTGAATGTTTGATATTTAGGCAAGAAGGCAGCAGAGGAAGCTTAACTTCTTGATCACCCAGACTGAACTGTATGCCCATTTCATGGCCAGGAAGATCACCGGGGAATCGGAGTCAGCAAAAGACAAGATACTTAGAAAGTTAGATGAGGGCAAGACGGACAAACAAAAATCTGAATACCTCATTGATACAGTTAATGATGACTATGGTAAGATTTTTACTTAAATTTGGATTGTTTTATGTTTCAGGCAAGTTTGTTATATAAGTTGTTTGATGTCAGCTGTCCTATAAGTATATTTATATATATAATATACCAGCAGTGGTTATTCTATGGTAAGGATTTCACATGTTTTCAAAGATCTGGCATGGATTACAGATCATGTATGTGGAAATCATGCATAATACATGACAAAAGTACTGCAAAAGAAAGAAAATCACAAATATAATCTTTGTGCCAACAATTCCCAATGCTGATATTTATTGATTTTTCTATGTGAACTGGGTGGAATAACTTCCCAAATTTTACTTCTGTGTTGTTTTTCTTCTGTTAGTAAATTATTTTTGATAATGATTACATTTACTGTCTTATTTTGACCAATCATTAATGGTAAAAATATGATGTATATGAACTGGTTCCATACTGGTGACAATGGCAGTAAAATTTCACTTTCATTATTCTCTGAGTTGATATTTAATCAATGCTTTGTTATATAGATCCAGAGAAGGCCAAACAAGAAGCGATAAGGAATGCAAGTAGTGCGTATGAGGCCCATCAAGCCAAGGTACATTATTGTACAGTTGTAATCACGATAGGGATGCACATGTAACTGTTTTAACTTTAAGATGTTAATGATTTTTACCATAGATCTTATCACTATCTCGACAAACTAAACACTGTCCTACTCTATCCTATGTTGTTAAGTAATTGAATATAAGCAAATAGAGACAATACAACACAGAAACTAATCCTAAAATTTAAGTTTAAAAAAAAACGTTTTTCTTACTGATTTTGAATTATTCCATATTTCTTTTCTTTTCAGAAAAATCAATTTGATGATAGTACCTGTAAGTAAATATGTAAATTGTAGTTTTCTTCAATTTTAAGATATTATTTGTTTGATATTAAAGATTTCTGCTTTTTTACTGAAAATATTGGTACATTGTAATAACTTGTAGTTTGAGTTGAGTTTCACATTAGATTTAAACAATTGAGAGCTGGCTAAACATTTGACATGTGAATGTTTGGTGCTTTACACTTTAGCTTCTAGTCAATATCAAAATATGCTATACATTGTTCTTAATGAAAATAAAGCAAAATGACCAAACATAGAACACATGTTAATTTGCATTAGACAACAGGGAACTTGAGAACATAACTTGTTCAGTGGAAGTAGTTCTGAAGTTTCCAAAATTTTGAAAATTACGAATAAAAAATAAGTATGAGTAATGAAATATGCAGGACAAGTAGAGTGAAGCAGTCACTGGATGAAAAAAAATGTTTGATTGCCTGACTTTGCCTGTATAGAATTGGTTCTGTTTGGCCAAGCTAACTATGGACTTTTTGCTCATTTTAAGTCATATGCAAATGTTTTTAATGATATTAACAAGTAAATTTTTTGCAGATTTGAATTCATTAGCTAATCCACATACTGTAGGAGATGAAAGACCTCAACCCAGTATGTTTGAAGGCAAACTTAAAGGTTACCAGCTGAAGGTAAGTTTATATTAGGAAAGAAAACTGTAATTACTAATGACTGAAAATGTGTTCAAATTTCCTTAAAAATCTCTTAACACAGACTACAGACTAGTGTTCTGGGAAGCATTTTGAGAAATGCATTGGGTCAAAGAACAACTTTAATTCATTTCATTGAATTTTTCTTTCCTATCCTTAAATAAAACATGATGATAGTATCACAGAGTGAGAAAAATGTGCAGCCTGACCAGGATTTGAACTTGGAACCCTCAGAATACCATTTTGTGGCTCTACCGACTGAGCTATCTGGCCGCTTATCTTCTCCCCTAAATAGTGAACAGTTTTCGAAATGTGACAATAGTTTTATTTTTCACCACAAAAGTAAACTACCCGGTTGGCTAATTGAAAGTTGGTATTCTTTTTATTTGTGTGCTAGTGCATGGAATGATTATCATAAAATTGTCACAAGAAAAGCTTCAAAGTCATATTATCAATGACCTTTACTGTGTTAGTGAAATGAAAACACACCCTTTCAATAATAAAATGCGAAAAGGTTATTAACAATGTATTATTCACATTTCAGGGTATGAATTGGTTAGCCAGCTTGTATGACCAGGGTATCAATGGTATACTGGCAGATGAGATGGGTCTAGGAAAGACGGTGCAGAGTCTGGCATGTCTAGCTCACCTGGCTGAGGCTAATGGTATATGGGGACCATTTCTGGTAGTGGCTCCGGCCTCGACACTTCACAACTGGCAGCAAGAATGCTCAAGATTTATACCCAAATTTAAGGTATGTTCACCTTTATATTACAACTAAAGGAGACGATAATAAAAAGGATGAGATCCAGATGTCTTTTTAGCTCACCTGAGCTTGCTCAGGGTGAGCTTTTAGGATCGGTGAATGTCCGTCGTCCGTCGTCCGTCCGGCCGTCCACAATTGCTTGTGAACACTCTAGCGGTAGCATTTTTGCCTCAATCATCATCAAACTTGGTCAGGATGCTTATCTAGTTGAAAGCTCGGATGAGTTCGAACATGGGTCATCTCGGATGAAAAACTAGGTCACAAGAGCTAAAAATAGAAAAACCTTGTGAACACTCTAGAGGTCACATTTTTGACCCAATCATCATCAAACTTGGTCAGGATGTTTGTCTAGGTGATAGCTTGGATGAGTTCGAACATGGGTCATCTCGGATGAAAAAGTAGGTCACAGGAGCTATAAATAGAAAAACCTTGTGAACACTCTAGTGGTCACATTTTTGAACCAATCATCAACAAACTTGGTCAGAATGCTTGTCTAGTCAATTGCTTGGATGAGTTCGAACATGGGTCATCTCTGATGAAAAACTAGGTCACAGGAGCTAAAAATAGAAAAACCTTGTGAACACTCTAGTGGTCACATTTTTGACCCAATCATCATCAAACTTTGTCAGGATGCTTGTTTAGATAATAGCTCGGATGAGTTCAATTATGGGTCATCTCGGATGAAAAACTAGGTCACCGGAGCTATAAATAGAAAAACCTTGTGAACACTCTAGTGGTCACATTTTTGCATCAATCATCATCAAACTTGGTCAGGATGCTTATCTAGTTGATAGCTTGGATGAGTTCGAACATGGGTCATCTCGGATGAAAAAGTAGGTCACCGGAGCTAAAAATAGAAAAACCTTGTTAACACTCTAGCGGTCACATTTTTGCATCAATCATCATCAAACTTGATCAAGATGCTTGTCTAGGTGATAGCTCGGATTAGTTCGAACATGGGTCATCTCGGATGAAAAACTAGGTCACAGGAGCTAAAAATAGAAAAACCTTGTTAACACTCTAGTGGTCACAATTTTGACTCAATTGTCATCAAACTTGGTCAGGAAACTTGTCTAGGTCATTGCTGGGAATAAATCGAACATGGGACATCTCGGATGAAAAACTAGGTCACAGGAGCTAAAAATAGAAAAATCTTGTAAACACTCTAGTGGCTACTGTTGTGATCCAAATATTCTGTTAATTGGTCTGAAAGTTTGTTTTGATGATTTCTAAGTTAAGATCGAACATGGGTCATCTTGGATGAAAAACTAGGTCACACCGCCCAAATATGGAAAAACCTTGTTAACATTCTAGTGGTCACATTTTCGACTCAATTATCATCAAACTTGGTCAGGATGCTTGTCTAGGTAATTGCTTGGATGAGTTCGAAATCACATGTGAAACTAGGTCACCGGAGCTAAAAATAGAAAAATCTTGTTAACACTCTAGTTGCTACTGTTTTGATCCAAGTATCCTGGAAATTGGTCTGAAAGTTTGTTTTGATGATTTCTAGGTCAAGTTTGAATATGTATCACCTTGGTAAAAAACTAGGTCGCACTGCTCAAATATGGATAATCCTTGTTAACACTGTAGTGGTCACATTTTTGACTCACTTGTCATGAGACTTGGTCAGAATGCTTGTCTAGGTAATTGTTTGGATGAGTTTGATAATTCAGGTGAGCGATCTAGGGCCATCATGGCCCTCTTGTTTAAAATGTTGCATATTCTATTATGTGCTCATTCTTGTATCCAACCTTGAAATATTGCAAAAAGTTAATAAGTGTTGCCAAAAAAACAACAACAAATGCCTGAAAATAAAACTGTATTTCAGGTGGTACCATATTGGGGTAACACACAAGATAGAAGAGTGTTACGTAAATTCTGGGATCAGAAGTGTTTACATACTGAGGAGGCCTCGTTCCATGTGGTAATCACCAGTTACCAGTTAGTTATACAAGATGTGAAATACTTCCAAAGAATTAAATGGCAGTATATGGTTCTAGATGAGGCCCAGGCCTTGAAAAGTAGTGCCAGGTAAATAAATTTTGATGTCAAATAGCAAGGCCCGAGTCTAGAATAGAGCATATAATGCCAAAGAGCAAGGCCAGAATAAGCCATAAGGTTTTACTTAAATGTTGAAGTGTTTATTTGAATAAGCAACATATGTCTTGTTAATTTTACATTCACTTTGATGAAAAGAATAAATTTACCATTTTGGTACAATGTACAAGAAAAATTTACATTTTCTAATCATTTCTATTGTCACATAATGTGAGAATTGATTTTATTTTCTCTCTGAGTCATTTACTCTAAATATGGACATATCTTCATCTATGCAATGAAATCTGTTTTAAAATTTGAAAAAGTTATAGTAATTATAATACTATTAACATTGTATATTTTCAGTGTACGTTGGAAAATTCTGCTGGGATTTAACTGTAGAAATAGACTGTTATTGACAGGAACTCCCATACAAAACAGCATGGCTGAGGTATTTATTCTACCTTGATCCCGGCTTATTTATCAGTTAAAAAGTCATTTCTTGTAAAACAAAAATAAAATAATATCCAAACAATGCCATGACAAATCAGCATTCAGGGATTTTTGTTTTTCATAAACTGTCGTCAATAAAGGGTTTAATTAGATTAAAGAGAGAAATCCAGTAGGGTTCGAGACCTTTTGGGGAAGGTTATGTTTTTCATGGAAAGATTCCATCTAACAGAATATTTGAGAAAATTATTGCTTTCTAATTGTTTTCAGCTATGGGCTTTACTGCATTTTATCATGCCTACAATGTTCGATTCTCACGAGGAATTTAATGAATGGTTCTCTAAAGATATAGAAAGTCATGCTGAGAAGCAGTCTGGCATCGATGAAAGTAAGTAATGATATACTATAGTTACCAATTACTGTAGAAGGGTCTTTTTCAAGGAAATGCTTCCATTTGCTACATACAATTGTCCAAACTTGTGTCTATAGTTACTAAAAAAATCACAAGTTTGGTTCTTCAAAGCAACAATTGAACCAGTTTCATAGTCCTAGCATTTACCAATTGGTTTAGGCCTGGGTCTGTTCCTGAAAAGGACAGAAAAAAATATTAAAATACATAATGCATTTAGTTAAAATAGATTGAGCAGCCAGTGGGACATAGCTATACCAGCCTGTTCATCCAGTGGAGCTTAGGCAGTCTATTGTATAAAGCCTGGTCAGACTGGCTTGACTGTATACTGGTGCCATAGATATAAATTACTATTATAACTATCATTCTTAAAGTAACCGTCCGGTTAGCTTAATAGGTAGAGCCTTGGATTGTGAATCAGGCGACCCAGGTTTGATTCCCAGGTGGTGCAGGTAATTTTCATTGCGATTGTCCTAGTGATCAGGAAATCTTTTCTAAGGTCATTCGCACTGTACCTTTGCTCTGGCATGTTCAGTTCCTTGCGAAACGAAGGCAACTAGTACTGGTTAACTGCTTGACAGCTTTCCCGGGATGATGCAGTGGCTGAACTATGCTCTGGTAAATTCTAACTTCTCTGATCCGGAATGAAAACTACGAACACCACCATCATTCTAAAAGTTAAAATCTGTATGTATTTCAGATCAGTTATCAAGACTTCATATGATATTGAAGCCTTTCATGTTGAGAAGAGTGAAGAAAGATGTTGAAAATGAACTCAGTGATAAGGTATGTACTTACATGTAATTTTATATTTAAAACAATGTGTATGTGTAAATAAGATGGAAATTCATACTCTTTTTAGAGAAGAGTTACTTTAGAAGTAATGCTAATGTACCAATGAAATTTTTAGCATATATTTTACCACTCCTGTTTTTATAAACATTCAGTTAGAGTAGAATAAAAATAAATGCATGTTCTTCAGTACAAATATTTCGTTTCTTAGATCATAATAAAAAAAGTTGTAAAGTTAGCGACACAAAAATATTTATTGGCAAAAATGGCTAAAATTTCCTTTAGCATAATTATTAACCAACCTGTCATTAAATTCTACCTGTTCACTATTTGCTAATATTTCTTCATGCAAAATGTCTGGAATTTTAAGTTCGCTAACTTTTCAACACATGGAAATATCCACTTATACAGTATTCAGTGTATATAATATTGTTACTTATTATCCCCCGCCGATGGAATCGGGAGGGGGATATAGTTTTGGCGTTGTCCGTCCGTCCGTGAATTTCGTTTCCGGAGTAGTTCTCTGCAACTACTGGCTGGAATATAACGAAACTTTATGGGAATCATCAATATCAAGAGGAGATGCGCATATCGTCAGCTTGTTCCGGTCATACCCTTTAACTCAGAGTTATGGCCCTTGATTAGTTATGTAGTATGCATATAGAGTAAAATTTCGTTTCCGGAGTAGTTCTTTGCAACTACTGGCTGGAATTCAACGAAACTTTATGGGAATCATCAATATCAAGAGGAGATGCGCATATCCTCAGCTTGTTCCGGTCAGACCCTTTGACTCAGAGTAATGGCCCTTGATTAGTTATGTAGTATGCATATAGAGTAAAAATCGTTTCCGCACTACTTCTCTGCACTTACTGGCTGGAATTCAACGAAACTTTATGGGAACCTTCAATACCAAGAGGAGATGCGCATATCGTCAGCTTGTTCGGGTCAGACACTTAAACTCAGAGTTATGTCCCTTGATTAGTTATGCAATATGCATATGGAGTAAAAATCGTTTCCGCGCTAGTTCTCTGCAACTACTGGCTGGAATTCAACGAAACTTTATGGGAATCTTCAATACCAAGAGGAGATGCGCATATTGTTGCCTTGTTCCGGTCAGACACTTTAACTCAGAGTCATGGCCCTTGATTAGTTATGCAGTATGCATTATAGAGAAAAAATTGTTTCCGCGCTACTTCTCTGCAACTACTGGCTGGAATTCAACGAAACTTTATGGGATACTAAGAGGAGATGTGCATATAGTCGCCTTGTTCCGGTCAGATACTTATAACTCAGATTTATGGCCCTTGATTAGTTATGTAGTATGCATACATCTCATTGGCATTTCCAGATATTACTATTTAACACAAAGTTATGGCTCGTTTTTGCCTAAATATATATAAAAAGTTAAAAAAATTTTACTTTTTAATGCATTTTTATAAAAAATAAAGCCTAGTTTTCAGTTTTTGTGTTAAAAAAAACCAAAATGGGGGGATAAATTTTCAACAAATTTTTTGCTTGTTATTTTTATTTTTTCACAAAAAGAAAAGTTTTTTTTAATGTTTTTAAGTGATTTTTTATTTCAGATTGAAGTTTTGTGTTTGTCCCCTCAGAAAGAAGAAAATTTTATACCAGGGGAAAAGAACAAAACTCAATCGGGGTTTTAAATAGCATTAAACTACAGGGAAGAAAGCTAATTTCATGAATTTGTAAGCAGTTCCCTAAAGTTTTAATCATCCCGGGAATGTTCGGGGACAGGAAATTAAATAGGGGTTTTTCATAAAAGCAGGGTATTCATACCTAAATGATCTACAGGGATGGTTAGTTATCTTATATAAAATTCTAATTCTTGAATGATGTCAATAATTTTACTTAAGTATTCTTTTGTATATTAACTTTCACAAATTACATATAGATGTGAATTGTTTTTGATTAAACTAAATAGTTTTATTTGCAAGTTGTATGTCCAATAGTATAGTATACTGCCAGGATTATACACATGTTCAGGTGCCAACTCGTATCTGAAATAATACACGGAGGCGCACTTAAGGTCTCTATTCACAAGGAAAGCTGGAAAGTTGACCTTAAGTGTTTTGGTATGACTTACAATCTAAACAAAATAATAAAGATATATACAATGTACATGTCATTTGGAACCCATCTGAGGAATTCAAGAATTGGCAATTTATATAACATATTAACATCATTGAATACACAGTAATGTATTCTTTGTCTTTAATATCAAACTTTGTTCTATTTTCTATTTTGCTATACTTAAAAGAAATAGATTATTTTATATGTGAATATTTTAAATTCGTATATAAATATGTGTTTACAGGTATCGTGGACCAGTGCTTGCCAAGTCGTCAGAAGATTCTCTATAATTTACTATGTATATACAATACTCATCATGTACATTCTTCCATATTTCATCACGACAATGAACAAAGTGAGTAACCTTTCGAAAAATTGTATAACGTCTTTCATACTTACATTACAGTTTTATTATTAAAAAAGAAAAATCAAATTACTTTTTGTTTGAATTCATTTGATTGAATGGCAAGAAAAGTATAGACTGTTTTTTTGAGTTGCCATTAATTTTGAGTATCCAACTGTATTGATGTCCAAGTGGTATGTCATTGACCATTCTTTAAGATCATCTATTTTATAATGATGTATGAAGTTTGGACTTGCTTGTTGACACACTGAGTTAGAATACATGTTCGGACTTGCCAAATGATTCATAATGTAAACCCAAGGAGAAGCAGTTTTTATAAGCTTAAAAATTAATATCTTAAAAGCCAAAGGCTTTAATTGGATAACTGTTGACAGAAATAAGGCACTCTTCAACATGGAGCTTGAATTTATGACTTACTTTTAGAATTTTTTTTTTTTTTTTTCCAAAATTAATGGATATATTTTTTTTGTTTCAGGTTCATCTGTAAATAGTTGTTTCTCATTTCTTCGTTTCATCAATATGTCACCAAGTGAGCTTCATTCTCATATGTTAGGTGGACTGCTAGTCAGGTAAGTATAAAACTCTTACCACATGTAATATCTTAAATGAACTTGTCCATCTTTTTAGCTAGACTAAACCATTCATTATTTCAAGGGAAAAATCCACAAGTACTGACTGGATAGTGAAAACAGTGCAGACCTTGATCAGGTTTATCTTTGTTTGTACTGGTGGCACGCATGGATAGAAACAATTGCCACAAGCAAGATAAAGTTTAAATTCAATGTCTGGGTTGGTGATTGCTAATAGTTATTATAACAGAACATATTATTCTACCAGAACAGAACAGAACTTTATTTTCTGCGAGGCACAAGTTTACAACATGAGGAATTAAATAATGTTATCACTGAGATACAGAAGGTTATGACAAATGTATAAAAATTATTTAGCAATGCTGACCACAAAATTACCACTTGTATGGAGAGTTCAAAATGTCTATTTGACTGGATATTAATAATTTTGTCTAAGCTTGTTTACAATGCTGTCAGTCTTGTATAGTTGAAAGGAAAAACATAAAGTAACAACACGTAAAGAGGGGAAGGCAGCATGTTAAGTAATTGACTGTCTGGAAAATTTAAATTTTCACCTGTAACTTTTACTTACAATTCATGTTAAGCTTTTGTGTTATTTTTAGCTCACCTGTCACAAAGTGACAGGGTGAGCTTTTGTGATCGCTTTTCGTCCGGCGTCCGTCTGTCCGTCCGTAAACTTTTACTTTAAATGACATCTCCTCATAAACCACTAAGCCAATTTCATCCAAACTTCACAGGAATGTTCCTTTGGTGGTCACCTTTAAAAATTGTTCAAAGAATTTAATTCCATGCAAAACTCTGGTTGCCATGGCAACCGAAAGAAAAAACTTTAAATATCTTCTTTTAAAAAACCATAAGAGCTAGAGCTTAAATATTTGGCATGAAACATCTTCTAGTGAGTGTCTACCAAGTTTGTTCAAATAAAAGCCCTGGGGTCAAAATTGGCCCCGCCCCGGGGGGTCATTGATTTTCCCTATATGCATATAGTAAAAACTTAAAAAAATTTCTTTTAAAGAACCCAAAGAGCTAGAGCTAAGATATTTAGCATGAAACATGTTCTAATGGGTGTCTACCAAGTTTGTTCAAATAAAAGCCCTGGGGTGAAAATTGGCCCCGCCCCGGGGGTCATTGATTTTCCCTATATGCATATAGTAAAAACTTAAAAATCTTCTTTTAAAGAACTCAAAGAGCTAGAGCTTAGATATTTGGCATGAAACATCTTCTAGGTGTGTCTACCAAGTTTCTTCAAATAAAAGCCCTGGGGTCAAAATTGGCCCCGCCCCGGGGGGTCATTGATTTTCCCTATATGCATATAGTAAAAACTTAAAAAATCTTCTTTTAAAGAACCCAAAGAGCTAGAGCTAAGATATTTAGCATGAAACATGTTCTAATGGGTGTCTACCAAGTTTGTTCAAATAAAAGCCCTGGGGTGAAAATTGGCCCCGCCCGGGGGGTCATTGATTTTCCCTATATGCATATAGTAAAAACTTAAAAAAAACTTCTTTTAAAGAACTCAAAGAGCTATGGCTAAGATATTGAGCATCAAACATGTTCTAATAGGTGTCTACCAAGTTTGTTCAAATACAAGCCCAGGGGTCAAAATTGGCCCCGCCCCGGGGGTCATTGATTTTCTTTATATGTGTTTAGCAAAAACTTTAAATCTTCTTTGAAAAAACCCAAATAGCTAGAGTTTAGATATTAAGCATGAAACATCTTCTAGTAAGTGTCTACAAAGTTTGTTCAAATAAAAGCCCTGGGGTCAAAACTGGCCCGGCCCCAGGGGTGTCATTGTTTTTAACTATATGTGTATAGTAAAAACTTTAAAAAAATCTTCTTTTAAAAAGCCCAATGAGGTAGAGCTTAAATGTTTAGCATGAAACATCTCCTTATGGGTGTCTACCAAGTTTGTGCAAATAAAAGCCCTTGGGTTAAATTGGCTCTGCAACGTTGGGGGGGGGGGGGGCCTATATACAGGTGAGCGACCTCAGGGCCATCATGGCCCTCTTGTTAAATTATAGTGAGCTTTTTTTTAAGCAGGCTGTCTATTTATAAAAATGAAGTTACCAAAAGTTTTATGTGATAATGTTACAAAAAATGTGTTTGTTTACAGATGGCTGGCAGTATTTCTGTGGTACCAAGCAGCTTATTCAATATCTCACAGAGCTTTCTGGCATAAAACAGAGATAAAAAAGTAAGTATAGTTTATGAATATTAGAATTTTAATATGGTTATCACATTTTTGTTTTGTATGCGTAAAGACTTGATGTCTAAATACAATATACAGGAAGTAAATTAGTTATTGTTCAAAATAAATCTATTGACTCTTGCAACACTAAATAATTAAACTGCAGTTGCCAATTTTTCAATTTTTGACAAAAGTTGTGAAAATTGTATAGTCTATATAATGTGAAATGCTTGAACTGAGACTTGAGAGCCTTTCCCACCAGTGTATAGTCAGACCAACCTTCAGAAAATGGTGAAGTTGGCCTTGATAATATAAATTCTTATTGCCTGGAAGAACCTTTTTATGATGTTACATTTTTCATGCTTCAAGTTTCCTAAATGTTAACTGGTTCCTATTTTGTGAGATAGTTTTTGTTTGCTGTACAGAATACAATCTATATGACAAAATGTATTGACATTTTATCTTTATCCAAACAAATGTGTCACTTCTGAGTGTATTTTTATTGATATTTTTGTAGAATTCAACATTTACATCGTGATAGCTTCTTGTTGGAACCTGTTCAAACAACATACTTTACCAACGTCAAGTCTAGCCATTTATTGTCTCCCCTTGTGTTCACCGGCTCCAATAGTTCAGTATACACACACACGGAGCATGTGATACATTCTGTAAGAGAAACAGAGTGGCATCTACATATACGACGTAAAAATAAATTACATAAACATATGCTACATGGAAAGAAGCATGGAACTCGAACTCCACCTCATTCACCAACTAAGGTAAGTATTTAAAAGTATGTAAAACTAATTTATGCAAGTGTTAAAAGCAACATTATGTAACAATTTAGCCTATTTCTGTATAGGCAATCAGTAAATTATCCAAGCTTTTTGATGTATTACTTGTTAGTAAGGAATTTCCAAGAAATTTATAATTAACTTACCTTTCTACATACAATTGACTTCTGAAAATTTGAATATGAAACAGTAAGATTTAAATGCTGTAAAAATACTTCAATTAAGCATCCAGTGTAGTGCAGAGCTCCAGATAATTTTTTTGGCCAAGGGGTTTTTACCCCTCAAAATTTAGAGTGAGGGGTAAAATGCGAATTCTGAAAAACTAAAGGGGTAAAATCTGTCAAAAAAGCATTTTGCATATTTTATAAACAAATTAAACTTATTGTTTTGTTTGTTTGTTTATTTTCTTTTTAGCTCACCTGTCACAAAGTGACAGGGTGAGCTTTTGTGATCGCTTTTCGTCCGTCGTCCGTCCGTCCGTAAACTTTTACTTTAAATGACATCTCCTCATAAACCACTAAGCCAATTTCATCCAAACTTCACAGGAATGTTCCTTTGGTGGTCACCTTTAAAAATTGTTCAAAGAATTTAATTCCATGCAGAACTCTGGTTGCCATGGCAACCGAAAGAAAAAACTTTAAATATCTTCTTTTAAAAAACCATAAGAGCTAGAGCTTAGATATTTGGCATGAATCATCTTCTAGTGAGTGTCTACCAAGTTTGTTAAAAAAAAAGCCCTGGGGTCAAAATTGGCCCCGCCCCAGGGGGTCATTGATTTTCCCTATATGCATATAGTAAAAACTTAAAAAATTTTCTTTTAAAGAACCAAAAGAGCTAGAGCTAAGATATTTAGCATGAAACATGTTCTAATGGGTGTTTACCAAGTTTGTTCAAATAAAAGCCCTGGGGTCAAAATTGGCCCCGCCCCGGGGGGTCATTGATTTTCCCTAAATGCATATAGTAAAAACTTAAAAAAATTTCTTTTAAAGAACTCAAAGAACTATGGCTAAGATATTTCGCATCAAACATGGTTTAAAAGGTGTCTACCAAGTTTGTTCAAATAAAAGCCCTGGGGTCAAAATTGGCCCCGCCCCAGGGGGGTCATTGATTTTCCCTATATGCATATATAGTAAAAACTTAAGAAATCTTCTTTTAAAGAACCAAAGGAGTTAAAGCTAAGATATTTAGCATGAAACATGTTCTAATAAGTGTCTACCAAGTTTGTTAAAATAAAAGCCCTGGGGTCAAAATTGGCCCCGCCCCAGGGGTCATTGATTTTCCCTATATGCATATACAGGGCTCCAGATAAGATGCGTATACGCGTAAATTACGCATGGAAATAACACGTTTACGCATTCAAAACAAAATTTAAGCGTATGAAAACGCACACAAAATTCAGGTTACGCATTGAGCAACATTTCTTTCGCGTAAACGTAACCGAAAGTAAACTCGGTGATTATCTTATTTTTAATTTCGTCTGAACGCTTTGCAAGCGTCTACCGGTAACTTCCTGTAGTTCCGACCATCATCGGTTGTTATCGTATGTATAGTATGGTGGTGGAATTAACTTCGTATGAATGCTTTGCAAGGTCTAACGGAAACTTCCTGTAGTTCCGACTATCATCGGATGGTATCGTATGTATAGTAAGTTGGTGGAATTAACACAATTTCATTAACATCCGGTACAATGTCGCTGTCAAAAGTTAAAGCGATTGACTCGTATTTTATGCCGAAAAAAGGTTATAATTAATGAAATAATTAGCGCTGCCACGTATGAGCAACAGAAACATGCCTCAGGTTCAGATAAAACGTATGCCGTTTGGAAATGCAAGATTGTAAACCAAGGAAGTCCAAAAAGCAAAAAAAATGACTTTGACATATCTTGTATTACAAGTATGATAAAACAATAAACATGGAAGCATAATAAATGTTTTACTCTTTTACATACATTTTAAGGAGTAAAAATACTCCTGCCAAATTTCAGATTTCAAGTTTTACTCATTCACAACAAAATCAATGAGTAAATACTCATTGCCCTAAAAAATTATCTGGAGCCCTGCATATAGTAAAAACTTAAAACATCTTCTTTTAAAGAACCAAAAGAGTTAGAGCTAAGATTTTTAGCATGAAACATGTTCTAAGAAGTGTCTACCAAGTTTGTTCAAATAAAAGCCCTGGGGTCAAAATTGGCCCCGCCCCGGGGGGTCATTGATTTTCCCTATATGCATATAGTAAAAACTTAAAAAATCTTCTTTTAAAGAACCAAAAGAGCTAGAGCTAAGATATTTAGCATGAAACATGTTCTAATGGGTGTCTACCAAGTTTGTTCAAATAAAAGCCCTGGGGTCTAAATTGGCCCCGCCCCGGGGGGTCATTGATTTTCCCTATATGCATATAGTAAAAACTTAAGAAATTTTCTTTTAAAGAACTCAAAGAGCTATGGCTAAGATATTGAGCATCAAACATGTTCTAATAGGTGTCTACCAAGTTTGTTCAAATAAAAGCCCTCGGGTCAAAATTGGCCCCACCCCAGGGGGTCATTGATTTTCCCTATATGCATATAGTAAAAACTTAAAAAATCTTCTTTTAAAGAACCAAAAGACTTAAAGCTAAGATATTTAGCATGAAACATGTTCTAATAAGTGTCTACCAAGTTTGTTCAAATAAAAGCCCTGGGGTCAAAATTGGTTCCGCCCCGGGGGATCATTGATTTTCCCTATATGCATATAGTAAAAACTTAAAAAATTTTCTTTTAAAGAACTCAAAGAGCTATGGCTAAGATATTTAGCATCAAACATGTTCTAATAGGTGTCTACCAAGTTTGTTCAAATAAAAGCCCTGGGGTCAAAATTGGCACCGCCCCGGGGGTCATTGATTTTCCTTATATGTGTATAGCAAAAACTTAAAAAATCTTCTTTGAAAAAACCCAAATAGCTAGAGTTAAGATATTAAGCATGAAACATCTTTTAGTGAGTGTCTACAAAGTTTGTTCAAATAAAAGCCCTCGGGTCAAAATTGGCCCCGCCCTGGGGGTCATTGATTTTCTTTATATGTGTATAGCAAAAACTTAAAAATCTTCTTTGAAAAACCCAAATAGCTAGAATTTAGATATTAAGCATGAAACATCTTCTAGTAAGTGTCTACAAAGTTTGTTCAAATAAAAGCCCTGGGGTCAAAACTGGCCCGGCCCCAGGGGTGTCATTGTTTTTAACTATATGTGTATAGTAAAAACTTTAAAAAAATCTTCTTTCAATAAAGCCCAATGAGCAAGAGCTTAGATGTTTAGCATGAAACATCTTCTTATGGGTGTCTACCGAGTTTGTGCAAATAAAAGCCCTTGGGTTAAATTGGCCCTGCAACGTTGGGGGGGGGTGCGGGTTGGGGGGCCTATATACAGGTGAGCGACCTCAGGGCCATCATGGCCCTCTTGTTTTAGAAAAACCTATTTAAATTAAATACTGATTTAATGTGAAACAATACAAAACATGCCATGTAAAGTCAGACTTCCAGAGTATACTGGAACTCAAGTTTAGGATACACAGCAAAATTATCAGGGCTTCCATTTTCAAATGCAATAAACTGCAAATATATTGTATTTTTATGCTCAAAACATTTTCTTTTTACATATCAAATGCTTACACTTCTATTCTTTCACGCATAAATTTTGACATACAAGCATATTTTCATTTTGTTGTGCGTAACTCTGACGCATGAATTTTGAAAGTGATGCGTATTTTACATTTTCTATGCGTATTTTACGCTTATACGCACGCTATCTGGAGCTCTGGTAGTGTTAAGGCTAGGATATGTTTATGACCTTTTATGGGCAAGAGCACATAATGTCAGGAATTTTTACAAGGTTATACGTTTTTCATATCACCTAACTTTTCATTTCACTTTTTCAGATATTTATTTTAAAATTGAAATACTTATTTTTTACCTTCAAGACTGTCATGGATTTTGCGTGTTTTTTTTGTTTTTTTTAGATATAATATATTTTCAAAGATCTGCTTTTATTTCACCAACATGCACAATGCTGAAGAGGACAGCTCTTATTTCTAACATATTTCCTTACATGTAGGTCTGTCACATTCTAGGCAAATTGGGCAATGTAACTTAAGAGGATTTTTGATTAAATCTGAACTTGATTTATTGTTTGATTTCAGACACCTAAATCTCCAGAGTTGCCAGAATTACCACCATTGTGCCATAAGGACCGCCCCTCTCAAATACTAGAGTGTCAGCCCACACAATATCCTACATTCCTATACCATACTGTACCTAAGGTTTGTATATTACCTAAGAATGTGGAACAAAAATTTTATATTGTGATATGGGAAAATTTTCTTTCCCTTTAATTTTTATCAAGATCACAACAGTTCAAAGTTAGAAATAGCAAATCTTGAGTTTTTCACTCTCCCAACATTGCATTATTTGCAAAGATATACAATGTCAGCTGATACTGAATTTTCTTTTATCTCATTCAGGTGCTCGTTAAACAACGCATATCATACTGTGCCGATCGTAGTTCACAGTGGGACAATATAGCAGCAGAACGGTGCGGTACACAGAAAGCCTTGCACTCACTGATGTACGGATCTCCAGATATCTACGATGAGGTACGGTGGTGGACAAGATGGCGTTTCTTTCCCAATCAACCACAGGGACTGCTGGGAATACAACCTAAATACGGTTACTCTGGAGTATATATCCCTGGTAAGCATCTTTTTTCTTCATCATTGTGGTAATCAATATCAGCATTACCAATCTTCATGTTTATATGTGAAATATATGATCATACCTTGAGTAGTGAAGATTCTTTGCTTTAAGATAATATCCTTGTCTTGGCAGTCAGTCGTGCCTTTTAAAGGCTTTCTAAATGCTTTTTTTTCTGTGACTCAACAAAATCAAAAACCTTTTAAAAAAAAAGAAGGAAGATAAGTACATATTTTAAGTTTTAAAACATTTCAAGGAAAGATAACTGTTATTACTTTCCTTTTTTGGGAAATATAAATGTTACAGTTGTTTCCCTTTGATTATATGAGGAATTGAGCGTAATATTTATTGTAAACTTGTATTTGAAAAACAAATAATTTTACAAGTGGTTTATTACGTGTGTTTGCGTAGAGCGTAGAGAATGTAGTAGTTTCCGCTAATGATACCAGTATACATGTACAAGTTTTAATTACCCGTAATGAATTTCTTTTACTCAAAGATTGACATGTCATCCTCGTGGGACTAATTGACTCAGCAAAACCAAATTGATTTTGTCTGTACAGCTCTGGAGTTCTTTTAATTAACTTTTTTTTACTCTGAATGTTTAATTTGGAAAACCAATCAGGACTGGAAATAATCATGGCAATTAAATAGATTTAATGGCATTTTATTAGAACTAATGATCTAAATGAGCCTGGGAATCGCCTTCATAATTTATAACTTTTCTCCCGTTGAGTTTTCTGTCAATTTTACTACGCGAAATCTTGAAAAAAAATTTTTTACCTCATCTGCGAAGGTGAGCTATTAAAGGAAATGTTTTTTTCATTTTTAATACAGAGGGTACTGTTTCATTTGTTGGAAACGTCTTCAGGGAATAATAAAGCATCATTTTCTTTAATTACGGGAAAAAGCTTCTCCTGTTGTTTTCCCCCTCGCAAATGATTCTGATGGATTAAAAATTATTATGGTCAATTTACAATGTTGCAGTTTTCAACAGGAGACTATGCCATATTAAAGACAGCTATGGCAAGAGAATTTGAGACAAAACGTTTCTTAACATGACACAACATTGTATGGTGGTTCTACTAAGATGCGCTTGTGCATAAATAATGCACAGAGGGGCACTTTAAAGGTGTCTGTTTGACTTAAAATCCAACGAATCATACAATTGAATCATACAATCGTTCTGGCTCAAAAGGAAAAAAAAAGCAGCCCTTTGTCATTATTGATACCACTTTTGTATTTCTGTCAATAAACATTGAAACAAAAGTATTATTTCTTCAATGTTTTTCTCATTTCTATTTTCAAGGAGATCTCCCTGGGCAGCATTAATAAACATGTCATGTTTGCTTTTTTCGTTATCAGTTCATTTTATTGCATTTATAATGATTTTTGTCCTGTGTTTGAAATAAATCTCCAGTTTCACAAATTTGATGCTTGTCTGTTAACCTGTAGAAACTATTTGTTGATAAGGATTGATTTTCTTTCATTGTGATATCACAGGTTAACCCTGACCCTTCTTACTTTGTATAATGGATTTGTCCTGCTTTGAATATGAAACTTTCCATTGTAAATTTGAGAGGTTTGAATCTGGAACTCTCCATTATAAATTTTGATGTCAAAATGCGGTAACAAAACTGGCGTACAGTGTTAATGGGTATTGTAAGACTGCACAATAGTGCAGGTTGGCGTGACTTTACTGCTTGCATAGGTGAATAATTGTCCTTGCTTATGTGCATATGGTTAAAAAGAGTTATTTTTTAATGTTTTAATCCTAGCCACCCTGAATATCTGAAATGGTCTTGCCCATCTTTTAACCAGGACAAAAACATTCATCATTTTTAGGAAATATTTCGAAGAACAGACTGAATAGGGAATATTTCAAGCCTTGAACAGACGGCACTTTTGACACAGTCATTTCAGCTTAATGACAACCTTGTACAGGACATATGTAGTCATTTTGACCTAATGACAACCTTGTACAGGACACATGTGTAGGTACTAGGTAGTCATTTGACCTAAAGACAACCTTGTACAGGACACGTGACGTTACAGACGTAGTCATTTGGCCTAAAGACAACCTTGTACAGGACATGTGACGTTACAGACATAGTCATTTTGGCCTAATGACAACCTTGTACAGGACACGTGACATTACAGACGTAGTCATTTTGGCCTAATGACAACCTTGTACAGGACACATAACATTACAGACATAGTCATTTTGGCCTAATGACAACCTTGTACAGGACACGTGACGTTACAGACGTAGTCATTTTGTCCTAATGACAACCTTGTACAGGACACATGACATTACAGACGTAGTCATTTTGGCCTAATGACAACCTTGTACAGGACACGTGACGTTACAGACGTAGTCATTTTGGCCTAATGACAACCTTGTACAGGACACATGACATTACAGACATAGTCATTTTGGCCTAATGACAACCTTGTACAGGACACATGTGTAGGTACTAGGTTATCATTTGGCCTAAAGACAACCTTGTACAGGACACGTGACGTTACAGACATAGTCATTTGGCCTAAAGACAACCTTGTACAGGACATGTGACGTTACAGACATAGTCATTTTGGCCTAATGACAACCTTGTACAGGACACGTGACGTTACAGACGTAGTCATTTTGTCCTAATGACAACCTTGTACAGGACACGTGACATTACAGACATAGTCATTTTGGCCTAATGACAACCTTGTTGTAACGGGACACATGACATTACAGACATAGTCATTTTGGCCTAATGACAACCTTGTACAGGACACGTGACGTTACAGACATAGTCATTTTGGCCTAATGACAACCTTGTTGTAACGGGACACATGACATTACAGACATAGTCATTTTGGCCTAATGACAACCTTGTACAGGACATGTGACGTTACAGACGTAGTCATTTTGGCCTAATGACAACCTTGTACAGGACACGTCACGTTACAGACGTAGTCATTTTGTCTTAAGGTTGTCATTTTGTCTTAATGACAACCTTGTACAGGACAAATGTAATGTATAATAAGAATAATAGTTAACTAAAATGTTATTTAGAGACGATAATGTGTTTTAGAAATAGTTCCAATATTTGAGTATTGCCACAGTTTCTTATGACTCTGTTTGTAAACAAATAAAATAACTTGAGTACAACTATAGTTTCTGTAATGACTGCAATGAAATGAAATAACACAGATTCTTGGATGTTGTATAATGATGTAGTGTTGTTAAAAAAGTTGTTATATTGTTTGGAAATCATTAGACAGCTGCCATAATGAGAGCTTCTCTCGGTAGGAGGGGGTTTGTACAGTAGTAAAACAATACCGGACAAGTTCGCCATAAGCTTAAACAAATACTATTTACGATAAAATATTTTATTGTGTTAGGATAACACATGTGCCGTTGTCACCGACTCTCGTGTAATAACTTACAATATGATCACTGTAGCTGTAAGGGTAAATAAAAAAAGCCAGAAATATAAACTGGGAAAAAAGTAAGACAACAGGTACAATATTTCTTGTATCATTGGTCGAATAGACCTTATAAATGTAGCCTCTTAAGTTAACAATGAGCATTAGAATAGTGCATGTTATCTAGAACATTGACTTTCAAAGTGAGTACAAATAGGTCATTATTGAAACCGTAAGATTTGATTCAAATTCTGCAAATTTCGCAATAGAATTGAAACAAAAGACCACCTGCATTTTCAATGTGCTAATTACATATCATAAATTATTGAAATGATGTTCTAGAAATATAAACAAACCACCTGTTTCCATTATTCATTTGTAATTTCAAATATAGATACAATTATCATAACAGCATATTGTTTTACTACATTTGATTTATATTTGTATTTTATATTTACACTTCAGTAATTAAAAGTTTTTAGGCCAGGAAAAATTCATTGCTTGATTCCATTTTTCAATCTTACCCAGTTTCTTTATCATTGACCGACAAGCAGGGCATTTTTTTACAGGTTGGGGAAGCAGCCCTGCCCTTAATTTTGGGGAAAATTACTCGGTATAGTTGCAAAAGGGGACGAAAAAACAGTTATTGGGGAAAACTGCATGATTTTAAAGGATTTTTCTTTGGGGAAGCAGCCCTATAACGGCCCCTGCTATAGAAGGAAAAAAAGCCCTGGACAAGTATTATAATATGGTAAAAGCAGATGCAATGCCATTGTTTGTACTATTTGTCTTTATGCTACATTTGGTGTTGTTTTATATGGAAAAGATATAAAGAGTAGGTTTTACCTATCTGCATACTTTTTTTTTTCAAAACAAGTTGTTCGACATTGTTGCTCCTTTGCCTGATTTATTTTCTTTTGTGTCATTACATTTGTCCCCTGTGTCTCATGATTTATCCACATGTATGAGTTTATCGCATTGATGCTAGTTCCAGGTATTTTTTATGACACTTTTGATGTAGATGATAAAGACATTTTTTTGCCATTTTAAGTATGTTTTGGTTTTTTTTATATGTAAATTATGGCCAATTTTTTTATGAAAATAAAGTATACAGCCACTGTAACATCATCATGGGAAATATAAAATTGAAATTTTAAAAAAGTGATAAGTTTTGATGATTTGATATATAGGGGGAAAAAAACTTTATGATTTGATGTTGAAGGTTTTTTTTAGTGTTTTACTTCTTTAGAGTTATTGCCTCTTTATATTGCTACAAACAAGTTAAGATGCTTTTTGTCAGTTTTATGAAAAAGAAAAGTACAATGCTTACAGTTTTGTTGGAGGGTTTGTCTTTTCGTTTTGTCCTTAAAAGGAGGCATATAGTAATTGAACTTTTAGAAAACGTAAGTTTTGTAAGGGTTTTATGCTATACCTTTGTGTATAGCAATAGATTGTCTTACTTCTTTATTGGCAAATTCCTGATTATTAATTTTCTCTTTATTTGTTATTTCACCCTAGTTTTCTATTGCGTTATAAAAGGAAAGATTTTTTTTTCATTATGTCAATTTGGTTATATTTTC